TTTCAAAAGGCATTGACTGATTTTTTTAATAGCTGGTCGCCCGCCTGACTCCAACCCTTCCTGGAAATAGATAACTGGACTTTTCAACACTAATAGATTTTTTAATTCGAACCAGGAGTTCTTGAGATGACCGCGTTCAACCAAACAAACAGTCTCTTTTGCTTTATAATATTAGTAGGTATAGGTATAGAATAAAAAAACAGTACTTAAGACATGAAAAATTCAGACTGTATAATCTTTGTATAATGTGTATGGGTTATAGTGTATGATAGGTTTATGTGCGTATTTGATATTAAAACTACGAACAAGCTCTAACCAAAATGCACCTACTTCCTGTTCTCTCTGCATCACCCAACGGTTGACTGGTAGAGAATACCTTAGGCATTAAGTCCACCAATGCACCAAAAGTGCATGATGTGTAAATAAATAAATAAAGTTAGTACTTATGGAACATTTATCATAATATGTGGTTAACTGGTCACCGTGACACTGACCGTTCTTTTGTACTATGGAGAGAACATAAAATATTAAAATATATAAATAATATAAATATTTCTTTTTCATGCGCACTTTTTGGATCACCTACGTAACAAAAGCGAAATGTGTTATTTAGTTTATTACAAAATCTTATCTAGGTATTCTGATATTATAAAGCATGTTTGTTTAATTGAACGCGCTACTCTCAGGAACTACTGGATTGAATTGAAAAAATATTTTAATGTTAAATAGACCATTTATCGAAGAAGGCTATATAACAACACGCTAAAAACCACTAGGAGACTAAAATTACTTAATAAAAAATGGAGAATTTATTACTTTTGAGAGATGCAGAGGAAATATACCTAAACGTCATACACTTAATATTCAAACCGTAGATTATTTACCATCAGGTACCATTCAAGAAAGGATTTTCGAAGATTCAGCCCTTAAAGGGGCAGAAATGTTGATTTATGATCAGAGAGTAATTAGTGTAACTGCTCTGTCCTTTAACATCTAAGTAGCGTGAAGTACATGGAGTGGCTCTAGTGCGTACGTAACCTAACCGGTATCGGGAGAGCGTGATGTCCGCCCGTGCTTACGTCCGGTTAACTTCCGATAAACGTTTTGTATGCACACATATTGAACGCATGACAATTTCATCTCTAGTTTTTATTTAATTTTTTATACAAATAATTTAAAATTTTTAGAAAACAATATTGCCACAGGATATTTTGGTCAAGTCCGACAGCCGGCGTCTATATTGTGTACGTTGCAATTTGCAACGGCTGTGATCGCAGGTTGACAAGTCAGACTCACGTTTATGTCACTAAGACAGAGGCGGGTCTGCGTTTCCATTGAGGGACCACATTTGAATTTTAAGCTCTAGAATGCGTCAGTCAGTCAGTTAGTCTTTAGTAAAAGTTCTAAAACCATTGTAAATTTAGCCTCTAGTTTGTAAAGTAGCAAATCAAAAGTTACAATTGGTCAAAGGTGGTCCCTCAGTCGTGGCATCTATATCTCATAACCTATTTACATAATATTTACAACTGCTATTAATGTTTAACAATATAGTCATTTATAGTAGTTGTAACTTTTGTAAGCAGTTGTAACACCGTCTTTGACCAATTGTAACTTTTGAGTGGCTACTTTTGCGGCTAATTGTTTTAGAACTTTTACTAACGGCTGATGCATTCAAAAGCTTAAAATTGAAATGTGGTCCCTCAATGGGAACGCAGGTGTATTAAACACTCGATTTTTGCTAAAAAAACATAAAATTATGTATTTTATAGATTAAGAATACGGAGTGTCACCACCTCTATTCATCCCGTGGGTGTCGGAAGAGCCGACTAAGGGAGCAAACTACGCACGATAACAGAACTACAAAGAGAAGGAAAACTTGACACAAACCCTATAACAACCCGTCTGGATAGCGTGGTATGGTAGGCCGAAATCCTCCTGTCCAATGACTATTAAATTTTTTTTGCTAAAAATATAACTTAAAATTATGTATTTGTTTACGGATTTAAAAACGTGTGTCGCATATAAATAAAGTGCTTACATAAGCACTTGTATCTTCTTTACGCAGACAATTATTGACCCATCTATTTCGTTATTTATTTTATGTTTTTACCTGTGGTAATAAATTGGTGGTGTCATTAACAAAATATCCATGAATAATTTCAAAATGTTTTACTCGAAGTCGAATCCAGATTATCAAGCAATCAACATCTGCGTTTTGCTTCAAAATTTTAACCCGAAACCGGTCGGTCGACTGTGTAAAAAAATACACTTCTAAAGAAGGGTTCGCCATGATAGAAACCTTCCAAAACCTTTTACACCAACATCCAAAACCTAAGAGATAACCAAACACTGAAACACCACTCAAACACAAGTTCTTGTTAATTCTGGTTATATCCCTTTCTTTAGGAGAACAAGGTGTTGGAAGCTGACGATATACACATTGCAAGTGTCTCGAAAATCTCAATTAATCACAAATCCGTGAAAAAGTAATTAAAATTTTTGGCGCTCAGTCGTCACAAATTAGAAGTCGTTGAGTACGAGCTTTCACTCACAAGTACATCTGGTATGTAAGATACGAGCTGAAGGGATTTATATAATAACGTAAATATCGTCATTGTATAAATCGCTTCAAAGCCATTTTTAATAACAACTACATACTTCTAAAAATTTAGAACGAAACCCAGTACAAATTTGATGGTAAATCCTGGCACTAAACGCTTGGGTATAGTATCTATTAAGTAATTTAATACCAACCCGCTCTCTTCTCTAACTTAAGTTCGATAATTCGGCGTACCACCCCTTATTTCGGCCCCCTCCTCCAATTATTCCTGTACTATTGACATGTTAACTAAAATTAATTAATTCAGCACATACTTACATAACTCTTTTGATCTCTAATAGTCTACGAATAGTTTTAGGTGGGCTTTAATGTATTCAGGTACGAACAAGTTAGTGAGTAGAACGTGTAGGGTAGTTTTATATTGTTTATATTAATTATTCAACAGTCCTCTTGGAATAAATTATTTTTATATATTTGTTTGTTTTGTTTTTTAAGACATTTTTGCACTAGGAGTTTAGGTATCTTTGGTCGTGATGTACTTTGCAAACCTATTTTTTTATTAATAACTTCACACATCTCACACACGGGACCAGACGGGTCCCAAACTATGCAGAGGCTGTACATATGTATGTTTTTAAATACATACATACCTATACATATTGATAAAAATACTTAAATTCAGACAGAACAAATAATTCGTGGTGATTACACACCTAAACTACGCAGGACAACAACACTGCAAAGAGAAGGAGAACTTGACGCAAACCCTATACTAATTCGTCTGGCCAGCATGGTATAGTAATCCAAAGCCTCCTTTCCAAGGAGAGGCCTATGTCCAGCAGTGGACTATTTAAGGCTGTTGATGATGATGATGATGATGAATTACACACCAGACTGAAATCCGAAGAGAAGTAGAAGTACGTAGATATAGCCTCCAGTAGGTAAATAGTAGTAGAAGGGAAATATGAAGTAACAAAAACTCTTCCACAAGTTTCTTCTTAGCCTTAATGACCGAAAAATATTGAAATATTTTCAAAATACGTATTAAGTTAAGAATACAGATATAAATATATCAAGTACCTAATATAACACATTAGTGACAAAAGGCCATTATCATCCATATCCTTACAATGCATTTTTGCATATCAGACTGCCTCGATGGTGCAGTGGTAGCGTATGCGACTGCTGTGCTGAGGTCTCGAGTTCGATTACCGGGCCGGGCGAAATGTTTTTATGATCTGCAAATATTAGTTTCGGAGTTTGGGTGTTTTTTATGTTTACACGTATGTATTTAAAAAAATGTATATAAGTATTTTATCAGTCAATCTAGCTTTAATAGTACAAGCTCTGCTTAGTTTGAAACTAGATGGCGTTGTGTTAGATGTCCGAAAATATTATTATTTAAGTAACTTATACCCAAGTTATGGCAAAAAGTCAAATTTTGTTTTTGCTATTATAATATTACAAGGCGTTCTGTTGTAATTCTTAACAGATATTACCTATGTTGTTTTTTATTTAACAGTTCGCTTGTCGAGCTTTATATATAAGCAAATATAGTTTCGTAATAAGGTTTTACTACAGTCAGTCAAGATCTGATTATTAACGAAATTCCTGCAGAACTGCGTAAGTAACACTCGTTATTGGACAATATCAGATACTTACATTTTGCTTTTGCTGCACGGCTGCATTTCTCTACCATCTTTTTTCTTAATTAATTTATGCATTTACAGTTTATGATTCTTATTATTGAGAACTACCTGTAAAATGAAGAATACGAAATTGTTAAAGGTAAACAGAAAAATTTGTATCTACCAATTTTATTGTTTTCAGTCGCTTTGTGATGCGGACGGCAAAATTAAAACAAAAAACTTTGAGTACAAATTCTAATACTGTAACTCTCGATAAAAGTTATAAGGGTTTTTTTTATTTTTATTATTTTGACTATTTGAGTATTATTGTCGTTTTTTTTTATTATTATTTTTTGGTTTTATTATATCGATCTCACTTAATAGCATTCATAATACTCTTGACATTATTAATTCTCTGAATAAATTTATGATATGAATATATTCTTCAAATTGTATTTGTAATGTTGAACGTCTAAATAATAATCTTTTAAATATCTATGACTAAATATTTGCACACCTTTAAGAGGTTATATTACAGCGTACCCATGTATTATATGATGTATCTTCTACCACCTTTATACCTGTTTTATGCAAATAATAAATGATTATGATTATGATTATAAGGGTACATACCTATATAGTTACTCCGCAACGATATTTAAAAAAAACCAAGGAGGTTGTCGCTCAAAAAAAAATGTCTACCAATATGATCTGTCACTGCAACTCCTATTGTCAGTTACTTCAAAGTAAAAACATATTGCTTGTGTAAAAACAATTATTTGTTTTATTGTAACGATAAACAGGACAACACTATGAGTTCCCGTGAAACAGAAGACCTACATCTGTCGCTGCTGAAACAGCTTCTGGATGCAGATGGATTAGAATGTGTGAGAACTCCTTCAGGGTCGTTAGAAGAATCTCTTGACGAGGGACAAACTGAAGAGCTTGGTGCGTGAGACAGAGAAACATCCCAAACTACGGTTTTTAGTACTTTCACATGGTATTTATGTGTTACAGGAAAATGAAAGCAAATAATATTTATTAATACCTCCAAGTTGGGATTCAAAGGAACCTGGCTATTTTATTACTATATCTACCTACTTAAAATAGGTCCGATATTAGTGTTTCGTTTTTCTGATGCCTTCGAGGTAGATGTGAAAAAAAACCCGTACGATGACACCGTTAGTGAGCCTGACTGCTAAGCCGGAGGTCGTGGGTTCGATTCCCGCCCAGGACAAATATTGTGTGTTGGGCACGGTCATTCATTCTGTGTCTGGGTGTAATTGATCTATAATACTCGTATGTAGGTATGCATTTGAAAATGTAAGTATGTTTATCAGCGGTCTGGTTGCCATAGTACAGGCTCCGCCTAGTTTGGGATCAGACGGCCGTGTGTGAGTGTGTGAAATATATTATTATTATAACTAATTATATTAAAACTTTCAACGGGTTTTTAATGACTAACGCAGACTAAGCTTTCATCACATTGATTTAAAATTGGACGTCATCAAGGTTTCTGTGGTTTTCGAACGAAATGTCTGTGGGTACTTATACATTTTGTTAATCTACTGTACTGCAGGAACTTGTGAATTGAAGTGAAAGAAGAGTGTTGTCGATTTGATCAGTTTTAACTTAAAACAAAAAAGTTCCAACACAGTTATTGCTATAGACCCACTTATGATGGAACACTGTGTAACTTATAGTTTTTCCTGAGTTACCAATTCACTCTTAACCACCGTGAGATCAACGGATTGATCAATTCCCTTACACATAAAACCTTATCCCTTTCCTTCTTTTTCACTTTTGTTCTTATTGTCTTCTTATTTGCATTCCTCTTTCTACATTACCAAGTTGCTTATATTTAATTCTCAAAAAGGTGATCCTATTTGTTGACTATAGACCTGTTATTTAATTAATAAAAATCTACCACATTCACACAACGCCATCTAGTCCCAAACTAAGCAGAGCTTGTACTATGGGTACTAGACAAATGATATAAATACATATACTTTTTTTTGTAAATACATACATATTATACAAAGAAACACCCAGACAAAATCAAATATTAAATGTTCATGCACACTAACGTTTGACTTGAGCGGGAATTGAACCCGCGACATTTGGTATAGCAGTCCGTTACACAAACCACCACGCCATCCGGTCGTCAAATCTAATCTAATCTACTTACTATACATAGGTATATACACATATCCATAAATATATAATTAGATACATCTAATTATATATTTAAGCAAAAAGATAGATCTGATTCATTTCTCCATATACCTGCAGAGACACAGGCTTGTCTGTATATGTGTGTTACAGTTTTCATACCTGCTAACCACTTACATAATAATCGCAGGACCAGAATCTGTACCAGAAGAAGCTCACGTAGAATTAACACAAACACAAGAAGAAGAGGTCGCACATCCAGAAGCAGTTCGGGAGGAGGAACCAGAAATATTCCCCTCTCCCTCTTTACGTCGGCTCTTACCTGACAAAGTGAGACAAATTGAAGCAGAAAACAGAATCCATGTGTTACCGGCTAGTTTCAAAACTGAAATAGACCCGCAAGCCATTCCGAGAATATTATCCACTCCTCAACAACGGTACATTGAGATTTTGGGTGACCTCGTCGGGTGTACAATGTATAGGACCAGCTTGGCTGAATATTGGTTTCTGGACACGATGGCCAATCTATTGAGGAGGGCACAGCGTGATGAATTGAATAGACGTGAGTAAATCATTGCTACGAAATATTTTCGAAGGTTATAGGAATAGCAGAGCAGTAAAAGAAAATAGATAGGCATAAAAGAAAGTAAAATAAAAAACAGCGTTGGGGGGAGGGTCTATGGAGCCCCGGTCGGAACGTTTCCCTTTTTGGTAGACGTTTGCTGTACAGTGATTAATATTTATTTAAAAAAATATCAAGTTAATATAATTTAATTAACTGTTTTGTTACACATTTTTCGGTCTCGCTCGATAAGGAACTTCGTTCCAAAAATTACTTTAGTAAGTGCTTTAATAAAATATTTATGTCAAGCATGATGTTTAAGCTCATCCAGGTACAGGTGATATTCTTATACTAAACTATCTACATTGGTACGAGTATCTAAATATAATATATTTGGATATGCTACGCCACGTATGGCCTGGGCCAGCTCGACCGGAGTGATGCCACGGCTTCATATCAAACCGGTGTTGAGCATTTGTTTCGTTGCTTTTCATCGAGTGATTGAGGTTACCGGAAAACTCTGAGGGACACTCACACACACACACACACACACACGTAAAGAGTGACAATGCACTTGTGAGTATTTTGAGTTGCAGGCGTTCATTAGCAGCGGTAGTCACTTACCGTCACTTTACACGTCTGTTCGTTTGCCCCCCTATATTAATAAATACCAACGTATTTTTTCTGATATGATACCGAAATATTAGTAAACAATTAGTAATACCGGTATTTCAATACATATAATTTAATTTAGGTATCCACGTTACCCTCATATTCATGTATCCATTTTCATATTTATGTTATTCTGTACTGGCTTTCAGAAACACAAGCTGTTTTAATCTTGTGGTTCTGCGAATGGATGAAGGAAATGCAGCACTTCGATGAAGCTAGTAGACCCAGGATGCTGAAACGGTTTAAGGTATGTGGCTGTGCAGCAAATTAAAGGTTACTAGCGAATTCTTTAGCTGGATCTTGTTTTGGTTTTTTTCCCTCTATCATTATAATCTAAATGATGAAACTGCAATATTAAAATTGAACTGACTGAGTCGTCAAATACGACGGTACAGTGCTGAAGTGTAAATACTACAATCACGATCACGGGGTTGATTACTGTTCCGTGCAATTATTTGTTGCCTGAACGTATTTATAAGCATTGGCCTAGAGAATGCTCTATGTCATAGGTGTATGTTTTTCGTCTGCTAGAGTAGATAGTAGGCAGGCTCAGGATGGGCGTAGACTGTGTTATTTGTACCAGAATATTTTGTCTGACGAGATAACATGTGCGTAAAAAGCCATCGTCATCGCCTTTAATGCACACACACACAAAAGTAGATAGGTATAGTATAATTTTCTCTACTTTCAGTGTTAAAAAACGCTTGCACAATATTTTCTTAATCAAGATAAAGATCCGTAACAGTACGAACTAGTTTTTAAATTAAGATACCTATACCTCATTCCAATTTGGAAATATATATTGTCTTGCATATTGGAAAGTTTTGGAATAAAACAGTTTCTTTGCTTTTTTTTTAAAAGACAACTCCCGCATTAGGAATATATCCTGTATCGCGGGGAACTTTACGGACATACATGAAAGGAAAAAAGAACACTCAGACAACAATTTGTGGATCACACAACGTGTCTTTGATTGAACCCACAACACTTAGCGTAGTAGGAAGTAAACCACTACGCCATCCATGCAGTCACACATTAGAATAGCAATTTCTTCCGTCAGCTACTACATTATAAACATGCGTAGTTTTTACTCGGTTCCTTATATACACGATCAGTTAGTTATCTAAATACATACAATTATTTGCCCTGACTGATTCATCAACCCAGAGCCTCAACCTCAGCTGGGGCTCCAAACTTCAAATTTTGGCGCTGACGCTTTTTATATTGTAAAGTTAAAGTAAAGGATTTTTGGAAATTTCAACCCTAAGGGGATTTAATAAGAGATGAACAGTTGTATGCAAGTTCGTCATTCTCTAAGTTAGAAATCGTACCATATATCTAATGGTCTTACTAGATACCATAGTCTTACCATATATTTAATGTAAAAGAATGTCTACATGTAACTTTTAAGGTTGAATCTCTCTCAAGTTCCGTGTAAACCGCGTTCAACTACTTAATTAATATCTGCGTAAAGAGCTTCGTCTTAAGCACTTAGTTTATTACAGAACTATTCTCAAGATTCCTCTCAAGCTAAGCGATGCCCGAGTTGAAATGAACCACATATTTTTTAACTAAACAAATATCAGTTAACGTCCTCCATGTCAAGCTCGGATCACAGGCTTTGTATCCCATCGATTATACAAAACCTGTGATCCAACCTAATCCCTGTGATCCGATCCGAGCTTTTGGTCTAATGGTTTTTGACCCTGACTGTTAAGCGCAAGTTCGTGGGTTCAATTCCCAACCAGGAAAAAAATTGTGTGATGAGCACTATTATTTGTTCTGTGTCTGAGTGTAATTAATCTATAGGTAGTATAGGTAGTATAAGTAGATATACATTGCTAAATACACATACGTGTGTTTAGCAATGTATATCTACTTAAGTGTTCTTATCTTATGCAGGCTGGTTACTATAGTACAGGCTCTACCTAAATTGGGATCAGTCTGCCACATGTGAGACGTGTGAAGTTATTACTTTTATAATTATTATGCTGACCAGTTGAAATTTGCAGGATAACATGTTGGCCGTAGCAGGACACATTGTGGACACGCAACAGATCCCAACGCCAGAAGACGTTGGTGTGTATTACATGGCCAAAGAGGCTCCTGTCGTAGCTAAACCTACAGCTTCGTCTCCGGTGGAGCCCATGCCGAGTGTGACCTTCGAATGGGCTGCATACCAGTGCTCACTTATTGACCTTACGAAGATAATACATTATATATTTGATCTGTAAGCACAGTTTTGTTTTGTATATACCTAGTTATAATATGTTTTAAGAAGTATAAGAATGATCTAACAGTATGCGGTTACCGACATAATTATATGATCTGTGATCACTAATCATGAAAAACAAATGCAAAAAGTTAACAAAATTGCACAGAATGAGCAATAGTAAACAATAATAATTGAGCCTTTAATAGTCCGTTGCTGGACATAGCCTCTCCAGAAAGAGGTTAAATTCAATAAAAGAAATGCAATGAATTGAATCTCGTCTGACAGATGTGAAAGAGCGAAATTATTTTGTAGAAATAATCAGCAGTCACTTGCGAATGGCGACGCGTCGCATCGCCAACAGTCGGTTTGACCTTCCATTAGATGTTTCACATCAAAAAATTGAACGGAACAATATTCGCAAATGATGTGTAACATCTCATTGGCAAAATCAAATACGCGACTTTTTCCGGTTTCCTGTTACACACTCCCGTCCCTTTTCACGTAACCACTCCCACAGATAGCAGAAAAGCTAGAGGAACGATGTTACACATTAATGAACTAATAAGATATTATTATAATATAATATTTTTTGTAATAAATAAATAAATAATATTTCGGACACCTGATACACAATGCCATCTAGGTTCAAATTAAGCAGGGCTTGTACTATGAAAACTAGATAGACTGATAGAATACTTATGTACTTTTTTTTTGTAAAAACATACATATTAAACACAGAAAACACCCAAAGTCCGAAACAAATATTTGACGATCATACAAACATTTGGTCCTGCCTGGGAATCGAACCCGAGACCTCAGCACAGCAGTCGCATACGCTACCACTCTGCCACCGAGGCAGTTATACATATATAGGCAGTATAATCTCATTACAATAACGCCCAAGAATAATCATGGTGGCGGTAGTCAATTTCCATCAGGTGATTCGACTGCTTGTTTACCAATTATACCTGTCAATTTTTTTTTTCAATTCAAACTAATCTCTAACTAACTAATAAATTTAATAAACTCATGTATATACCTACATATTTCTATAAATCACAGAAACAATTTTTATTACAATAACGCCCAAGAATAATTACTTGCATTAGAAAAAGAAACAAAACCTGAAGTAACATACTTATGTTTCAAAGATTTTGAATGCTCTATCATTGGGCTTCTTAGAGGCTTATTTTTTATGGTATAGGGAGGCAAGTCACCAGACGCGTTACCTGATGGCAAGTGACAATCGCTGCCCATGGACACGTTGCAACCCTTTGAGTCCCTTCCATCAGGAGGAGGGGGTTTATACTCCAGTAACCTCTCACTCGGTGAAAAGCACTAACTGCTATACTGACGGCGTATCAATACGGTCGAGCCTGACCCCTTGCCGAAGCATGGCTCTCCGCCGGCCTCTTCTTCTTCTATAACAATATACTTACTATTATATTGACAGTTTCAGCACAGACTACCAATACGATCTGGTACGTTCTATCTTCACCTACTCCCCGGATTACATCCACATCGATATGCCATACCAGATACAGAATCCAAAGAAGATGTACGCACCTCTCAAAGCCAAGCCTCCGAAGAAAGAGGCAAAGAAGGCCGAGGTGAAACCAAAAGGCAAGAAGAAGGATGATACACCGATTTCTCTGGAGTATATAGCTTTAATGGAGGTAACATGTTTCAGTACTAGTGGAATCTTCAATCAAAGGATAGTTATGAGCATGTACCCGATCCTCTTCAAACTGCTGAAGGATCAGTCCCATTCCCCATCCGATACTTAGTTGCGTTGCAGTCCATTCATTCATTCATGGTCCTCATTCTTTTGTCCAGTCAGAATATAATTACATACCCAAGGACGATTGACGTTAGGCACACGGCCGGCTGATCATGGTTATATATCGCGCCAGCCCTAGGTTCTTCATAAACATCTCTTTTACAGCTTAAAGCTCGCGAAGAGAAATGTCTTGAAGAGTTGGAACAAACAGAGCGCGAACAATGGAATCGGAAGAGCCACATATTACCTCTCCAATTTGCTACTACAGACGAGCTCTTCGACAAGTACTGGCCCCCACCAACTCCTCCTCCAGAACCTGAAAAGGAACCGGAGCCAAAACCGAAGGGAAAGAAGAAGTGAAAAGAAGACATTGACATTCAGCGTTTTAGTGTGGTCTTAAACTGCTTATGAAGTTAGCAAACAGCCATGGTAGTTAACCGCTTAAAGGTGGTGTCAATTCAAATCCTCCATAACCTAAAACCAATCCTTATCCTTCTCACAAAACAGATAGCTGTTCTACACTCCTCAACATTACTATGCCAACGACTCTAAAATCTGTATGTCTTACCATCGTGAAGGAACAAGCCGGACACTGGCTATAAAATGCAGTTACTTCATTTTAACCTCATATAGTTTTTTTACATCCTAAAGTAGAAAAATATTTACAACAACATTCATATCATATCTTATCGACTTGCCTATCCCTTCGGAGACACGGGCGTCCCTCGCTCGTATATATTTATATTTGGACTGCGCTGTTTAAATAAAGGCACAAAAATACTTGTTGTTGTATCTATATTAAAAGGAAACATGGTTTAGCTTTTCTACAGGCAGGACCAACTTTCAGTCTTGCTCTGTGTACAGTTTTGAAATGTATACTCGTAGATGGCATTTTTTTTTCTTGGCTGTTTACGTCTTTTAGCTTAAAAAAACTCCTCATTTCTTTGACTTTTTCGTCTTGCGTTATTAGTTGTCGGTGATCTCGGGTAATCTAGTAAAGATGTCGGTGGAGTAGGTATTTTTAGCCACAACATAATGTTTATAGTTGGAGGGTAGTTCGAGAAATAACTTAAAGTTACAGGATACAATGATTTATTTCTATTATTATACATCGTAAATGGTATGCAATGTACAAGAATAATCTATTTTTATTAAGTTTAAACACAGAATATATATTTTTTTTAATATTATCTGCAGTGCGTTAATAATTGTATTTGTCTATACTAGAGTTAAACGAAAGATATTATTTATTTATTTTTAACTTTATGCACTTTGTACAAGGGCGGACTTCATGCCAAGGGCGTTCTCATCCAGTCAACCTTTGGTGGATGTAGAGATCTTGTAAGGGAGGTGCACAGAGGTTACATAATTACGTAATCAACCTTTCCGATTACATATTACTCCTTTCCGAGTCTCTAATTAATATCAAATTAATATCTTTCGAGCAACTCTAATCAAAACATGACAATAATTTCTAAATATTTATTTACATTAACATTTTGCTTAAAAATTATTAATTAATGAAACGACATGTAGATTATATTTGGTTAAAATTGAGTAATACGTGTTCTTCTATCATAAGATATGCTAATTAAATAATTGGTTCAGTAGATTAATGAACATTTTGATATCTGATAGTTATAACAAAGCTACTGCTAATGTGCTGAAATCGGCAGTGTGTCTGATGGCATTTGAGCATTCCCAGAATTGTCACTAACTTTGTTTATGGTGTAGGGAGCAAACGAGCAGTTATGGTGACGACCGCCGCCCAAAGACACCTGGAACAAGAGTCAAGTGCGTTGACGTTTTTTGAATGTCCCTTCCCACAGAATAAGGAGAGGGGAGGTTTGGGCTTAACACAGCATTATACCACCCACTATACCGTAGACGACATAGCACTCTGGAACAGTTAGCTTTGTTATATCATCAGATAAACATTAAATAAACTAACTTAATAATATTAATAAGACAAATAAATCACATTATTCTGGAATAATTATATCATATTTTAGTCTATATCTCTATAATGTACTGGATATGTTATATAAATTAATTTATGGCTTTTTAATTGTTACCATACATTTTAAAAACCACGGAAGAATAAAAGCACTACCCAATTGTATCACAACTATGCACAGCTCAGCAGCATTACTCCAAACTATGTCACATAACTTAGAGAGCGAGTATTTTATAGACGTAGTTTTTAATGATACAGGGAACACCTGGTCCTTAATTGTGCTATTTTATTTTAACGCACAAGCCACTGTCATGCCATTGATATCGGTCAAAATATCGGTATTCTACTAACATAAATTCACGGTGTCAATGGACTGGGAATGTATTGGAAATAGTGATATTAACAATCACATATTACAAAGACATCGACGACACTTGTATAATTGCCAGTTCAGTGACAAGTCATCGGGCAGGAATTGGTCTTACATATTTAGTAGAATACGAAAAGTGCAAAACTATGCCAACGACAGTTCATCGTCAGTCGAATTGAGGCCCTGATGGTAAGTGACTACTCTTAATCTTATGAAGGTTATCTGAAGAAATACCGTAGACGACAATTTGTACCTCAAGTTTATTTTTTATCGTATAGGGGTTGAAAGAGTCCCCTCACCCAAAATCAGAGGGAGGCTGAGGGTTTGAGCTCTAGTAAACTCACTCACTAGGTGAAAAGAACTGCTGGACACACTGGTCGAGCCTGGCAAATATAAGCCGAATAGTTTCTACAAAAAACAAAACAAAATACATGACATCCTACTTTCGTAGTGTTTTTATTATTCCGTGTTGAAAACAGAGTACTACAATAATTTGCTTCTCAGAAGCGAAGTGGAGTACTTCAAGTTCAATTGATGAAATCAAAATAAAATATTTGTATATTTTCTATTGATTTCGATTGATTGATTCGATTTGATTTGATCCAATGTGGTAGTGCCTTGTATGAAATATTTGGATTATAATTGAACGTCGGAACTATTGGGTTACAACTGAATGTTTAAGCGCCACTCAAATTTGAGATGGTATTAAATCTTGAAATAGGAAAAACTAAGGTTTATATTTAAATCAAGTATTAAGTTCATTTTATATGTAACTTAAATAACTTTTAATAGATTTGAAATTCTACTTAACAAAGTATAATAATTGCACATATTTTTTGTCGAAATCTTTACCTAATAATAACTTGAAAGGAATGCAAAAAGTTATTGTAAGTCTTGGAAATAAAGACTGTTTTAAAATGTCCAAGTTTTAGTTATGAGGTTTTCCCTCAAAGCTTATAATACTTTTTGTTTTTTTTTTGTGATGAAATTAAAAAATATAATATAAGCGTATTGTAGTACAGCCAGCAATGAATATTTTATGTTACGAACTTAGTACTGAATCAATTTCGGTGACTCATTAGTTTTATTCTTTACAAATATTATTTAAATATCAGAGACATCTTGTGACATTTTCGAAAAAGCTATTACTTATTTTATTTTATGAGCATCATTGTTTTACGTTTTCGAAATTAGTTACGAAATTAGTTACTTTAAAAATGACTTAAAAAACCATAGCATTGGGTGATTTGGTACTCCGAAACCAAAGAAATAAAAAAAAAGTTGGTGACTTCAAATCAGGAATTGAAGGCTTTTTCTAATAAAAAATGTTTTCCTTCAAAATCTTATTTAACAAATATATAAAGACAACCTTCTTTATCGTGTTATTTATTGCTACATGTGTCATTGTTATTGTTGTATAAGAAAAGTTATTTGTTTGTACCGATTATTGGTATTCAACCAATGATTTTACATAACTGTTTAGTGAATATCAGTCAGTATAAATTTTATTCGAAACAATTATATTAATTTAAAATTAGACTAAGTCAAAACCAACCGAATTTCATTAGTTATAACAAATTTGTTTTACTAAAACATAAACAGTAATTTGCCACAACATAAGAACAACATCACCTTTTGGCTCAGTCACAAACAATTTTTGTAATAAATTGAGCAATCGACGATTGTTTGTTTAAAAATTGAGAATGTAAATTAAAGTATCACATTTTAATAATTCTCCTACTTAAATTTTTAAATGCAAACCTTTTGTAATACCTTAACATAATTTTGTATACTCTAGATATTAAAAATTTGGTAATTATTCCTGAGAACTAGGTAATATATTTATGTAGCAGACTGTACTTTACCATATTTTATTGACATTCAAATGGGCATTAAAGGAATGAGGTGGTTTACCCCTTGAACCTAATTACCCCTTGGTTTTTATTAACCCTTTAACACCAACTTATACCTTAGTCCTTATCGAGAGTAAGACCGGCGTGAGGGGTATAAAGGGGTGCCAAGGGGTAAAATGGGTAAATATGACCAAGAGGCATAATGCTACTAAAAATGATATAAGAACTGATGGGTCATTAGGGGGCGAGAAGGTAATATGAAAAAGAGATTAAAATCTATGTTTGTTTGCTCAATATATCTAATAATTATATAAATTTAATCGTATAATAATAATAAAATATAGAGCCGTCCACTAACTTCATGATTATTATGCATATTATTACTAACATTGACACAAGGTTGAGAAACATTGGTTTTATTTACTTACAAAATATCTTAACAACCCATCCATGAGACACCCAATAATTTAATATTATTTTATCATACGAATAAAAGCTGGAATTCTATTATAATATGCAATCAAATATATGCCTTATAGAACTGGTTTTAGACTTACTTTTGAGCAGATTCAATGCTTGTTTAGGGATTTATTAAAGCATATTGACATTATAAAATAATAGCAATAATGAATATGCTATGGTAACCAGACTGCTGATAAACACAATAAAAACATTTTTTTATGCAATAGGGAGCAAACGTGCAGACGGGTCACCTGATAGAAAGCGACTACCGCCGCTCATGAACGCCTACAACTCAGGCGTCACAAGTGCGTTGCTATTCTTTGAGAAAGGAGTACGCTCTTTTCTTGAAGGTTTGAATATATACAAATTAAAGATTAATAACACTGAGATATAGAACAAATAAACGTATTCACACAATTATTATTTTTGGATGGGTAATAATCTTCCGAGCCTTTTTCCAAACTAAGTTGGGGTCGGTTGTGAGTCTACTACGAGACGGCTGAACTTCGATTTTTCACGTTGAGCGACTGCCATCAGACATAGTACCAACTACTAAGCGATATCTAGGTTCTGTAGATACTGTTATCCGGCTTTTTAGGGCTACTACCGATCGGAATCGATGGCTTAACGTGCTATCCGAGGCACGGAGGGGTCTCAAGTGTTAAGAATTGCCACCCATCCATATACTGACCTGGCTAAGGTTGCTTAACTTTGCAATGTACTAATCTACCCGGTTACCTCTTGGCCCTTTTTCTGGATAGCTATCGGAACCCATCTATTTCCTGATAGGCTAATCAATTGTACCTATGTATTTATTATTATTATAAACAATTTTGAAGTGCTACTTATTCAATAATAATAGTAAAACATCAATCAAAATACAAATTATATGAATTACATACCCAATTCTCAGTATTTTATCATTACCCTTGAAATTGGCAAACATATATTTTACATCTAGCTTCAGTTAGTTAAGGTTGTTGATGATGATGAATCTAAAATCAATTCAAGTATAAAGCAGTATATATAATACAAAGGGAGATTCTACCGTAAATGCATTTAAATGTAATTAATATGTTGGCAGTACATTAAAACATTACTTACAACTATGTTAGATAACTTATTTACTTGTGTGTTGTCTGTTTGAATATATTACACGGCACTATTCAGATACAATCTAAAATGTGAAATCAGACAGTTCAATTTTGTTTCCTTAGTATAATTTCCAATTTTTTGGCCTATGTCCAGCAGTGGACTATTAAAGGCTGTTGATGTGTGTGATGTGATGTAATTTTATATGAATGACTCATGAGTTCATTGTTCAACACATTAAAAAAAGTTAATTAAACAATATGAATAGACATTCGCTAGGAGTCGGCCATCTTGTTTTGAGTCCTATAACAGAAGAATGGCACGACTTCATTTATCATTTTGAAAAAATGGAGAAGGAATGTTCTTTTTTATTTCATTCCAGTTGAGCCATGGACTGGTAGAACATTCACTAGAGTGAAGCATCCGATATCATCTTAAGCATAGCTTATTGTATGGGTACTGATAGTATGAAAACATAGATTATAGACACACAACACTTATATACATTTCTTTTAATTACAGATTATTTATGTGCTATTGAAATTAGCTATTGATTGAACACTAATCAAAAACATTTAATTGTTTTCTGAATATTAAGTCTCAAAAATACTAAGTTTGTAGATACTGATTCAAGTGGAATTATTTTTTCTATAAGAACTAGAAATTATAAACTGTTTTAATACATTTGGAACATATTATACAATGTTTACTAAAAGTGAATGACACATGGTGTACTATTGGTTCTAGAACACAGATAGATACATATTGTGGATGAAAATATTAACTTTATACTATGGTATAATTTAATATCAATGGCTGTTCAATCAGCAAATAAACGAACACCCTAAAAGTATTATGAAAGGATACTGATCCCATCCATAGACTTGATAATTATCTATGAATATAAAATATTTAAATTACAGTATAATACATTTTTTTAACTGATATTATTTGAGCTCATTTGTATACTGGTTAGTGAGCCTGACTGCTCGATTATTTGCTCTGGTTTGGAATTGAACCTGTGAACTTAGAGATCACTTGTGTGTGGTGTCACAGTCAATATTTGTATGTTGAACGCGATCATTTGTTCCGTGTTCAGGTATTATTTATCTATAATATGTATGTTTTTAGAAATATATGAGTATGTCTGTCAGCAGTCTAGTTATCATAGTACAGGCTCCGACTAGTTTGCCATTAGACATTTTATATACTAGTTTACAATATATTTTTCGAAGAGCATTTAAAATAAGAACTTAATTAAGTTTAACTGGTAAAAAAAACAATATTACCGTTTATTTCACCAGTAAAATTGCAGCGGAATACGCAAGTCTCAGGTTAAGCAGACTTTTGGTATCATATCCTAGTTCCCTACCTGTTATTCCTCTTTAAATACCAATGATTCTGTTTATTTTACTTAATCAGAAAGCTGATAAATAAATACGTAAATACATTTTTAATACAATCAATTACTGATACGAGCTGTGATTATATATCCACATAATGTCCAATGTTAGACACCTATAGTCACACCGATGATGATCAACACCAACAGTAAATAAAAGATCTCAGCACTTTCACTTCATAAAGAAACTCGAGTCAAAATCACAAAGGTCAATGGCACAACACTAGTGGCGTCCGGTCGCGGAGTCGATGGCACATCACATGTGTAGGAGCGCGGGTTCGAGTCCCGTGCAGTGCGCTTGCTACAGCAATGCACGACGGCACTCGTCCCTGTACGCGCCCATAGTGCCCCTATTTCATGTTTGCCACCTGAAATTTATAAACGGTGCAATTAGGGTTGCCTCTTAGGTTTTTTTTTAAATTTATTTTTAACAAGCTTTCTTTTTATTTAGGATAATGTAGAGAAACTTCTACGATATCTGTTGTAGTCTCTTTTGAGATTTAATATAATAAAAATCCAGCAGAAGACCATGCAAAACTTACACACCAATACCACACAAATCACCGATTACCAGAGTATCAATAAACAGGACTACTGTTTATTGATACTCTGGTAATCGGTGATTTGGTAACTGGTAGGTGGTAAAATTGAGACCAAAGGTTTTAATTTAAACTCTCCATCTCTTAGTCTTGATGTAAACTAGGGAGACCAAAATCTTTACTGTTCTTCTATAATCAAGTATTGGAAACAACATATTATATTACTGTATCTGGACTCTGCCTGGAGTTGTTTAAACTTTTTTAGAATTGGTGCAGACAACTTGTCACACGTTGTTGACCCCCTGTTCCCTTAAATTAATTTAATGGATTACCCCCCTTATAGGCGAGTCATTTTTGCTACTTGGTACTTCGGCTGAGATGCACCGATCGTGGTCAATATTGGACCGTTTACACCTCTCATACGCACAGATGGTAAGAAAGTTTAAAGCCAATTAGTATTTAGTACAGGGTAGTGACACAGTAGTAGCAGCACATTACCTGGCCTTCTGCAGCTCTATCTGTCCCTCGAGGGTCTTGGCGAGGTAGATGACGAAGAGCTGCGAGAGCGCGACGGCGAGCGCGACGGAGGCGATGGTGTAGAGGTTGCACTCCGCCCACGAGCGCACGATCTCTATACACCCGCTCGTCCACACGCGCTTGCTCGCCTCGGCCACCTGCGTTTATATCGATATAATAATAATAATATAATATATTCTACCACATACACACAACGCCATCTAGTCCCAAACTAAGCAGAGCTTGTACTATGGGTACTAGACAACTGATATAAATACATATATACTTTTTTTTTTTTTTGTAAATACATACCTACATATTATACATAGAAACACCCAGACCAAATCAAACATCAAATGTTCATGCACACAAATGTTTGACTTGAGCGGGAATCGAACCCGCGACCTTTGGAATAGCAGTTCGTTACACAAACCACTACGCCATCCAGTCGTCGATATATTTTTTTAGTAATAATTTCACACCTCTCGCAAACGGCAGTCTTATCGCAAATTAGTTACAGCCGACTACAGACTGCTGATAAAGATAATAAATATTTCTAAATCTATACAAATAAAAGAAATTGAAGTGTCTGTTTGTAATGTTAAAATAATAGGTTATTTGCACTATACCTATGCTCAAAAACCAGTTTAAATATTTTTGTCCATCTGTTTGTTCCGGATAATCTTGAAAACGGCTGGACCGATTTTGATAATATTTTACTACCAGGTAGCTGTCTACATAAGGAGTTACTAGGGGTATTTTTTCTCACAGAAAAACCGTACAAAATTTTGACCGGTCTGAACCCACGAATCGAACCGAACCCACGGTCTGCATCGAACTCACTAAGGCAGCGCTTTTCAAATTCCACGCGAAGGAAGTCACGGACACCAGATAGTTATGACATAATTTGTCGGACATTGGATAATTAATATAACTCGTGGTTAATAATAATTTTCCTTAAAAAAGCGTTTACCAAATTCTATGAAATAAGATTCTAATGTGATAACAATTTGCCAAACTAGAAAGTAGATGAATCTACCCTTTCAAATAAAAAAGAAACAGGGTCAGACATATTCGAAAAATCGAGTAATTTAAATAAAAACCAATGATCTGAAAACATCTTCCCTTTTCTGAAGTCGGTTAATAATAGATTATAAGACTACTCACAGGATAGCTTTGCACTCCATAACCGCACATAATATTAACGAGTCCAGATGATATATCAGTGGCGTTGATACAACACGAGAACGGAACCCCACACCTCTCGACAGACGGCGAGGTGCAGTTGAAGTATTCGTTCTTGGACCAGTCCATGTACCCATCAGAAGTTAAGCCGCAGCAATGGAACTGGAAGAAATAAAAACTATATTAATATTCTGAAGCATATATTACACAACGATTCGCTGATTCGCAATGATAAATAATAGTTCATAATGCTCGCTCTTCACTGGCTGTATCAGAGAACAAGAATGAGTCCACACCATCTCATAGAATGTTCTGGACGTTTTATGAACTTTCCAGAATAATTTCATCGACAAATATCCCATTGACTCGACACGGAAACTTCTAGAACATCACGGGAGTCTGGACTGTTCGAACTTTTCTGGAGCATGCCCATCACTTCCATTTGCTCAGCGTTCCAAACAATTTTTCTACATCACTCACTCATCAATACATCATAACAACAGTTTTTTACGAATCTTCCGCTGTGTATTCCTCTGCATCTTTCATATAAATTCTGACAAACTAGGTTAAGGCCGGGCATGTTGCTGAAAGGGTATGTTAAGGAAAGATTGACAAAATATAGCAAAAGTTAGTTAAACAGGGTACACTGGAATTGCAACATTCACTGGTAACCAGTAGAATGTTGCAATTCCAGTGTACCCTGTTTCCGGTTTCCGGTAACCGGTTTGCCGTGCGGGATGCTTTTTTTGCAACCGAAGCGGTATAATGATCTTTTGTTAACTAGTCAAATTAACTTAGGTTAGCGTCCGCAGTGTTTCTACTGGGTAGGTTCGAACCCACTTCCTTCTTAATAGTTGCTGAACTTACATCACTTTGAGCGAAGTCAATGAAGTTCTGCAGATCAGGATCATCTCTATAGGCGTGTACCACTCGTTCGGTGAAGCTCAGCTCCACTATGCCGTGCAGTGATCGTGGAAACACGAAACCGCATACCGCCCCACCCATCTCCACCAGAAAGAGAATCAGTAGGCAGAGGGAATACTGTGGAAAGAGATAGATTACACTGTCATTTATTTATTATAATACTGATAACAAACAAGTAAGTTGATGAGGGGTATATACGCTAAGAGGTAGGCAGAGATGAATTTGGTGCAGATTTATTTTGACAAATCAAGGGTAGTATTTTTTACTGTTGCTGAGAATATCTGAATAATCGAATAGTTTTGACCTACGAGCTATTACACCACGACTTTCGAGTGGAAAAAGAAGTTAAAATGTATCTTTACAGATCTCACGGCTACATTTTGGGCGGCGTTTGCTCGACCCCTCTTCCATAAAAAAAATTGATTACACAGACACATTTCATTCCAAAAAAATAAAACTAAACTACTTTATTTTCCAAAATGCGTTTATAAGTCGTGCACTACGTTCGACTTATAAACGCATCTTAGAAAGAAAATAGATTATTTGCCAAACAAAGAAGTATATCATCGAAATGGCTTATTTTTATGTTTTTTTTATTTAAACATAGATATAAGAGTCAAAAACTCATCCATCGACTGCTTGTCACTCTCTTATCAAGGCAATAAGAACAAAAACTCGTTATCAGCGAGTTGAGTTATAACTGAGTGCATATAGCAATATTTTTATTACATTTATTTTTGAACGAGTAATAAATATTTTACAATTCTATTTGGTCAATGTTAATCTCTATTGACAAAACTTAATAATTACTTAACTAAATAATTTGATATTTTGTCACTTTTGACTGTGGATTTTGTTAACAATACTATTACGAGTATACTAACCTTTAAACTATCGCGTTCTATAATATCAGATTAAGTTTACGGTAATTTTTAAATATTTATTAGAATAGGTATCAGAGATAGAGTCAGCCTCTGACCAGGTCCAGTGTAACCTGAAGGCCAATTCTCGTAATCAAAATTCGGTTCCGATCAAGTCTCGATCTCATGTCGAAACCTCGGGCAATGCAAAGGTATGTTCTTAATACCAATCGTGAGCGCGTTAATTCCCGTAAACATAATTAATTAATACTACAGTGTAAGACCAATCTAAAAATATATTTTAAAAACCAGTGAGAATTTCATTGTTCAAATCAAAAAACCTTCTGACGAAATCACTCGCACTTTAGGAAAGCGAGAGGAAAGACACATACAAAAGAACTGCCAAAATCTGTTTAATTCATAAGTAAAATATTCGTAAGTAAAATATCGAATTCGCCACTTTTCTTAACCCTTTCCAATCCTCAATTTAAAACACCAAATACCTACACCAAATTTAAAAATAGAAAAATGATTTCAAAGTAATTTCCTAATTACATTATTAACTTAAGAAAAAGAAACAAAATAGTCTACTACTACTTACAAATTTAAGTAGGCACGTATTCTCTCTCAGTGCACCGACACATCCGGCGAAGCTCACGATGAAAACGACACCTCCAAGCATAGCAATGAGCAAACTTATATTCAGCATCAAATCGTAAATTGTATCCAACTGGAAAATAAAAAAATCGTGATAAATTGGCATAGTGATACAGCAAAGTCTTTAAGAAGTCTGCCTGTGTGTTAGCCGATTTTTGCTCTAAATAAATTACTATTTTCATGTCATTTTTTTTTTTATTTTTGACTGTAAGAAGCAGAGAGAAGCGAGTTCATACAGAAAATAAATTCTTCAGTGTTTTTTAATGCTAACATTCGCATGCGGCTTCGATCGCATATGTGTAATATTAATAATAAATAATCTTTATTGTACACCAGGAAAAGAAAACAAAATTTCTACCCATATTAACAAACATATATGAAATGCACAATGGACGGTTTTATCAATCAATTCACTATTCTTTCCTATGGTACCCTACGTCCTTTTCTGTATCCTTAAATACCTGTACACAATAATTTATAAAGATCGTTTCAGTAGTTAAGGCGTGAAGGAGTAACAAACAAAATCACTTTCACACTCATTATATCACTTGCAAGCGCCTTAGCTCGCGTTAATCCCAATTATAATATTTTTTCTGTGAATAAAAGTTAGCCTATGTATACTAGACTATAATATAACCCTGTTTCATTTCTTTCAAATCCATTTAGCGGTTTTGGCGTGATTAAGTAATAAGATGGTAAAGACAGCTTTATGACCCGAGAAGGTTCTTATTAAGGACTAGTTGTTGCCTCCAACTTCGTTCGTGTAGAATTTGAAATGCGCTGCCTTAGTGGGTTCGATTCCCGGACCGCGCAAAATTTTATAAGGTTTTTCTGAGAAAAAATAGCCTAAGTTACTCGTATATTACTTGTTTACTCAGCTACCTGGTAGTAAAATATCGGTACTGCGGTTTTGAAGATTACCAGGAACAAACATACCGAAAGGCAAAAAATATTTAAACTGGTTTTTAGGCAATGGTATCGCGCAAATAGCGTGAAAATATTTTGACATTACAAACAAACACTTCAAAAAATTGAAGTGTTTGTTTATAAATAAAAAAATATTTGTATAAATGTATTGAAAAGTTTATAATATAATATAATGTTCTTTATTGCACACCAAATAAAATAGTAATGAATATTTTAGCTCATCATAAAGCTTGGCTGGTCGCGCGCTTTAGCGATGATACAAAGTTCAATGACACCGACCTATTTACAGAAGTAATGTCAATATGCTGTCTCTCCTTTGTAAGTTGATTTAACTTAATAAATAGCTTTAATATTTCCACTCGGTAAGTTGGTTAAAGCAACTTACTCCACTCTTGCTTGTGAAAAAGAACTCTAACTTGATACGAGAAAAGAGATGTTCTCCTCGCAGCCCACCAATTTATCTATAGTGAAAGCGTTAAACATATCTTCGTATCACCAAGAATGGAATAAAATATATTAATACAAGTTGGTCGTTCATGTCACAAGTATGTATGTATCAAACAGTAGTTTTCTTACTAAATTGCGAACGGCTGCAGTGAGTAGAAACGAATTATTATTAGTCATTACTAATTCTAAGACACCGATTCCCGTATGAAATAATTGTGGGCGACATTATTTCTATCATGTGTACACATACACATTCCATGTGTATCAAAAATTATACGCACAAATCTTTTATAAATAGTACAGACTCTGCCTAGTTTGAGATCTCACTGCCTGACGTGAGATAGGTGAAATAAATATAAATCTTCCTCATGAATGTAAAAAAACGTAGTAAAAACCGCTGTGCGGTTTTTACTACGTTTTAGCGTTTAAAATTAATACCCTATATCATAAAAAGTTTAGCCAACAGGTCACCTAATGGACAGTGACCACCGGCGCCCATGAACACCTGCAGCTCAGGAGTCACAAATGCGTAGCCGTTGTATCATAATTTAATATTACAGGATCACTTGACAACACGACTAATACCCTCAATATTATTGTTTCCTAAACCAATATATGTGAGGTACAAGGAAAATTTTGTTTCGAATAATATTGATCTGGACAACATTACATTCCTGAAACTCAGCAATTATATCACCTTCCTCAAACGTTTTGAGGTAAATATTGTACTGTATTTCAGCTCTGCATTGCTTTAAGGTCGACTGGGAGAAAATGCCCGCCTTTGTCACATTTGTGCTTGAAGTATAAAATAAAAAAAAAACAGTAACAATGAGATTGATGTCTTTGGAACCCAACAAGTAGTGAGAGAATGTCAAATGAAAACAAGGATTGATCCTGGGCTGGGTCTACTTGGTACAATTTAAATCAGCCAATGAAATTCGAGCTTGTCGTAAGTCTTAAATACACAAAAATAAGTCCCCTGTCATTACAGTTTGAAAACTTATTCTGGCTTTTATAATTCTTTATACTTAACCTTGATAATGCTATTTGCAATTAGAATGTCACTAATTTAAACATTTCGTAAAAATCGAATAATCAAATAAGTACAATTTCCTTCATTTTCATATTAAAAGTAGATACTTTATTGGATTAACATAAGATTCCAATTTCAGCCCGGTCTTTTTGTTCTGTTTATGCATGTTTTTCTAGTAGATAAATGTCAGTCTGGTCACAAATTAATTACTAAAAATTTTAATATATTGTTTTGGAGATTAAAAATTCTTTAGGACTGAATGCAGAACAAATTTAAAGTATTATCTGACTATAACTAAGCTTTACGTACCTTTATATTTTTAGTTTAAAATACACAAAGTTTAGTCATCTAGTGACCAATAGAAGTAACTATATTTCAAAAAAACACTACGAGATTTTTTCCAGAATTTTTAATAAATTAAGTATAAAATTACTTAAAAAACCGAATTATTTTAAACACGATAAAATACATAAATACAAATACAGCCACGCCCACTGTGATGACGTCAGGACCTACTTCGTATCACAGTGCACAGTTGCTTATGCCCTCTCCTCTTTGCATTTGCTCCGTGGTTCAACTGGTCCCTAATAAATCTTATCAGCCGATCCTATCAGCTACCAGTCCCATCCTCATCCCAGTCCCAGTAAAATAGTAAAGTTACTAACACTAGAAGATTCAATTTTCGGTTACAATACGATATAATAACATTACAGTCAACGTTGGATGTTTAATATTTTACTACAAAAATACCTTTTACGACCGTTGTGAGATCGAAAGTTGATCAGAACTGAATTGTGACCGAACTTTAATTACGGGGATTGGTCTTCAGGTCATGGTTGCATACCTGTAACTCGAACTGGTTGTTGACGAGAAGTGCGTGCCCTCTAACCATATTCACTTCATTGTGATTTTAAAGTTAATAAATTTTACAAATACATGATTTCAGATAGAAAACGTGGTACTTAAAAGCTATTGTTTCATGCATTTTTACTGTACATAACATTTTACAACGAGCAAAGGATATGAATTCACAGTTATCTGTCGCGTGATCAGTATAAATCTAAATAGCAGTGCGTGTGTCACTGAACTCCGCCTAAACTGCTAAACAGTTTCTGATAAATATATATTGTATAGGTTTAAACCGGCGCCACAGCTGGGTTCTGTTTTTTTTTTTTACCAGTTTTGTTGTTATTCTTTTGTAAGATTATAGCTTATTTAAAAAAAAAGAATTCTACAGGTGTACCAAAGTACCTAATTGTAGATTTTTTTTAATAAACTATAATCAACTATATAATAAATATGTGGTTGATCTGTTTTTGCTTTAACCTCATATTTGTTTAAATAAAAATGTATTTCGTAATGTGTCATTTGTAATCTATACTAATATTATAAAGCTGAAGAGTTTGTTTGTTTGAACGCGCTAATCTCAGGAACTACTGTTCCGATTTGAAAAATTCTTTCAGTGTTAGATAGCCCATTTATCGAGGAAGGCTATAGGCTATATATCATCACGCTAAGACCAATAGGAGCGGAGCACCAATGAAGAATGTTTCAAAAACGGAGAAAATTTATTACTATTGAGAGACGCAGACGAAGTTGCGCGGGTCAGTTAGTGACTCATAAAATGCAGTATGACGTCACACCACTGTGCATACCTGTAGCAGTGAGTCACGGTCGCTTAAAATAAACCGCATAAGGCTTGAAAGGTTATGGAGATGTTTATTCTTGATCATAACCAAGCATATGATTCGTAAGGAGGTACTCTGAAGAAATAACCAACACTGCTTAGACAAAGGCAATGGGCAGGGTAAGACACGGACACTCCTTAGAACTGACTACTAGTAAAAAATTGCGCTCACGAAACAAAAATGGGTCCACAGATTTTTTATTCATTGTTTTTTGATCTAAGGTTTATTACAATTTATTAAAAGCCTATTCAGAAACGAGAGGCAGTGGAAAGGGACCAAAACCATTTTATGTTGGATTGCCTATTTAGTGTTCATAAATACTACTACTACATAATACTGTTTTCTAAGACATAGGTAAACACCTTGTTGGAAATCAGAGTTACTGTTTATTATATATACTATTAACATTAATAGAATAATAAAGATTAGTATCATTATTATGCCATAATATTATACACACATACAAGCTGAGAGTCTTATTCCCGTCCGTGGTGGGCAGAGACGATAGAATACCATTTGACACAATATTTATCAGGTCTTTTATACATTCATTTTTATGAAGACTATCTGTCGACTGTCTTTCTTAAGCTATATAATGTTGCCATGTCATTATATATGTAACTTTTGTAACATTACATAGCCTAACAGACTGCCTTCTTCAAGAGCTAGAAAGCTAGGAAGAAATATTTAATCTGCTACTGAGATATTTTAGCATACATATTAAATAAATAGGGTAGTCTATTGCTGTAGAGCAGGGATTCCCAAACTGGTTGATATCAGTTTCCCAGGGGTAAACATAAAGGAAAACTAATATTGGGGTCTAAAATTCTATTGCTATTAATTAACACAAGTTCTTATTTGAAACTTTTAAGATACTGCACAAGTTGTGTTACGTGTAGCCACTTCTTATAAGACTGACTAATATGTCTATTTATTTTGTTAAATTTTGATGAAAAAAAATGTCAAATTGAGTTCACTCACTTAACAAACAGCAAAGTTTTGATATTTATAAGTATTTTGTATCAATAGGAAAAAACTAGAGATAGGACTTTAGAGTACTTTAGCTCTTTGGGTCTGAGGTATCAGTTCATTTAAAAAAAGGGGTTTTCTGCCCAAAATAGTTAGGGCATCCCTGTTGTAGAGGTGGCTAGTCTTGATGGTGGGCCAGACTAAATCACATCAATGTTCAGCTCAGCCAATACAGAAAGGCAAAACTTGTATGATTACTATTACAAAATATATATAACTGGAGGTTAGCTTGTAATACAGACAATGATTGTCTCCAGTAAAAGTCTCACCAAAGTTATATATTAGTAGACTAACTTTAGTAACTGCTCTAAAGTTACTAAACTTCTATTAGTATATAACTATTAGTTTATTTGTGTATAACTATTAGTCTATTAGTTTATGTACATGTTTTTTTATTAAATTATAATTTAATGGTATTTTTAATTACCATTTCATAACAATAATAGTAATTTTTTAATAATTAATCATTGTCATAGAAACTCAACTCAAATAGTATCATACACAGTTTTTTTTCTTTATTTAATAGACTAGACTAATAGACTAGAAAAGTATTTCCCAAATTTCCTTTTTTAAACATACCTTTATCAGTCCAGTTGCTTGCCATTTCTCAATAAATGCATACATTCCAACGGCAATGGTCAGGCCACCGAGTAACTGAAATTTGAATTTCATAATTAAATAACATATTTAGATTTCAAAACAATATTTTTACTGTCGGGAATGTACCCCTTATTCCTGCAAAATTTATTTTACAATAATTTTTTTTTGCAGTGTTCAGCAGTGAACTACGATAGGCTGATTATGATGATGATAATAATTTTTTTTACTATCAATGTTATATGAAATGAGTGTCAATAGCCCACTGCTACATAAATGTGATAATAATAATATAAATATAATAATAATAATAATAAAACACTAGCAACACTTATCTACAGCAGTCAGAATTTCTGTATAATTTCTATTTTTATAAAATTTTAGATTACAGCAAAATTAATGTACTCGAGAAAAGTTCAGAATAGAATATGTATTACATATATTGCGAAAAGAAAATCCCAACTCGATTAAAATAACTCTATAATGGTAAAAAATATACGTGAGAAATGACATTTAATGTCATGTCAAATAAACAGCAAGATCTTTTTCTTAGAAATTCTACTGTTGTTTGTTAATGATTACAAGAGCTAGAGCCAGCAGAGCACGTTTAACACCTCCGGACTCGTCGCTTCGCTCCGCCGTGCAGTCCCCGGAAGTCACAACACAAGTCCCGGTGATTACAGAGGCGTCGAGCTCGACTTCAAGCGACGAGTTTTTCTCCCCGCCAACGTCGCCAACACCTGTACGTCGGCAGGGGAGAGGTCGGCCACCGGTTTGCCTGGGATCCCGAGGCCCATCGGCTTCGAATAGGGCCCCCGCTATCGGTGGTAATGTGCGTCGCATGAAATGGACTTCTTCAATGAACGAGAACGTCATGCGAGCATATTTTGTGGCTACAGAGGGTGAAACTAATCTCACTGCGTATCGTAATCGTTTACTAACTCTGTTTCAGGAACTTGAACCAACTGTTAACGTTACGGTGCAAAGGTTATCGGATCAAGTGCGAGCTATTAAGCGATGTAATTTGTTGAATAGCTCTGTACTTGAAAGGCTACGCTCCGACTTACAGATAAGCCTCACTACTTTTCCTTCTTCACAAGCAGTCACGCATCAAGATCTCGAAATACCACAGGCTTCTCCTGCTGAAGGAGAGGAAATTGATGCTTCTTCTGTAAGTACCCAGTACAATGATATAATAAGGAATACTTTGGAAGGTGCTATCCTGGAATATGGGTCCATGAATTTCGTAAACAGACCACGTTTACCTCGTTTGCCGATGCATAAGCGAAATAAGGCGTTAGTGTGTGCCCTTGATTCCATATTACCACCATATTTTGAAAAATGTGAAAACCTCAGTGATACACATTCAATTCTATATTGTGCGGCCGTTACTGCATGTCGAGTAGCTGGTGTCAAATTCTCAAGAGTTGACATGGCTCCTCGACCTAAGTCTCTGGTACCGTCGTGGCAGTATAGAATTGAACGTCGTATCGCTGAGGCAAGGGTACTCATTGGCAAGCTTATCTGTTTCAGATCGGGCAACACACGCCCGAGAGTAATGCGCTTTGTGAATCAGGCTTTTTCGGGAACTGGTATCAGGTCCTGTGATTATATGGCACGAGTCACAGAGCGCATTGACTTTCTGAAACAGAAGGTTTATGCATGGGCAAACCGTATACGAAGGTATAAAAAAAGAGTGGACCGATATACTCAGAATCGCACATTCCAAAGGGACGAGAGGTGGGTTTATAGACGGTGGGCGCAGCCTGATTTAGTGAGTGATGGACATTTTCCAGATGTTAAAATTACTAATACATTTTGGCGTAACATATGGTCGATGCCTATCACTCACACAGAGGGTGAATGGATGCGAGATGTCGAACGATCGTGTGAGTCAATCAATACAATGGAGCCAGTATCAATTTCAGATATGGATATAGCTTATGCAGTTCGTTCGCTACCGAATTGGAAGTCAGCGGGACCGGACGGACTGCATAACTTTTGGTTAAAGTGGCTCCGTAGCTCACATGTACGTTTGGCATCTCATTTTCAATCATGCCTAGAATCAGGTTCGCTTCCATCTTTTATGACTACAGGCCTAACTCACCTAGTCTATAAATCTGGTAGTGCCACGGATCCCAAAAATTATAGGCCCATAACGTGTCTTCCGACGTTATATAAATTACTAACGTCCATTCTTAGAGTGAAGATAACATCTCATATTACGAACAACTCTATTATATCTCACTCTCAGAATGGATGTAGAGGTGGGGCACGTGGCACTAAAGAGCTCCTTATTATTGACATGACTATTAACCAACAAGTTCGTCGTAACCGAAAAGATCTGTCGACATGTTGGATAGATTATAAAAAGGCTTATGACTCTGTACCGCATACGTGGCTCTTGAGGGTGATGGAGTTGTACAAGATTGATACAACTCTATGCACTTTTATGGAGACATGTATGCGGCAATGGAGAACGGTTCTTTGCTATCCAGGATGTCGCCAATCTCAAGGCGATGGCGAATATATAATGATTAAGCGGGGTATATTTCAGGGTGACAGTTTAAGTCCCTTGTGGTTTTGCTTAGCTTTAAATCCTCTCAGCACTATGTTGGAGGGTTCAGGGCTAGGCTATCGTTTGCAGAGAGATGGTAAGGTTATATCCCACCTCCTTTACATGGATGATTTAAAACTGTTTGCTTCCAGTAGTTCCATACTGATGAATTTACTAGAAATAACTAAAACCTTTAGTAAATGTATCAGGATGGAATTTGGTGTAGATAAGTGTGCAATCATGCATGTAAAAAGAGGCAGGGTTGTGGAGTCTGATAGGTTGGAACTCTCAGATTCCACGCACTTTACATGTCTCTCAGCTAACGAAACTTACAAATATCTGGGTATGTCACAGGCGTTAGGTGTAAATGAGTTGACTATGAAACAATCGTTACAGGAACGCTTCTTTAGCCGCCTGAAAAAAGTATTAAATAGTCTTTTATCAGGTGGTAATAAGGTGAGAGCCTATAATGATTGGGTCATACCAGTTCTAACTTACTCTTTTGGCATACTTAGATGGACTCAGACTGAACTAGATACCCTGGATAGAAGAGTTCGTACATTGCTTACTGTATACCGAATGCATCATCCACGTTCATCGGTGATGAGGTTATATATTCCACGAAAATGTGGTGGTCGTGGTTTTCTAAATGTCAAGACCCTCCACAATCGTGAGATATGTAACCTTAGGAATTACTTCCTGTCTGTTGATGTGGATATGCATAGGGATGTAGTAGCAGTTGATAACGGACTCACTCCGCTTGGTCTAGGTAAAGAGAACTGGCGCAAATTTGCAGTACTCAACATTACTGATCGTAAGGAGATATGGAAGGGCAAAGAGCTGCATGGACGTTTTTATCGAGCCTTGAACAGGCCTGAGGTAGATCAACTAGCGTCTGTATTCTGGCTTCGATTCGGTGACCTCTTCGGGGAAACTGAAGGTTTTGTCTTTGCAATTACTGATGAAGTTGTTATGACGAATAATTATCGGAAGTATATCCTGAAGGACGGCACAATAGACATTTGTCGGGCATGTCATTGTCCTGGTGAAAGCCTTAGACATATAATTTCCGGTTGTTCTCGTCTTGCCAACGGCGAGTACTTGCATAGACATAACCAAGTGGCCAGGATTGTCCATCAGCAACTTGCTCTTAAGTATAACCTTGTGACTGTAGAGTTACCGTACTACAAATATGTGCCCGACCCAGTTCTTGAAAATGGTCGTGCAACGTTGTACTGGGATCGCCTTATTATCACTGACAGGACTATAGTCGCCAATAAACCTGATATAGTGGTAATAGACCGATTGGAGCGCCGAGCAATGATTGTTGACATTACCATTCCACATGACGACAATCTCTTGAAAGCTGAAAAAGATAAACAAGTGAAGTATTTGGATTTAGCCCACGAGATTGTCGACATGTGGGATGTTGATTCGGCAATCGTTGTACCGATAGTCATATCGGCCCATGGATTAGTTGCTAAGAGCCTCGACCAACATCTTCAGAGGCTCGCGTTAGGCAGTTGGATTAAGGGTCTGATGCAGAAAGCAGTTCTTCTCGATACGGCACGTATTGTGAGGAAGTTTCTGTCTCTGGAGTCCTAACCACCGATATCTTGGTCTCTGTACCCGATACCGATGGGATACTATTTTTTATATTTTTAAATGTATTTTATTTTTTTGTTTTTGTATATAAATATATTTAAAAATGTAATTTATATGTATAAAGAATGAAATAAAGAAATAATAATATATTCTACCACATACACACAACGCCATCTAGTCCCAAACTAAGCAGAGCTTGTACTATGGGTACTAGACAACTGATATAAATACATATATACTTTTTTTTTTGTAAATACATACATATTATACATAGAAACACCCAGACCAAATCAAACATCAAATGTTCATGCACACAAATGTTTGACTTGAGCGGGAATCGAACCCGCGACTTTTGGAATAGCAGTCCGTTACACAAACCACTACGCCATCCATAGGAGTCAAAGTCAAAATATCTTCATTTCATCAAAATAATTAAAATTATTTGAAATCGTCTTTTGTGTACACTTAAGTCATAAATCAACACACAATAGAAACAATCTGTTTTATCTCTTTTTCTTTAAAAGACTCCTCTCCTGTGTAGCAGGGAACCTTACAAATAGACACAAAGAACACCCAGACTGAGAATGACAATTTGTAGATTACACAAAGTGCTCAGCGCAGGAAGGAAGCCGTGAGATGACCACTTAAACCACAACGCCATCCGTGCAGTCAAGTAGTTAGCAAAATAAATGCAATCCATTATATGGCTGAGCCGATCTAAAACCGAAGAGGTTGTAGCTTTATTAGAAAAAAAGGTACAACTCTTAAGCGGTATCCTCATGTACAATGCAATATGTGCCTAATCACACACAACCCTACAGAAGACATTCTACTGCAGTTATTGTTTATGAAGCTCACAGTGTCCATTCTGAATGAACCAAGGTTGTATTCAAGTAAATAACTTTGTGGTCAAGTTTGAGCTAGGCCTATTAGTAGTTACAAAGATGGATCCTTCCTTTGCCTATCTGTATATGTTGTATCAACAAATTTCTTAGCTTTACTTTGCACAGAGATATTTTCAGTTTCGGATCATAACAAATGCTACATGGTCATAAGTAATGGTCGGGTTTGGGTCTTTTCAAAGATAATTGTTCTGACAAAGATTATCAAGTCAAATGTTCTGTTTCGTTTGTAAGGTTCAGTATAAGACTTGTGAAACAAAAATACTTTTGTGTTCCAGGTCATTGAATTTAAATTGATAATCTCAACTTATAGTCCTACATTGTATACTATAATTAAGATATTTTACATTCCATAAACATAATTTTGACAAATACCTTATCAGTACAAGATTATTAAGAAAAATGTTAATTTGATAAAGTCCTCACAGTCGTAGAATAGTGTTAAATCTGACATTTATTGAACTTTAGGGCAACCATTTTAAATAATTGTTATTTTTGTTTAAATAACTCTTATAATTCTAAATCTAACTATGAAAATTTGTATACAAGGGAAAAATAGGGTTTGTTTTAAAATGCAATAAAAATAACAACTAATAATTATACAATTTTCTAAAAAAGTCACATGCTTCTTTTTCTTTGAGCGCCTATCAAACAAACACTGAATAATTTAAAATACATTTTTTTCTTGAATGTAATAATAATATTTAGACAATGTAGTATCCAAATATGATAAAAACTGAATTTGGTATTTTTTACAAAACCAACATTATTCTACACTCATGATGAAGTGCATTGTTAATTTTAATTAAGGGATAAATTGTGTTTATTTTTAAATAATGTAACTTTTCTGTAAAAAACCCTCAACTAGATGGACGTCAATGGAGAGTAGTACCTAGTTTACAATAATTCCAGAATTTTGTAATTACAATTTGAGTGTTTTATAATCATTTGTTTCATTTTCATTAAAGATATGATTCTGAATTGTAATTATTGATTGTTGCAAAACCCAAATATTATCCCTACACCTACACTTTGTGTTATAGAGCAGTACCTACCTAATTAAGTGAAAATAAATTAAGCATAACACAAATGAAAATGTCGAACCAGAATTTAATGTTACATATTTATAAAACATAATTGAAGTGAAAAATCTTTTTTTTATCATTTGTTTACATTCACGTTTCATTAAATAATAATTAATTCAAAAAACACAAAGTATACTGTAGCTTTGTGACTGTATATCTGTAATATAATAATGTAGATCCCGGAAAAAAATTTATTATACACAGAAATAAATGAGTCAATTCCTGTTTAAAACAATTGGTAACAAGTTATGAATTCAATAAATAAGGAAACAATAGCCAACACGTATCGCATTTTAACATTATCGCCGCCTATACAATGGAGGACGGATGCAGATACAACAAAACTAGACTGTATACTGAATTCTCATGCTCAAACAGATGATTGAAAACAATGATTCACACACTAACAATGATGAATGAAATTTCAAATTTTCACCAGTTTCCTGCTTCATAATACCAATATCTAAACTTTTACATCAATACTAAGCATATATACAACTCAAAACAAATAAGTATAAACATAAACTCACCCAAAATACAAAATTCAGCACAAAAATCATGTATTTAACAAACCCGCTCACATACGTGAAATTTGGTCCCCTACGACGATGCATTTTTCACTTATACTAGCACAAATTAAAATAAAAGAATAAAATCTACAGTCTACTGTTTTTATTTTTTGTTTATAGGTATATAGATATTAAATAAAACCTAAATGATAGATTTAATCATTTACGTCTGCCTCCGATTGTTCTGCAGCACTGACAGATTCGCTAAGCATAGACAACACGGACGTTTTAAAACATCGAAGTGGGAATTGACAACCAAGTTCATCTCTTAATTGCTCCATTTTTTGAATAACTGTGATTGAGTATAAATCACAATCTAATAATTGACTTATGTAAGTAATTTTCGTAAAGATCTGAAAGACCAATAGTGATTTTCTAATCGTGACGGGATTTTTGTGTTTGAGACAAAGGTCTCAAACACTAAAATCTTAAATAAAATAAATAAAGTTTAAGTTTTGTAAAAGTTTTAGTCGGTTCGAGTCCGACATCCCACCGGCGGGTGGTATCCGAGGGGATTTCCGCACGGAAAAAAAAGGCAAAATTAAGAGGACGTATTAAATGTATTGTGATATATGTTATACGGACGATGACAGAGTAAAAAGTAAAGAAAAATTGTAGTCAAAGGACAATGGCAAGTCCCCATACATAATTTTATTTGTACTGAAATGTTGGCGTTTAAATATCAAAAAATCCTTAACACCTGAGAATTTATTCTTGAGCATTCTCATACCAAAATTACTAGCGAAAGAAGTCTAGGAAAAAAGATATTAGATTTTGAATGTTTCGAGGTTAAGTACTAACATATTGTTAATGTTTTGTTTAAAACTAGATGGCGTTGTGTGTCAGATAGCCGAAAATATTATTTTCATTATTATTACGGTATATGAAATAAAAAATAGAAAAGCATAATATCTATGCGAGTTTAACACTAAATTAAACAAAAATAAATAACAAACGGGGTGAGTCCGGAATATGACAGGATCTAAACGCCGACGTATCGACATTTTGATAATATCGATGTATGTCTATTTATGTGCCGTTATCAATGACAATGTATTTTCTCATCACACTGTGTATACTGTATATTTTTTACTATATTCTATTTCTTTAGTGTTTTTAAAATCGTTTAAAGAGAGTCAAAAATATTCTAAATTATTTCTAATTATGTTGATTCAGTCACTCTACCGTACGAGTGAAGCCGTGGGCAGAAGCAAATTCATGATCATAATAGGTGAACCTTCGGTAGATATTTCAGCCAAGGCTATTACAATTGATATTGGTAAAACATTTCATAATAATAATATTGCCACCACGCATCCCTAGTCAGTTATGTATACGTGATGGCTAATCTGACATTACGTACTTAGGTCAAATAAAATCTTCAAAAATATCCTATCTCTTATAAGACTTATACAACACATGGTGGTGTAATGATAAATCATAGAAAAAATATTGATTAAGTTTACTGTGATTCGATTTTTTAAACGCTTAAGTTTTAGGTAAATATGTTTCTGCCATTGTTATTTCTCATTTTACGTACCTAAAAGTTTTACAAAAAACAAAAAAACCAACGTGAATTCAATTTGAATATTTGATTTTTATTATGAACGTCTAATAAAAAATCTTTAAGTGAACGCAATTAAAACAAAAAAAAAATGCAAAAAAAAAAATTGGTGTCGTTGGTCGTTCAAACTCAGTATTGCGCGAGCGGTTGTGGAAGTAGGTCTTCCTTAATTAAATGAAATTAATTCTTAATAATTAAGGAATAATAATTAAATTTGACTGCCTTGTTGGTGCAGTAGGTAGCGTATGCGACTGCTGCCCCGAGATCTCGGGTTCGATTCCCAGGTAGGTCAAATGTTTGTATGATCTAAAAATATGTCTTTCGGAGTTTGGGTGTTTTCTATGTATAATATGTAGGTATTTACAAGAAAATAAAATATAATTATTCTATCAGTCAATCTAGCTTTCGTAGTACAATCTCTGCTTAGTTTAAATCTAGGTGGCGTTGTATGTTAGAAATATTAAAAAAAAAAACAATTCGTTCGATTGACTTGACTTTCAATCAATAAATACATAATATGCTATAATAAGCATAATATTTGTATTACGTCAGCTATCTAGATCTCACCGAAGCACATCTTGATAAACTTGACTTGAGTTTTGAAATTTTTGCAAATGATTCATACTTGGACTTTGTAAATATGATCATGTTTCCCACTATTGTAAACAGCTCAAGTGGCTTCCAATCCGCTTTCGCCGGAATACCTACTCATATTCTTACGCTTCTGTATAATGTTTTGATTAATCTATCTACTCCTTTTTACCTCAAAGAACGAAAGTTTCTTCATGACGACATGTTTGAAATGCCTGAAGGTCCTCTAAAAATCTCAAACTGAAATACCAAGGCATTCTTACAATTTTTGTACAAAATCATTTTCCTTAGAAGTCTGTAAGACTTGCGTAATCCGTGACCACTTTCAAAGCTATGCTGTATGAGCATTATCTGTCTCTCATAGTTGAAAATTAGTGTGGGTATTGTATATACTTATGTAAATAGTACTGTAAGTAAAATGTATGTATGATAAATATAAATATTTTACAGGTTGACCTTATTTATTACTCGATCTTTTATAATATTTTTACATCTTTTGTGATCATTTTAATATTTAATGTCTCTATTATTAGTCAGTTATGTACGTATGGCGTAGTGGTTTAAGCGGTCTCCTCGCCGCTTCTTACTACGCTGCGTGTTGTGGGTTCGATCCCCACATGGGACAACGCTTTGCGTGATCCACAAATTGTTGTTCTAAGTCTGGGTGTTCTTTGTGTCCGTGTCATGCATGTTTGTAAAGTCCCCCGCGACACAGGATTTATTCCTAGTGCGGGAGTTGTCTTTTTAAAAAAGAGAAAAAAAGAAAAGTGATTCTGCCCAACATGAGGACATCAAGGACTTAATACCATGGAAGAGATTCGCCAGCACCCCCTGAAAGTTAGCACCCTCAGAACGCGCCCTATTCTGGACGATCAGAGCGTGTCGCATTGACTGGACAACCCTGGTCTAACTGTAACTCTCAAAGTAATCTCCACTACAGCTGCAGTTGTAGCAACTGCATTTTTTTATACATGCACTAAACTCAATCTTCGCAGGTTAATAGTTATCAGGTTAAATTGAATTACTTTGATTTTAATTACTTGTGTTTTTTTTTGTTCTAAAAGTATAAGAAACACTGTAATATGATTTTGTTGAATGAAATTAATTTGTATAGAGTTGCCGTTCATCAAAATCCTTTATCTTTGCCTACACCAGATCGTTATAACTACCTATAATTGAGATCATTATTGACAGTCTTTTTTAGCTTTTCATCATCATCATTTTGCAGTTTTCGCAATGTGTAACTTTGCAATTTCAACTGGTTTCTTTTACGTACCGCGATTAGCCTGACGCCAACCCTAGCAATATAATAGTTTGCAGTCAAAACAAATAAGTTAGATTGAGGTAAGCAAGGCTATAGGGCTAGCGACCTACAGTAAAGGATATACCGCAAGTTTCGGATGAGGAAACAAGACAGACTGTCTTTCAGAACTATTAGCAATTTGACCAATAACATGTTTAAGTTGTAATTATATAAATATATAATAAATATAGACTGCACGGATGGCGTAGTGGTTTAAGCGGTCGCCACGCCGCTTCCTACTACGCCGAGTGTTGTGGGTTCAAACCCCACATGGGACGACACTTTGTGTGTTCCACAAATTGTTGTTCTGAGTCTGGGTGTTCTTTGTGTCCGTTTCATGTATGTTTGTAAAGTCCCCCGCGACACAGGATTTATTCCTAATGCGGGAGTTGTCTTTTTTAAAAAAAAAAAAAAAAGAAAAAAAGATGTACCGAAAAATTAAAAAAAAAACCCAGACCATAAGGCCATTTTACAGCCTAATAAAAAAGTTTAGATGGTGGCGAAACGCGGCACTACTCATTTCCTATCTGGAAAGTTTGGCAATCCCACATGTTTTGTGGTATTCGGCAATGTCATTAGCTCGTCATTGCCAAGGCCTTCCAAGTCGCTAACAACGAACCAATTTACTTAATAAATTTTTTGTCGGATTATCTCGATCTAAAATAGAAAAAAAATGTATAGTGTAAGCGAATACTTTGCTTTTCGGGGCCCCTTCGTTGTGTGATAGACGGCCGGTGTGATCTTATGGTAAAGACGGTATAGAATACGGAATGTTACTAATCCGGTTTATCCCGTGGATGTCGTAAGAGTCGTCTAAGGGAGCAAACTACGCAGGACAACAGTACTGCAAAAAGAAGGAAAACTTGACACAAACCCTCTACCAACCCGCCTGGCCAGCGTTTTATAGTAGGCCAAAACCTTTTTTCTAAGGAGAGGCTGATGTCGAGCAGTGGACTATTAAAGGCTGTTAATGTGTGTTGTGTTAAGACATTGGGCAGTTACAATTTAAATGTATATATCTTTGATTATTTACCTGTCTAGATAGTCATTCTGACAGATGATACGCACAATACAGCCCCCCTTGACATACGTGATGTGCACTGTCATTGTGTGCGTGGCTAGGGATGTCTGCTAAAAATTAAACCTACTGAAATGTTTTTTATTGAGAAGCCTTGTTACATTTCCAAATATTAGCCTTTGGCGCGGGAGTTGGGTCGGAGTCCTGAGACTCGAGAAATCGATGACCAGAAATCCTAACTCCACCGGGTCTTCGTAGAGGAGTGGAAGGAACGACGAGCGCCGGTGACGCCGTTATCGCTGCGGTAAGACCCCTTATGGAGGATTGGCTCGAGAGGCGTCACGGGACCCTCTCATATCCCCTGACGCATGTGATCACTGGGAAAGAATGCTTTGCGGATCAGACACAGGTGGTCTGATCCGCAAGGAGCCAACGCCTGAGTGCCACCACTGCGATGGCCGGACCGTGGACACGGCGCTCCACACGCTGGCAGAATGCCCGACTTGGGTGGAGCAGAGGCGTGACATCAGAGTGGGAGTTCTCTGGCTAGATATCATAATTGTGACCATGTTGCGGAGCGAGAGTGCGTGGAACTCCGCCGTCTCTTTCTCTAAGTTATGCTTGCGAAGAAGAACTCGCCCGGCCCGCCAGGCTCGGGAACGGGCTAGGTACCGCAGACAAACTCAGGTGCCTTGGGTCGCAGAACGATCACCGTCCACAATAGGCACAGGCCTGGGGGTGACGGATGAGGCCATCTCACCGCAGTCAGAAGCAGGCCAGGGTGGCGGCGAGACGCGAGCGCGCGCGCTTTTTCGGGAGCACAAAGGGAACATGGGGGTTCCCACACAGGAGGGGGCCATCTACCCGCCATAGATAGCCCGAGGTACGTCGGGGTACCAGGGATTCCCTTTCTAGGGAACACCTGGTTCTCCTTCGTCATGTACCCGAGACGGCGTGCTAGCCCCCTGGCAGGTGGCTAGGATTTCCGCACAGAAAAAAAAGGTGGTAGGTAGCTGCCCTACCTTGCCTACGTATGGGGTTATCAGCTGATGACTAATAAGGTAAAAACTGTACTTCGAAAAGTCAACATTGAAATGTATCAGATTATGTCAAGTGTTTTTCAATACAGATAAACATATACGGTATATAAACGCCAACACATAACAAATTGTCAAGCAATTCCACCATGAAGCTGCTACTGGTATTAAGGTATGTATTTAAATAATTTTTGATGTAGTTTTAAGAGGTAACACTTATGTGAATTTTATTTTTCAAAAGAAACGAATACTTTTGTAAAAATTGTTTAATTATTTGAATTCACAATTTGTACAACTCCAAAACATTGCACTCAAAAGGCAATAAATAAGCATTTTAAAGTAACTTTCGTAATCACAATATATTAAAGCTTTACAATTACGGCATCGATAACAAGATGCTACACCGTCCTGTATAATGTTCACTTTTTATACGGGATAGGGGAAGTATTCATTTTTTTTTTTATATTTAAAAAAGACAACGCCCGCATTAGGAATAAATCCTGTGTCGTGGGGGACTTTACAAACATACATGAAACGGACACAAAGAACACCCAGACTCAGAACAACAATTTGTGGATCACACAAAGTGTCGTCCCATGTGGGGTTTGAACCCACAACACTCGGCGTAGTAGGAAGCGGCGTGGCGACCGCTTAAACCACTACGCCATCCGTGCAGTCATTGTCAGTTCAAGATGTATTTGTAAAAGTTGCAAAACAGTTTAAACTCAGTGAATTGTTTTACTGCTAGTAGTTAGCCGCAGTTTCACCTGCGTTTCTAGTTACAGCTCTGCTCTGCCCTGTGTTCGGTTTCAAACACAATGTGCGAGAAAATGAATGTTCATCGTATGTTTTTTTTAATAATATTTCAATATTTATTCTGTTATTCGTAGCAGAAACAAATCCAAAAAGTCAAATATCATAAATTCGTTTCAGCCATTATTGAATTATAAATGGTGTAACTAATCCGTCTTTATTTTAAGATTTTTTTTTAGATATTTTAAAATTAACAAAATGCAGTCTTTAGTACTTGATTTATGAAGAGGTATGATATATGTGTCTTTAGGTATGTTCTACACAAAGATTTTTTATCATTAGATATACATCTTTCACTATATATACTATAAAGTAGAATTAACCGTCTTTTAAAGTCTAAAATTATAGCAAAACTGCAGTTTGCAAAAGTTGTTTAGGATTTTCTATATATGTACACTTCCACTAAAAGCTATTTAAATTACTTTAACAGTTTGTTGGCCGTGGGCACATATGGTTTTGCTGTGAAACAACAGAGGAGTTTCCCTTCTAACTTTCTGTTCGGCTGCGCAACTGCTGCCTACCAGATTGAGGGTGCATGGGATGAAGATGGTAGGTCTATAAGATATTGCCCTTTAAACCGAATTAAAACTTACGTTATCATTAAATAATTTAATATTTTCCACCAGGCAAAGGTGAAAGTATTTGGGACCATTTAACACACAATAAACCATATTATATCGCGGATCAGAGCAACGGTGACATCGCTGGTGACTCCTACCACAAATATAAGCGTGATGTAGAAATCATGAGAGAGTTAGGTCTCGACGCCTACCGGTTATCTCTCTCCTGGCCTAGAATCCTTCCTACAGGCTTTGCCAACGAGGTTAATCCTGCTGCCATCGACTACTATAACAAGCTAATTAATGAGATGCTGAAATACAATATCGTGCCTATGGTTACGCTCTACCACTGGGATCTGCCACAAAAACTCCAAGAGCTCGGAGGTTTCACCAACCCTCTATTTCCTGAGTGGTTCGAAGAATACGCAAGGGTCGTGTTTGAAAGCTTTGGAGATAGGGTCAAACATTGGATTACTTTTAATGAACCTAGAGAAGTGTGTGAATTAGGCTATGGTGACATTGACAAGGCTCCTGCCTTGAATTCGTCTGCAGTAGGCACGTACTTATGCGCCAAACATTTAGTTCTTGCTCACGCTAACGCATACCACATGTACAGCAATGACTTCAAACCAACACAAGGTGGAACGTGTGGCATCACCATCCATGTCGACTGGTTTGCACCTCTCACGGATTCTGCAGAGGATGAGTTAGCTGCCGAAGTCAGGAGACAGGGTTTTGTATGTAATATAGACTATGACTTATTTACTTGAATATTCTTTTTGTAAAGTTTCTTTTTCATTTAATCATACGTTTTTTTTAGTTCGCTTTGTACGCTGACCCTATATTTTCTGCTGATGGTGGGTTTCCTAAAGAATTGTCACAAAGAATTGCTCAAAAGAGCGCACAGCAAGGATTCTCCAAGTCGCGTTTGCCGGAATTCACAGATGAGGAAAAAGCCTGGGTGCATGGCGCATCAGACTTTTTCGGTATGAATCATTACACAAGTAACCTGATTTCGGCTACAGGAAACAAAGATTTTCCCGCTTTACCTTCTCTGAAAGATGATATGGATGTAGGCACTGTAATGCCTAGTGAGTGGCTCGCATCAGCTTCAGATTGGCTGAAGGTATGTACCTGCGTTTTAACTGATTTTGTTAGTAATGTTTTACATTTTTATATTAACGTACACCTATCATTGAAGCGATAATTTAAAAGTGAGTAAAAATAGATGATTTTAAAATTTGGCGAAAAGGTACACCACTTAAAACAGTAATTTAGAACGTCGATGGCGTACCATTGATGTATGGGTGTAATTTAGATCAATGTAAGCTATGTGTAAACCTTCTGCGAAAATTGTCTAATCTTATATATAAAATTCTCGTGTCACAATGTTCGTTCCCGTACTCCTCCGAAACGGCTTGACCGATTCTCATGAAATTTTGTGTGCACATTGGGTAGGTCTGAGAATCGGCCAACATCTATTTTTCATACCCCTAAATGGTAAGGGTGACCCATCCCTATTTTTTTTTTGTTTTGCAATACAACGTTTGCCGGGTCAGCTAGTTGAGATTGTAAAAAGTTCATCAGAATCGGTGAGCACGGCGACGGCTTGTAAATTTGCACATGTAGGTAGTAAAAAAAAAGTCGAATCCAGTTCACAATTCATGAGGCAAAAAATTTCCTCTCTATTTTACCTCTCTATTGAGTCCGACTTTTAGAAGTCGGCTAAACAAGGAATGATATCTTCACTTATTTATTTATTTATTGTAGTTAATGTTTATTGACAGATGGCTCCAAAAAGTCTCTACAATGCTTTAGTGGATATAAACCGAAGATACAACAGTCCAATAATATTCATTACCGAAAACGGATGGTCAACGACTGCGGATGTTGGTCTGATGGATGACGAAAGAATTGCATACTACAGGGCAGCTTTAGAAGATGTCTTGGACGCTATGGATGAAGGTGTTAATGTGAAAGGGTACATGGCCTGGAGTTTGATAGACAACTTCGAATGGATGCGCGGTTATTCGTAAGTTTGCAACGCTCTCGACAACTATCATAATAAAATAGTTTGTTCACGCTTGTGACATTCAAATCATTTCTTCTTCGAAAAGTTTTATTACTTTTTTCTATTTTTAATTCCCGTTCTGTTTCGATTAGCGTTTAGAAAAGGAAAATCCATAACAATGATATGTTTAAAAAACAATATTTTCTTGACAGTGAGCTGTTCGGCCTCTACCACGTAGACTTTGAAGATCCAGAACGTACTCGCACTGCCAAGAAGTCAGCGTTCGTGTACAAGCACATCGTCAAGAACCGCTACATCGACTACGACTATGAACCCGAGTCCATGACTATGACTATTGATGAGGGACATTAAATTATAACCTATAATTGTAAGCAACCTATTGTAAATATTATGAAAGACAGTAAAAACTCAAGTTAAACAAAACGTTTTTTTTGTATATATTATATTCATCTTTGTATATATCATCATCTGGTGTCTGCTGGTGTAACTCACACAGACAGCCTTCTACACTATTCAAACCAATAATGATTCAAAATATGAATTGTCAATTTCTCAAAAAACTGAAGATATGAGTTAAACACCCATGACATCACCAGACGATAACAGTCCGCTGGTGGAGAGGCCTCCTTAGATCTTTTCTAGGCTTTGGTTTACTATACCACGCTGTTCAGACGGGTTGGTATAGGGTTTGTTGAAAGTTTAGTGCTGTTTTCCTGCAGAGTTTGCTCCCCAGTCAACTTTTACGATACCTAAGGTATACGGTCCACATGGACAATAGCCAAACGTACAATGTTTAAAGAAGGTATAACAGACAAAGTGTAATAGAATGAAATCGACTTCTCTGTCGTATCACTCTTATCAGAGCAGTAGTGCTCACGTTAAGGTGTCCGTGTCGGTGGTAAAGGCAAGGCAAAGTGACTAGCCTAGTTCTTTTTTATTAGTGCACAAAAAAGTCTAGTTTCAATACAGTTTCTAGTTTCAAGTGACGTGAAACGAATACCAACGCGTCTGGCCATCGTGGTGTAGTAGAAATTGTAGTCGTCAAAATGTGGGCGTTTATGTGACCATGATTTTACCATTTTTTTAAAATAAATGTGGCGATTTAGAGACTTGACATCAACTGTTGTGATTTGTCTCATTTTATGTAAACGTACAGTTTAAGTACGCACTTGTGCATCTTTAAAAATATCATGACAATATAATCCAGTTTTATTCGAACATTCTTTGCTTTTATTTCGAACCTAATCTGTAATCCTCTGACATCTCAACCTCACACTGTAATCGTTATCAGATGGGATAAAGGTCGCAGTCCCGTTCAGGTAAAGCGAGCTGATAGGGCAAGGGAGTAGCCACAGTAGAGAGAGACAGAGGAAGGGGGATAGAGTGAGGGATAGGTACCTTCTTGAAGTAGAGTGGTGGAACGAGGCTGAGATTGCAATATAAGACGTAGGCTGTTTAAGTTTTTTTAAAACTGTCTTAAAACTGAGGTAGGTATATAAGTAGAGAAATAATGAATAAAATTATGATTTGAAAGGTCTCTAATATATTACAAAACACATGACCTATTAAAAAACCTTAAAACAGAAAAATAAAAGCCGTTTTTAAACCGTAATAGAATGCATAATAGTTAAGACTTATTTTTTAAATTAAATGTACATCAAAAAAATTATCACCCATCAACTTATTTACATCAATTCAAACAAACCACTTCTTCTAATTTCCAACTAAACTAGTACTAAAAATAAGCCGAAAATTTGTATCAAAGAAAGCTGTCTAATTTACTAAAATATATTATTTTCATATCGACGACCGAATGGCGTAGCGGTTTGTGTAACGGACTGCTATTCCAAAGCTTGCTGGTTCGATTCCCGCTCAAGTCAAGCATTTGTGTGCATGAACATTTAATGTCTGATTTGGTCTGGGCGTTTCTATGTATAATATGCACGTATTTACAAAAAAAAGTATATATGTATTTATATCAGTTGTCTAGTACCCATAGTACAAGCTCTGCTTAGTTTGGGACTAGATGGCGTTGTGTAAATGTGGTAGAATATTATATTATATCAAATATACTGATTGCACATCAAATTATCCAGAGCGTACACAAGTAACACTCACACATAACAAAATAATTATTTTTGTGTAACCCATCTGGCCAGCGTTATTTAGTAGGCCAATACCTATTTTTAAAGTTTAAAGCGACTCCGTCAAAATAAGTTGCTTCCAGAAAAGAGGTAGCTATCCCACCTTGGCTAGGTATTGGCTATCAGCTGATAATTTTTAAGATAAATAAAAACTATCTTCGAAATGATATTTTAAACAACATTAGAAATGTAATAGATTATGTCAAGTGGTTTTGTGATACTAAAGATAAACATAGAAGCGTGATAAAGCAGGGGTGCATAGGAAATTGTTAAGTTATTAGATATGAATTGTCAACATTTCTGTAATATTATGTCTTAACACAAGTCACTGGGTTCTCATCATCATCATCAGCCTTTAAAAGTCCACAGCTAGACATAGACCTCTCCTCAGAAAGGAGGTTTTGATTTACTATACTATGCTGGTCAGGGTTGGAATAGGATTTATTTTGAGTTTTCTGCAGGATTTGCTGCATTAGTCGACTGTTACGACACTCACGGGATAAATAGTGGTTGTAATACTCCGTACTCTAAATCCGTCACCACACGGACAACTGACGTCTCAAAGCTTCCGAAAGAAACGCATTTTTAAGTAAGTTTTGCGCCATTTGAAATTTATATTTGGTATACTAGTAAGATTGTATGTAAAATGAGTGGTCTATCTCAGTTGGTGCTAAAAAAATCGTAGTTAATGGACTTTCCAGAAGCTTCGTTATAATATGCACTTATGTATCATTTCTATTTTTTAGTAACATGTTTTATAAAATACTTAATATATATTTCACCCTACATAGTATTTATTAAGAGCTAGGAATTCAGTCTAAACTGTGCATTGTCTCTACGACTACTAGCAATATGTAAATAAATTTCATTATTAATCCAGTTTTTTAACAGTCTTTAGCCAGTTACCAGTTAGAGGGTGCAAGGGAAAATGATGGTACGTCAACAGGTAATTTCCTTTAAATAGGTACATACTAAAGCTAATGTTATCAACGAAAAATTTGCTTGGATTCCAATTATACAGACTTACAGACTTAAAAAATAATATGTACTAGTGTATTTATTTAATAAGTAATTTCAATGTTTAATGTCCCTCGTCGACGGTCATAATCATGGACCCGGGTTCATAGTCGCGGTCGATGTAGCGGTTCTTGACGATGTGCTTGTATACGAATGCTGACTTCCTGGGCGTGCGGGTACGCGCTGGATGTTCGAAGTCTACCTGGTAGAGGCCAAAACGCTCCCTGTAGGCAAATTGTCTTTTACACGGATTTGCTTTCTGTTCGTAGCTGCAGTCGCTTAAATCTATTTCCCCCAAGAAAGGAGTTTATTTTCTAGAAGAAAGGTATTTTCCTTTTATGCAAAGTTTGATGATGAACGGTTAAACGGTACGGTAGCGCAAAAGCTTTATAATCCATTTATAATAAATAATATTAATGAAAATAATGATCTATATGTGCACGAGACTTAAAAAATAATCATATTACAAGAAACTATAAATCAATAGTAAAAAAGACATGTTTTAGACATGATCTGTAAATACAAACTTTAGCATTACTGGTAAAACTCCATATTAATATCGTCCTCAGTATAACAACTAGAACACTGTTAGTTCTGACGGTCATAATGCGGATGACATTTTCACAAATCATAGTAATTGTTTGATTTTTTATTACATACGTATTGTACCTAAGTAAAACCTAAGGCTTTAAATAAATGTTTTTCTTTCTTAAAAATCGTTTACACCTAACCCAAAAGTATAACTTCATCATATATTAAAACTTAATAACTTACGTATATCCTCTGATCCACTCGAAGTTATCTATCATACTCCACGCCAAGAATCCTTTTATATTGACACCAGCATCAATGGCATCCAGTATATCTTCTAACACATCCCTGTAGTACGTGACTCTATCATCATCAACCAGGGTGCTGTCTGGGGCAGTAGACCAGCCATTCTCGGTGATGTACATAACTGGATTGTTGTACCTCTTCATAAGGTCCGTCAAAACATTGTAGGTGCTGTTTGGAAATTTCTGAGGATAAAATACGAGTACATCAACAACTTTAACGAAAATCAATAATTTAAGATCCCACTATTTGATTTCTTTTCATTTAAAAATAAAAGAAACTCTTATAATCAATGTGGTGGTATTGGTGGTCGATATTACAATATTAAGTAAAAAATATAATAGATCATTAGTTCATATACGAGAGTATAAATATCAAAAAGCTACCAACTCATTTTTGGAATCATAAATTACAATAAATATTTTTTGCAAAAACGGAAATATCGTGTTCGGAAAAGTGACGCGAAGTGAGACATTTCGACAAAATCGGATTTTTTTACAGCGTCAGGCGTCGTATAGGTCTCCGCTAGCTATTCTCAGCGCATATGGTTAAATTTCTCGTCATCATCAATACATACCACCAGCCAAGACGACTGTGCAGTAGACCATTCATCTCGTATGTAAATACCGACGTCTAAGTCATCTTCAGAAGAAGGCACACTGGCGGGAATTTTGTATTTAGTCGCTGAAACCAGACTACCAGTGTAATGATTTACTCCTAAAAAGTCTACGGTACCGCGAATCCAAATTTTCTCATCCTCAGTAAAGTCTGACAGGCGTGATTTGGAAAATCCTTGTTGAGCGCTCTTTGACGCAATCCTCGCTGAAAGATCTTTAGGAAAGCCTCCTTCGGCTGAAAGTAGAGGTTCAGTATACAGGCCCCACTGAAATTAATAAAAAATCTTAACAATCTTAAAAAAGAACGGATAAGACGATAAGTTATACAACTATAAATTTGCTTACATCTCCCTGTCTCTTGATTTCCGCAGCTAACTTATCTTCAGGACTATCAGTCAGCGGTTCATACCAACTGACCCCTACAATAAAACCACATTGGCCCCCTTGGGTTGGCTTGAAGTCATTCTTATATGCGTGATACGCGTTGGCATGTGCAAGCACCACGTGCTTGGCACACAAGTAGCCTCCTATAGCAGTGGAGTTCACAATCGGAGCCAATTTATCGGAGCCATAACCAAGAGAGCAAAAGACAGGTTCGTTGAAGGTAATCCAGTACTTGACTCTATCTCCGAAATGTTGAAATGCAACTCTGGCGTAATCTTCGAACCAATCTTTAATCATGGGGTTGGCGAAACCTCCTAGCTCCTGGAGTTTTTGTGGCAGGTCGAAGTGACAGAGAGTGACGATTGGAGTGATATTATATTTAAGCATCTCATCTATTAACTTATTGTAGTAGTCAATGCCTGCAGGGTTGATGTTGTAAGCGAATCCTGTCGGTAGGATTCTCGACCAGGAGAGAGAGAATCGATAAGCATTAAGACCTAACTCTCTCATGATCTGGACGTCGCGTCTATAGTTGTGGTAGGAGTCACTAGCGACGTCGCCATTGCTCAAATCGGAGATCGTATTTGGATGGTTGTGGGTCATGTAGTCCCAAATACCTTCACCTTTACCTGATCAAAAATATTATAGAGTTATATATGACATTTTAAACCACAAATTAAAGGGAATAAGTTTTGTCAGCTTACCATCCTCATCCCACGCACCTTCAACCTGGTATGCCGCAGTAGCAGAACCAAAGAGGAAGTCTGCAGGAAAACTCCTTTTCTTATTGTCAGATACGCCAGAAGAGGCAACGGCAAAGACACTAATGAAATAAGTAAACTTTTGAATTTGACTTTCAAGATGAACTAAGGAATTATATTCACGACTTGTCTCGAAACTATTTTAATGGTATATTGTTTTATCTCCATATTCTGATTGTATTATATGGTTATCTATAGAGACCGGATTATGTGCAACATAAAAAACTTGTTATATATGCATGAGAAATGCTTGAAATATGCACGAAAATTGGCAGAATATGCGAAATTAAATGATAAATTTTAGGAATCCCAAAAGAAAAGGGAAAAGTAAGTTTTCATTTTTTTATTTCAAAATTCTGTATACAATGAGTAAAATTATTTTTTGATTGGCGATAATAAGTACAATAATATTACATGTCATTAAATATTTTTTTAATAAATAAAACAAAAGACGCGCGTGGCTACTGACTTTGCGTTCCGGGTCGAATTCGCGATGTTATCGCTTTTATCGCATTTCGGAACGGTGAATGCACTGCACTCGGAAAAATACTGTAAATGGACCGATAATATGCATCATAGCTAGATTTTAGGCAAAATATGCTATTATCGTTGAGAATGGCTTAAATAAGCAAAAGCATATGCAAATATGCAAATGCATATAATCCGGTCTCTAGTTATCTATGTTTATTATGTATACTCTCATAATGCAAATGTTTATCTCATTGCTTGACCTTCTTTATAGTGTGTCAAGGAAAGGTTGACTGCTAGTTAATACCATTAAGGAAGGTATTCCGTGTAGTGACGGATTAAGGATACGGATTGTCACTACCCCAACTCATCCCGTGGGTGTCGTAGGAGCCGACTAAGGGCGCAAAATAACGCATGACAACAGCACTACAAAAGAAGGAAAACTTGACACAAACCCTATACCAACCCGCCTGGCCGGCGTGGTATAGTAGGCCAAAACTTCCTTTGTAAGGAGAGGCCCATGTCCAGCAGTTGACTATTAAATGCTGTTGGCGAAGGGAGGTGACTCATAATGGCTTTTTAGAGCAAGTTCGAAGCGCGTTTTTGTCACACGCTTCTGCATCGCATCACTTCTACAAACGTTAATTTTTTGGACTTGCGACTGTGGCGTTCTTATATAAAAGAAGCAGTCACCACCGCGTATCGCACATGAGAGCTCTCTACACTCCTTACTGGGGTATAAAGTCGTTTAGAATCCAATGGATAATTACCAGAACACGCAAGACAGTCACGGTAAAGACAGCAACTACTGCAGCGACATCTATATAAGGATTACTGATAAGAATATTTCTAACACAGAGGCGAAAGACAGATGAAGAAGCAAACATCGTACTCTTTACTTTCAGGAGTCCTATTCTTATTTGATTAGTACAATTAACACTAAATTAAAAATGACGGCACAAATACATACCTTAATATAATCAGGACCTTCATGATGAAAAGAACACATCAATTTCATATATTAGTTTATATACGCTATAATCACGTGTTTGTATATATTTGGACTCAAGGTTCCTTTAAATTATGATACTTTTGTATAGAACTGAAGATCAATTTAAAACATGATATTGTCTATCAAACTAGCGATTATTTTCGATTTATCTTTTGTCAAGATTTTTTCAGAGTTTGACTGTAAGAGATTACTACATGAGTCAGGCTGCCCTTTGTCACATACTCGTACAATATTTAACGTCATCAATGGTTATTTACTATTTCTTTTCTATTCTCTTCTGTATTCATTCCAATATAATAACTCTCTTTCTTGTTAGAGGACAAGTATCTTAGATAATCTTTTGATAGGTACTCTGTTTTCGTCTTGGGTCTTTGTCGCTTCCGTGATACTGCACCTGAAAACAAAACAAAACATGTATCTATAAGAATGCTAGTATGTGCTTGGAGGCCACTTTGTCTTAAATCTGTGCCATATATAATTTTATCGCCTACCCACACCTTTCAATTATATTTTCGCGATATGAGTATCCTTTTCCAACTCCTCTGTGTTTCTTAACTAAAATTTAACAAAATCTGTTAAGGGGTTTAGATGTGAAAACGTAACCGCCAGAGAAATATTCACATTACCGTACTCTAACACATAAGTATGGATACCTGAAACAGGTATTAATTTTACAATATATATATTTTTTAAAGGTTTACGAAATTACTAGTATTCCCGTTAACCCCTCCCGCTAAGCTAAATTGCTTGTGCTAGAAGTGGGTTCACGTCGGTAGTGTACTGGTCAGGATTCGAACCCACGACCTCTTAATCGCAAGTCCAATGCCTTAACCACTAGGCTAACGCCGCCACAGTGTATTTACTTTACATTAGCCTTTTATCTCTCCCCGTGCAAATATATCTTATTATCTTGATAATATATATTTATTGCATGTGTAGGTACATATTTGCTCTTGTAAATACACAAATAACATTTTTTTAAGAAACTAGAGTCGGTCATAATACTTTGAATAGTGACTGATTACTGTGCTTTAAATACAGTTTCTACCGTTTGTAATGAGATAATTAAAACTTTTTTTATAGGAAGACACCTTTAACCTTACGATCTTTAATAATGTATTATAATGATAAAACTAATCGAGTGTAACGTACGCAAAAATAAAAAGGCCTTAATATCATGTGGGTCGATAATATGACCTCATAAACTAAATGATAATAAGAATTGTTGTCAACTTATTCCCGAAGACACATCCCAAGGGGCTGCAGGACCTCCTACATTCCGGGGCTGTCAACAGATTCCAGTGAATTACTGACGCGATACGAAACACTGTTCCGATCCGATCCTTTTTCTGAGGCAACCACAATTGCTGGAGAATTGTTGCTATCTAAACTAGGCGAAAACAGACGAGAGAGGTGGACGAATACTGTTACTAGCATCGACATGACTCACAACAGTAAAAAGGCTTGGAGTACGATTCGAAAGCTGACCGGTGAGTCCCCTCAACCCGCACCGCCAAGCCAAGTCACCGCAAACCAGATAGCACATCAACTACTTGTTAATGGCAGACCAACACGCCGTTCCAGTAGGATCCCAAAATCACAAAAAACTGATGGCGCTGCTGACGATATCAGTAAATCATTCAACGTTACTGATATCGTTACAGCGATAAGTCGCCTTAAGTCTGGTAAAGCCTCTGGAGTCGACGACATCTCAGTCGAGCAATTAAAACAGCTTGGCCCAGTTGCTGTGTCGTGGTTGTTGCAACTTTACAACAACTGCCTGAAATCAGCTTCAATACCCCGTCTCTGGAGAAAATCTAAGATCATTGCAATCCCTAAGCCAGGTAAAGCAGCAGACGATCCTAAAAACTTTCGCCCTATCTCTCTACTATGTCACACATATAAACTATTCGAGAGACTGCTGCTGAGCCGCCTTGTGGGCGTCATTGATCCAAAACTGATTCCCGAGCAAGCTGGCTTCAGACCCGTGAAGTCTTGCAGTAACCAGACTCTTAAAGTGGTACAACACATTGAGGATGGCTTCGAGAGAGGAATGGTCACTGGTGCTGTATTCGTGGACCTATCAGCTGCCTACGATACAGTCAACCTCAAGAGGCTGTTGTGGAAGGTGGAAACCTTGGTCAACGATCAAAATTTCATCCGCATACTCCGAGAACTTCTCCACAACCGCCGATTTCAAGTCCACCTTCTCTCGGAAAAAAGTCGTTGGAGAGCACAGAAAAACGGCCTACCTCAAGGTAGTGTCTTGGCACCGCTTTTATTTAATATCTATACCAATGACCAACCATCCAGCCCACATACCTCCCGCTTCCTCTATGCAGACGACCTTGCCCTTACCTCCCAAGCCACCACCTTTGAAGAGGTTGAGGTGTCCTTGTCAAACGCTCTTGGTGACTTAGCCACTTACTACCACGCTAACTCACTCAAGCCCAATCCGAGCAAAACGCAGACGTGCATTTTCCATCTTCGCAACAGAGAGGCGAGCCGCAAACTTAACATCGTTTGGGGTGGGGTATCCATAGAGCACAGCAACTTTCCAAAATATCTGGGTGTTACTCTGGACAGGTCTCTAACATTCGGCAAGAACTGCAATAACATTAAGCAGAAGGTGCACTCTCGCAATAGTCTTTTGCGGCGACTAGTCTCTTCAAAGTGGGGTGCTTCGCCTGACGTCATGCGGACTACTGGGTTGGCGCTATCTTTCTCTGCGGGTGAATTCGCATGTCCCGTGTGGGGTCGTTCAGCCCATGCAAAGTTAGTGGACACAGCACTGAATGAAACGTGCCGGATAATCACTGGCTGCCTCAAGCCGACCCCGGTACAGATGCTGTATCCACTGGCAGGCATAGCGCCACCAGTAGTTCGCAGAGCGATGGCGAGCTCTAGCGAAAGAGCCAAAATGGTCTCCGACGCTAGACACCCCCTACACAATAACATCATAGTACCGCAAAGGCTGAAAAGCCGCAACAGCTTTTTAAAGTGCGTACCCCCGCTCACTGGTGAACGCTCTAAGGAAAGACTTAAGTTGTGGCAAGATAGCGTTTCCTTACCCAACCCATTTGTGCCACTTGCCGAAAATCTTCCACCTGGACACGAGTTGCCATGGCTGACCTGGAAGTCTCTAAACAGACTCCGGACACAGGTAGGCCGAAGCAAAGAAAACCTGTTCAGGTGGAGATTCATAGATGACTCTGCCCTGGAGTGTAAATGTGGTCTTGCCCCACAAACTATGGGGCACTTGATATCGTGTCCAGCCTGCCCTGTTACTTGCACATCACAGGAACTGATGGAGGCTACTGAAAGTGCCAAACTCGTCGCCAAATTTTGGGCCGACTCAATTTGAATTGTCATCGACACGCTAAGAAGAAGATAAGAATTGTTGGCCAAATATGTTAGAAATTTATAAGTATAAAAAAAATTACGTTATATTTTGTATTGCGATTATACTCATACACAATTGCGATCACATACAAATGCACGCACGCCAGGCCCCTCTTTCCCTCTGGGCACCCTGGGCACGTGCCCAGGGCCCCTCGATCGATAGGTGCCCTCTAAGTTGTGCCAGATCACAAATCGTAAAGTGGATATTTATTACTGAAAACCATATTTATTTCGAAAAATTCACCGATGATGACTGACTATAATACTTTTTTGTCTGTTTTAACATAATAGTAATCAGTCAAGGTTGTAGGGGCCCCATTATCCTAGTGTGCCCAGGGCTCCAATAGGCTAAAGAAGGCCTTGATGCACGCACAGACAGGCGCACGTACTTTTTTCCAAATACGTAAGGGTATTGAGAAAAAAGTACAGACAAATAATAACTGAAATAAGAGGATTGAAAGAGCCACAGAATTTTTTACAGAATTGAGAATAAAGCTGTCTGAACCGTACATAAATCGCCCCCTGTTATTTTGTTTGTATGCGTATACGGCTTTTGGAGACTAAATAAGTTTTAAGAAGGATATACACTTGGTGTATTGATATTTCTAATAATAGTTAGTTTACACGGAGCATTACATGATCGAATGAGAAGAACTATTTATAAATGAGTCACATTGCAGAGGGCGTAGGAACATGGGGTACAAGGATGCCCTAATCGGTAACCGACCAATGTTTTTTTTTATCATCTAAGTAGTAAAAAAGTACAGCCTTCCTACACGGCCTCCGCCTCGTCCTATCCTTTTGCCAATCAAATTTCACATCGTACAACTAAGCAACACTATTATTTTCAAATCGAATTTTTAGCTGTTAAATTATTGCTTAATAACCTACTAAATACCGCTCTCTGTAGTGTTAAAAGTGATTTAGCTAGATTTCAGGCAGACTTTTGTTAAAATAAATATTTCGGATAATTTTTCCCTATCTTGGCTATTCACTACTAATATTTTAGAATTAATATTATAGTAATTGACCATCGATACAAAAATATCAAAATTGAATATAATGACATATCTAATATTTCAGCCTCGTATGACACTTAATTTATTTAGAATTATTAAAGCTACCTCATAACTTAGTAACACAAAAAAACAGCTTAAGCTATTAAGCGGTAACCACACTATGTCACTTCACTGTCTTAGTACCACTAAGCGCGCAACCATCTTCGATAAATTTTGTAGTACTTCTGAGAGCAACATGCAGACTGGCAGAACGGGGGAAAGACAAACAAACTTTATTTAATATAAGTATTTGTTCTTTTGTAACGTAAGTGTTACAATTATTACGTGTCAGATGTGTTAGATTACAAAAATTAGGTCATTTGCTTTGTTTTCCTGGTATTCATATTTGTTTTTAAAAGCTTAGAGTTCTTACTGGACGTTTACATAAATTGAGGTCTTAGAGAAACAATAATTTGCAAGGAGTGAAAAAAATTGTCGTGTTTGTTTTAATTGGATCACGCTCATAAATAGAACTGAAGCTATAAATGTTTAATTTAACTGAATTTACTCTGCGCTCTTGTCCATTCTTTACTGAACTATTTTTGTATCTTGGTAAAGGTCTGATAGCAGTCGACTCTTTTCGTGACCTAGTCAGTTTTGCATGGTATTTGTATGATTTTTGAATAACGAGCTACATAGTTAGGTATATGATTATTAGTATATCCATTTGTGACCACGTACGAGAGTGCCAGAACATTGGAGTTTTAAGGTAGGTATTTCGAAACAAAGTAAATTTATAAGAGAAGAAATATGAGGAAAAAAGCATTTGATATACTTTTTCTGTTTAATTTGATCTTGACGAAAACCGAAACGACTAAATCAGGTAAATTTTGTACTACTAATTAATCCTAAATGAAACTGAATCTCTGAATGTCTGAAATGTAGGCTTAGCAAACTCTGGTAAATCATAGGCTTTGATGTGTAGTATATGTGTTTTTTAGGGTAGTCCGTTGCATAGTTTTTTCAAAAAGCCATTTATTATTAAAAAGGCACTTTTTTGCAACTAAATTATTACAGCTTTAGACAGTCGTACAATGTTGTAGGTATTTAGGCTCAGCTTAAGAGTTGTACTTTGAATCTGTGTTTATGTCTAAATGTTTTTTTAAGGGGACCATGCAAAAAGTGCTTAGTTGCAAAATGGAATAACAAGGCCAGTTTTAATGCAATCACTTTGGGAGTTTAGTTGGGTGAAGAAAGAGATTTAAGTCAACGAACACTCGTTGCTCGCGTATGTAATGCTGTTACCGTTTTGTGAAGTTAACCCACTGTTGTGATTTTAATGTGGCATTAGTTTCACTTCAAGTTTTTGAGACCTAAGTGAAACTGAAAGTGATCTAAGTAAATACTCTTAATCGAATATATACATAATCTCGATAAAAGATAAATAAGAATTACATCAATTGCCATAGTTAATACATCGATAAGTACCTTATCCTTATCGTCTAGAAAAAACGTGCCAGACTATTTTGTCTGTCAAATAAAGTTACAAACCGTTTATAGCTAAGAGCTGGTTTATTTGTTTATTAATACTCTTTTGGTTAAAGAAGGACACTAGATGCTTAAAAGAGAATTGGCAAACTCAAAGTTCAATATTAATTTAGTTTTAAATATACAATTCTAAAAATATATTGGAATATTTTAAGAGTTTTATGGTATAGCAGTTGGTAGGTGGCGTGGTAAAGTATGCTCAAAACCTACTTTCTAAGGAGAGGTCTATGTCCAGTAGTGGACGTTTAAAGGCTGTTGTTTGATTCAAAATCAATCGCCGATTTTTCTTTAAAAAAAAATGAAGTGGGTTGGTAAAGATGTTGTTTAGATGTTTCTGACAATTCTTTTCTTGAATTTCAATAAACACAAACGTTATCTCTCCGCTAGTGATATTTTTATCATATAGATTTCGGAGATTCAAAGTTCAAAATGATCTACTAGTAAAGGTAGATTTTTCTAGTTGATCAGATTATCAATACGAATTTTTAATGTTGAGAATATCATTTGTATGTATATTTACTTCTCTTAGGATCCAAACATAGAATCCAAACTAGTGTTAGACCTTCCGTATTCAATTTGGATTCTATGTTTATTGTTTTTTTTTAGGTTAAACGGTTGTTGTTGTTGTTGATGAACAATATTCTTGATCGAAGGTTGTTATCGTTGTGGTCTAAAACCCGAGGGTGGCTGTTGGCTTTTCCTTCTCACTTACCAACTAACAATGGATTGCCACATAACCTCTGAATCAACTAATTACATTGTTGCATGCACTAGCACATTGAAATTTAAAATTAACAAATTTTATTCAATCGCTGGTTAGTTATTTTCCATTTCAGTGATTTTTTGATGATGATTTTTTATTTAATTTTATTGCTTGAGTACACAGTAACAATTAGATGTCTTGATTGATCGGTTGTTGACTTATCTGAATCTGATATCTGAATAGCGGGTATCTGACGTCGGCACTACACGACGAAAATGTATTAAGTCTTTAGTATACTGGATATAGGCCTCTCTTTAGAAAGAAAGTTTTGGCCTACTATACGACGCTGACCTATGGTGCTGTTGTCCTGCATAGTTTGCTCCCTTATTCTACTCTTACGACACCCACGGGATTAATAGGGGTGGTGACACTCTGTATTCTTAATCCGTTACCAAACAAATTTCTAATATAATACTATTTTTAAATTTGGTTTACACGTGATAAGGATATTAGTATGTTATTGAAAAAGCTAAACTATGTATCGATAAGATCTATCAGATAAGTTGAGTATTTTAAAGATACTGCGGCTTTCATAAACTTACCTCACATGGAGACGAGTAGTGTATATAAACTAACATAACGATACCAAATATCGTATTGTTACCATGAAGGTCCTGGTGATACTAAGGTATGTATTTTCCATTATTAATACATAATATACCAACACCACCAAATCACTTACATACTACGATAACAATATTTATATCTTTGTAATAACGAACTGCAACATTTCTTGTCATTTGGTTTAAACTGTTAAAAAATATATGGACATCTGGATGTGCGCGCAGTAAACCATTAATAAGTTCAACTGCCCTCAAAGTGGGGCTAGTGGAGGCCTGAGGCAAACCCGCCTGAGTTATAAGGAGTCGATGCTGTCAACGCTGGGTGGCACGCATAGTCTGGGACAAAGAAATAAATGAATATATTATCAGATAGGTTATATACCTTGTTGAAAAGTAAAATAAGTAATAATGGTGTTATTATATGTGAAAAGCTTCGTCTCGGCTGTAAATATTATTTCTTAGATCTAAGGAATATCAAACACATGGTAAAAAAATGCCACGAGAACCCGATAATGATTTAAAGCTAATACATCCTGCATTAGCTTTAAATCATCATCATAGTCAGCCTATTACAGTCCACTGCTCGACATAGGCCTCTCGCATTTCACACCACTTCGATCGATTTTCGGCTTCTCGCATCCAGCTTTATGATAAAGCAAATTTATTATCGTCTGTAATAATAGGTTGAGATCTAAAAAAGAACTACATTAACCAGAGCTTAATTCAACAGTTTGATGACTGTGGCCTCTCACGGCCTCTCAGTGAAACACCAGAGAAGTTTCGCTGCCGACTTCGTGTTCGGCTGTGCCACGGCTTCGTACCAAGTTGAGGGTGCATGGAATGAAGATGGTATGTAGCTTAACGAGAATGTCACATTTGAAACAGCAGAGCAAAACTGACCATTTTTTTTCTTATTAGGTAAAGGTGAGAATATTTGGGACCATATGACCCACAACAAACCAACGGTAATTAAGGACCTCAGCAACGGTGATATCGCTGCTGACTCCTATCACAATTATAAGCGAGATGTTGAGATCATGAGGGAGTTAGGCCTCGACGCCTACCGTTTTTCACTCTCATGGTCTAGAATTCTTCCTACGGGTTTCGCTAGCGAAATTAACCCTGCAGCAATCGAATATTACAACAATTTAATTAATGAGATGCTAAAATACGACATCAAGCCCATGGCTACCTTATACCATTGGGATCTTCCACAAAAACTACAGGAACTCGGAGGTTTCGCGAACCCTTTAATAGCTGAATGGTTTGAAGATTATGCAAGAGTTGCGTACGAACACTTCGGCGATAGGGTCAAGTTTTGGATCACAATTAATGAGCCTAAAGAGATCTGTCACCAGGGGTATGGCTCCACTACTATGGCTCCTATTCTGAATTCAACTGCCTTCGGTACCTACTTGTGCGCTAAACACCTGCTGCTTGCTCACGCCAATGCATACCATGCGTACAATAATGACTTCAGGCCGACTCAGGGTGGTGAGTGCGGTATCACCTTCGCCGTCAGCTGGTATGATGCCCTAACGGATTCTGATGAAGATAAATTTGCTGCTGAATTAAAGAAACAGGGTGATGTAAGAAACATGTTGTTTATCTACAATAACTCAATTCTCAATTAATTATATTTCAGAAGAATGGCTCCCGAATAAATGTTTTTTCTTTTTAGTACGGATTGTACTCCGACCCGATTTTCTCTGAGGAGGGAGGATATCCTACAGATATTGCCAAAAGAATTGCTGAGAAAAGCGCTCAACAAGGCTTCTCGAAGTCACGTCTGCCAGAATTCACAGAAGAAGAGAAGGCCTGGGTCCGAGGTACCTCAGATTTTTACGGTGTTAATCATTACACTGCTAAATTGATTTCAGCAACCGAACACAAAGAACTAAATGATGTTCCATCATATGAAGATGATCTAGATATTGGGACTTTTGTTCCTGAAGAGTGGCAAAAATCAGGAGCCGACTGGTTAATGGTAAGTATACAAACACATAAAAATCTTACAAATGCTCGTTGCGTAGATTTTTGTATTCAAAATCAGAGTTTCGAAGTGGTTTATACACTTTTATCATGAGGATTTTCATAAACACCATTGAGATACCACAATTTATTTTAAATATTCTGATCTGATCTACAGTCATCTATGCAGTAGAAATACAAAGAGTTCTGATAAACGAAATTATTTTATATGCACAGATGGCGCCCAAAAGCCTGTATAACTGTCTAATGGATGTACACGAGAGATACAACGCTCCAGTCCTTTATGTCACTGAGAACGGTTGGGCTGATTCTCTTGAGGTTGGCTTGTCGGATGACCTTAGAGTCGAATATTACAGGGCCGCACTAGAAGATGTATTAGACGCCATTGACGCTGGAGTCAATCTTAAGGGATATTTGGCGTGGAGTTTGATAGACAACTTTGAGTGGATGTCAGGATACTCGTGAGTATTGTAGACAATATTTCTGATTTCTTATGTCAGGGTTTAGGAATATAATTATTTTTGCTCCATAGAAATCCTTTTATTGTGAATTTACCGTTCGCATTAAGTTACCTGTAGTTGCATTAAGTTGTTCGTGTAGTGACGGATTAAGAATACGGAATGTCACTAACCCAATTCATCCCGTGAGTGTCGTAGGAGCCGACTAAGGGGACAAAATAACGCAGGACACCAGCACTGCAAAAAGAAAGAAAACTTGACACAAACCCTATACCAACCCGTCTGGCCAGCGTAGTATAGTAGGCCAAAACCTCATTTCTAAGGAGAGGCCTATGTCCAGCAGTGGACTATTAAAGGCTGCTGATGTGTTTTGATGATTAAGTTACCTTACGATAAAAAACTATCAATTTTTTAAATTATGCTCAAAGTGAATTTCATTCACAGACAACGCTTTGGCCTTTACTACGTAGACTACGAAGATCCAGCGCGTACTCGCACTGCCAAGAAGTCAGCGTTCGTATACAAGCACATCGTCAAGAACCGCTACATCGACTACGACTATGAACCCGAGTCCATGACTATGACTATTGATGAGGGACATTAAATTACTTTAAATTAAGTTTCTGCTGTACAATTAGTGCTTGTAAATAATTTACATAAATATATGAACGAATCTTAAATACTTCTAAGTTTAGATTTCGGTATTTTATTTTCGAACTCTTGAACTTCAATGTGTATTTATTATTTGTGGTTTATTATTACGGTGGCATAATAAATACGTATGATGTCAACATATCAAGAACCTCGCCTCAACCAGCTACTACAGCCTCAGTCCTCATTCCTACCTACAACTTGCGGTACCTCTCATCTTAGTTTTAATAGTATTCCTCGTTCGTTCTTCATTTGTCCCATCTGAAAAGCATTATATTTTTAACATGGGTTGGCGGGAAGTTGCCGTTCCTCCATAAAATAAACCCTTTGTAATGTTACACACAGTGCCAATCTCAAATAAAATTGAGAAAAGGGCAGAAAGACTAGACAAGAAGAGAGTGAAAGCTTGTGAACTAATATTTTTTTAAACTTCCCACTTTTCACTGATTCAAAACTAGGCAGAGCCTGCATTGTGGTAACCTAACTGCTGATAAACATACTTAAATATTTCTAAAAATATACATATTATAGATAAATTACACTCAGACACAAAATAAATGTTCGTGTTCATCACATAATTATTTATCCTGGGTGAGAATCGAAACACGACCTCTAGCTGGCTTAGCAATCAGATCACTGACTACTAGACCAATAGGTCAGTCAAATACTCAAAAAGTTCAAATTATAAAAGAGGCCAGAGGCTGTAGTCCCAGAAGATATTTAGACCATATCTCTGAAAAGCTGGAGATACCAATAAATCTTGCATTCCACCAAGTGACTGATCGCAACCGATGAAGACGAAAGATGGTTAAAGTGTTGAAAAGGAGTAAAAGGAATCCAATGAGGAGTTCAAGGAATACAAAGGAATCCAATGAGTGAATGATTGGTGTATGAAAATCGTGAATACGCCCGATTTTAGGCATATCGGTTAAGTCTGCTGGTAAGTAATGTCCGTATTCAATATGAGTGTTTATATCCAACTGATTGATATTTCATTTCCTAGTTACCAAATAAAATAAAGAATGTTAACATCCGACGTCCAACTCAGTTTTCTTTACCTAAATTGTTGGTTATATCATCCATTTTAGCTTTACTAACAGTATCCTATTCTAAAGCACCACTTTTATCACTAGCGTTATTTTCCATAAAAGTATCTTATATTTTATTATCAAAGTCATTGGTAATACCACTAGCAATCTTTAAAATATAATGTAATGACATGATACACCCATAGATCCACATGTGGTATCAACGATATTGCTTTTATCGGATGAATTGTCTGATCTGATCTTATGTAAGTTGAAATAATCTTCTAAAAGACAGTAAAAAGATATGAACTATGCCGAATAAGGAGAGAGGACACATGCCAAAATACTTTTGCGTGTAAGCATTGTCTAAAAGTGGTTTCCCAGTCAAATTTTTTTTTTCATGTCCGACCTAACAAATCGCTCAGTTATTAACAAGTACATATTAGCATCCAATGCTAAACTAATGCAGGCTATCGAATACCTGCTTCTGGTAGTTCTTTGGAACAAATTTAATTCAATTCAATTTAATGTCTTTATTTGCAAAAATGAGTACGGTATATTTTGTGATAGTAAGTAGGTAGGTAGGTATTACAATGGTGTTACAATTTTAAAGGATTCCTACATCTTTTACCTATTACGGTATAAAAATATTAGGAAAGGTCAAATTATGGCTTTTCAGTAGAGTCACTGACGTCTCATTATAAAGGTATCAGACTTCCAGGGATGCTCACTTTTTGCAAGTGAAGGGATGATATTTCGCTTTAAAACTCCGGATCCGAAGATTAGTTTTTCGCTAATGACTCAAGGTTAACAGGCGCTCCGACTCCCTAAATTAGTGATAGTGAATCCTGGATTTTGCAACCAGCTCGTCTATGGGCGCCTGCAACCCAGGACTTATAAGCGCATTGTCAGCCTGCAACAAACCTTCAAAACGAAGCGCTTTGTTTTTGAAAGTTCAAAGGTCGTAACGACTCGGAAATACACCCTCAAACCTACTTTCAAAACCTACCTAACTGAAATAATTGAAGGCAGCGTACTAAAAGAGACCTACATACAATTTCTGTTTTAAATCAAGTTATAAGTTTAAATACATAACAACAGCTATAATAATGACCGCAAGACGTAAACTAGTCCAATAGGTTTGGGTTATCAATTAACCCCACGAAATCATCGGTCAGGCGATCATAGTCGGTAGTGACCGTCCGCTCAAATAAAGTCAACTTTGGGTTGTTGGCAGCTGTATTTTGTAACGGTATCACAGTACTCCTTGTAGTTATAAAATGTCTCAACAGGATAATTGCGCTGACCCCAAATAAAATTGGGACAGCAAGGAGGTGATGATGATGATGAATGATGATAAATAGACAAACATCATAATACATGAAAGTATGAAAATTAATACCCATGTTACCGAGTTACATGCTAAACAATATCTTAACCAACTAGTGGTGCCTACTCGACTCGATTACCTGATCTTCATAATAATCACATGATTCACTCAAGTATTAGTAGTAGTTTTCACTCAAGTAAAATCTGGTTGTGATTATAACTGGGCGGTCTGCTCTATGAGTGATTTCTGTTAATTATTGTGTCTCTGATCTTATAGAGCTTGGTTACCCTTAGTATCACCAAGAATGATCCTTGTCAGATTCCCAGAAAGTTGAATTCAGATATTAACATATCTAAATATTAGTTAATGTTTAAACAAAACGCCTACAAAATTAATAACAGCAACAAATACTATCGAGACAATATCCAATCCGGCGAATGGTGATTTAGGCGGAGATATCTTCTATCACTGGTATTTAAACTCAGCTTTTTACAGATACGCCAGTTTCAGTTGTTCCGTTTGCTTATCCTGGGTTTGCAGTATCCTTCACTTTAGTTTTCCCGCCCTACAATATATCCGTGTGGTGACGGATTCGTATTCGTCCCGTGGGTATCATAAGAGCCGCCTAAGGGAGAAAACAGCACTGCAAAGAGAAGGAAATCTTGAAACAAACCCTATACCAACCCTTTCGACCAGCATGGTATAGTAGGCAAAACCTTTCTAAGGATAGGCCTATGTCCAGCAGTGGACTCTTAGAGGCTGTTAATGATGTTATATTAGTACTGAAAAAAACTCGTTTTTTCCAAGATGTAACTAAATGTATGTGGAAGTAACAAAAATATTTATTTAATCAAAATATTTACCCTCATTATCTATACATTGCTGCCATCTAAACGGAAGTTTATTTATGCCTTTACGATAGAACTCTGGGATCTAGATACGACGAACTGTGTAAAAGCGTTTTGTACTGCCTCCTGGGAAGGAATTCTTTTATCACATAAAAAATTGTCCAAATCATGAAAAAAATGGTAGGCCGCTGGAGCAAAGTCTGACTAGTACGGAGGATGACGTATAGTTTCTAACTGCAGATCTCTGTAGAGTTACAACGGTTTCTCGTACAGTGTGAGGTCTTGTGTTATCATGGAGCAATAATGGTAAAGATCGATTCACGTGTCGAGGCTTTTTCACTGCCAGTTTCGCCATCATTGTTCGATGTTCGGCATAGTAAACATCTGCTATTATTGCCTGACCCTGACCTGAGAAAGCTATAGTGAATAACACCATGAAGAGACCACCACACAGTCAGCATTAACTTTTTATTGGTAAGCTTTGCTTTAAGGCATTGTTGCAGCGTTTGACCTGGGGTCAGCCATTGCATTTTTCGCTTACGGGTATCGTAAACAATCCACTTTTCGTCACATGTTACAATTCGATTCAATATTTCTGCATTTCTGTACCGATTCAACAAGGCAACACAAGTTTCAACACGCATTTCTTTCTGAAAAATGAATAAATTATTTAAAAATGACTCGGATTTTCGAAGCACCTATCTTTCACGTCTGAGCCGATTAAAAAAAACTGAAAGTCGAATATCGAATGCTACACATTTATAAAAAAAGAACTATATATACTATATATTATGTGAAAAAAGTTTGAAACGAAAATCTCACACTGTGAAGGTTTTATGTCAATTCAAAGTATCTTTTACTGTACAACGGCAATTTCATACGGTAACCCCTATTATTTTCGTTTCGCGCTATATCCTTTGTCTCGTCTGGATATGATTACAATCCTTAGGATGGTTGGCGTCAGGCGGGCAGCTGATTATAAAAGAAACCAACCAAAACAGAAATTTGAAGTTGGGAAAAAGGCCAGTAAATGATAATGCTATATAGCTAAATGTAATTGTTAAGTCATTGTAATATCATAATATTTGGTATACTAGTTTAAATGTGACAGTTAGCTTTTGAAAAGTTTTGTATAACTGAACGTTATGGACCAACTATCTATAAGATAGATAGAATATGCTTTATAGTACACTAATTATAATAAGATAGATGGATATTACTTTACTCAACTCCTGAAATTTAATTTTCTTAATTGATCTACTAATAACACTTATTTAATACAATATCTTTTTTCTTTTTTAAAAAGACAACTCCCGCACTAGGAATAAATCCTGTGTCTTGACTTTACAAATATACATGAAACGGATCCAAAGAACACCCAGACTCAGAACAACAATTTGTGAATCACACAAAGTGTCGTCCCATGTGGGGGTCGGACCCATAGCACTCAGCGAAGTAGTGACCGCCCGCCGTGGCGATCGCTTAAACCATTACGTCATCCGTGCAGTCGATATACTCATTGTATTATTAATGTAGAACAACTAAGAACAATGAAAGCAAATTGACCAAATTGCTCCTGTAAAATAAAACATTCTAAACTTGAATTCAGAAAAAGAAAACAAAAACTCGTTGAAATGTGACGTTCTTAAAGAAATAACCCCTGCAGAGATGTTCATTACGCATATCGTGCACAGATAAAGATAAGTAAAGATAAACTATCAAGAGCCTCTTTAGGATGACAGTTATGCATAATGTTTTTAAAACTGGCTTTTCCCGCAGCTTGTCTCTAGTGAATATTTTTTATTTCGTGTTTCTTACTTTGAAAATAAGGAGCTTACATACGACCATTCATCCTTTATTTTATCACCTTAGGGGTGAAATTTCCAAATATCTTTTCTTAGTGATTTTTACACCATAAAAAATATTAGCTGCTGAAATTTCAAGTTTGTATTCCTAGGGGTTTAGGCTCTGCGTTTATGAATCAGTCAATCAGTCAGGTTAGTAATTTTTTTTTAGTTTATAATCCTACCTAATACTAAAAGTTTGACACCACCAATTCGTGACGTTACAAATCTGTAGTTGGTAAAAGTGTCTGCATTACCTAATGCTATGACGTTTATTATTGCTTTGTTTATCCGCTGAAATAGGTTCGTTTCAAATTCTACAAAGGTATATAATATTCTCAAAGAAAAAACACTTACAAACAAATTTTATTTTATTGTGGTTACGATTTTCACTCTTTAAGCAATATCTTATCTTAAGATGTATTATTGAATATCTTATCTTATTTACAAAGTTCGACACGTGGCACGTGGCAATCCGTCGGGGTCTATTCTGTGAAAGGAGTTGTACCTGTTTGAGAATAGCCAAAATGCTGATCTTTGAGAGAAAAGTTTACTTAAGAGTGATTCAGTCGAAGTTGAATCTTCGATAGTTGTGATTACGTTGATTATGCTTGTTTAGATATTTATGATTTCCATAAATACATATCCATAGGAATCTTAACCTTAAGAGGTAGTTGATAATTTATCAATTTATTTTATCTTTTATCTTTATCTGTGCGTGATGTATGTACATAAACAAGGTCTTTGCAAACGTTATTTTCAAGAACATTTAGAAACATTTTTGTTTTCTCTTTCTAAATTCAAATATAGTATTCTTTATTGTACGAGTATTAATTGCAAAAGAAATTTATCAATTTCCCTACTTATCAATTTTTTTCAGAAAAGTAAAGGAAAACAGTTAGAATGAGAGACAACAAATTGATTTTAGGATATAAACAATGAAAAATATTAATGTGGCCTAAGACATGCAACAGCAGTCAAATTATGACGATAATTTTTTTTTCTTTCGAAAACCAGTCAATGGTAACTATTTCAACCAATAATTTCTACGCCGAATACCACAAAAAGTTACGATTTTGGATGACAAGCTACCGGGAGTATTAGATAGACAAGAAATAGAATGCATTTATTTATTGGAACAAAAATAGTTACATCGTAAGTTATTACTAAATACAATTCATACACCATATTAACAAACATGGTAAATCATGTTCCTCTGTGAATCACTCATCATGTACTCAAAAAATTAACAATACAAATTCCAGTCGTAAATGCAGATTAAAGAAAAATTACTGAACGCAGTAGTTCAATGGACTCTTTTAAATTAAATGGCAGTTAGAAAGAACAAACATATAGATAGTGGTAAAATATATGTTGTAATTAGGCACAATGCGCCGAAGGGGTGCACGGATACCAGGATTGGTATTGCAAGTGCCTGTATGGAACAGTTTGGGAATTGTATGAACTAAAGAACTGCCTCTAAGTTAACAAATAATATCCCTTATCTATGGTCATGATCTTAGTCTTAGGTTCATAGTTAGGGTCGATGTGTCGGTTCTTCACGATGTGTTTGTACACAAACGCTGATTTCCTGGGCGTGCGGGTGCGCGCTGGACTGTTGAAGTCTACATGATAGAGACCGAAGCGTTCTCTGTGAACAAATATTGTACTTTAGATTTTTATATTGTTTATTTTCTGGATGTTTCTTGTCTCTGAATAGACTGACGGTTTGAAGAATTTAGCTTGGACAGGCAAGTGGACGTGGCAAGCTGGATACAGAGAGGCCTATTTCTAGCAATCGACTGATATTGCATCATTAATTGATAGATTAAAGCTATCACGTGTCAAGCGGCTGATGGTGTCACGTCACTACTTACACGAATCTTCTAAAATCACTTGGTAACCCATCTCGAGTTCATCTTAAGCCTTCGGTGTAACTAAAATATCTATCAAATTTATTTGTATTCATAATATAATTGATGTCCTTTCTTGAATTTCGTTTGGCATAGGCGCAATTTGTAATATTGCATAAAAATTCGGTATCTTTTATTGCCAGTCAAAGGCAGACAAATACATTGAAATTAAGTTATTAAGCGAATGGCAGATTAATAAATCCACCATCTTTTAATATTATATTTTCATCAACAGCATTTAATAGTTCAATAATGGACATAAACTTCTCCTTAAAAAGGAGGTTTTGGCACACTATAGTAGGTCAAAACCTTCAAACTGGCCAGATGGATTGGTTTAGGGTTTGTTTCAAGTTTCCTTCTCCTCCAGTGTTGTTGTCCTGCGTTTGTTCCCTTAGTTGGCTCTCACGATATCCTTAAGATGAATAGGGGTGGTGTCACTCAGTATTCTGCCACTGCATGGGTAGAATATTACCTATCAAATCAAATATTATCTTTTAAATAAGGATATTTTCACAGTTTAATAAAACTCACGTGTAACCTTCCATCCACTCGAAGCTGTCTATCATGCTCCATGCCATATATCCTTTAACATTGACTCCAGCCTCCAAAAGGTCCAACACATTGTCAAGCGCTGCCCTGTGGTAGGCTATCCTCTTATCATCAGTCAGTACATGGGTTGCAGTCGTTGACCATCCGTTCTCAGTGATGTAAAATATCACGTTCTGATATCTCTTGTGTAGATCCATTATGGCGTTAAACAGGCTGTTAGGCGCTCTCTGGGATAAAAATACATCTGTTTCATTAATATCAGTTTTTTTGTGGAATCTCTATCACGAAAAGGGACGGGAGAGTGTAACAGGAAGGGGTAACCAAGGAATCGTGCGCTATTTAATTTGATTTCTTTCCTAAGTTTTTGGAACAAGGGGCAAACGATGGCATCATCTGATGGTAAGTGACTACCAATGTCAATGGACACTTAAAACTCAAAAGTCACAAGTTCGTTGCCACCTTTTCAGCCAGAATTACAAGTAGTGGGGGTTTGAGGCTAATTTTACCTCACTCACTCGGTCAAAAGCTCCAAAAGAGTTGCTGAAACACTGGTTCTTGTTGAAGCCATGGTATCACTTCGCTCGTTAACCCCAATTCATGAAAAAAGGTCATTTATTTTCAACTACTTGTACCTCATGGAAGTCAAGGCAAATAATATATTTATTATCTACTATACCTTCAGCCAAGATGATGCAGAAGAAGGCCAATCTTTAGGTTGATAAAAACCAACATCTAAGTCATGCCGAATAGAAGGTACTTCAACATAATATTTGTACTCTGTAGCTGAAATCTTCCAAGCAGTGTAGTGGTTTACACCAAAAAAGTCATATGAACCACGAACCCAATGCTTCTCTTGCTTATTGAATTCAGGTAAACGAGATTTGGAGTATCCTTGGTCCTTGCTCTTCTTAGCAACTCTTTTGGAAAAGTCTTTAGGAAAACCACCCTTTGCAGAGAAGATGGGTTCAGCGTATAAACCCCACTGAAAGGAATGGTGTTAAGATCATTGAGGTTAATAATAGAGATTTAATTAATAGTTAATTAATGAAATCTCCAAGAAAATAAAAAGAGTTTTATAATAAATCTCAAATTATCATGTCATTATTAACAACCAGTTTTGTAATTGCAATTAACAAGCAGCATTGATTATTCAATCTTTTCAAACAGTCAGCTAGACACAACAATAATTTATCCAATATTTATTTATTATTGAGGGACTCCAACAAAAGATGTACAAAATTAAATCACTTTAAACAAATAAAATGTATTTGGCAAGTGCAATCCCTCAATTATGAGAAACAACAGCATGCACTAGATTCGATAAAAACTGAGTAATATCCATCCAAATAGAAATGTATTATAAAAAAAAAAATTGAAACGAAAAACTTACTTCAGCCTGCTGCGTAAGTTCAGCAGCGAACACATCTTCAGTTTGATTAGTAGCAGGCTCAAACCAGTGCACACTTATAGTGATACCACACTGGCCACCTTGATGCCGTTGAAAGTCATTTTTATATGCATGGTATGCGTTAGCGTGAGCAAGTAGCAGGTGTTTAGCACATAAATAGGTACCGAAAGCAGCTGAGTTCAGGAGTGGCGCTTTATTTGCAGATCCATAACCATCGTGACAGATTTCTCTAGGTTCGTTGAAAGTTATCCAATGTTTGACCCTATTTCCAAAGTTCATGAACGCAATTCTGGCGTAATCTTCGAACCAGTTGACAATCAAAGGATTGACGAAGCCACCGAGGTCTTGAAGCTTTTGGGGTAAGTCCCAATGGTAAAGAGTAATTATAGGAGTGATGTTATATGTTAACATTTCATCAATTAAATTGTTATAGTACGCGATACCTGCTGGATTGACAGGATTATTAAAGCCTGATGGAAGGATTCTGGCCCAGGACAGTGAAAATCGGTAGGCATCAAGGCCTAACTCTCTCATGATTTCTACATCACGCATGTAATTGTGGTAGGAGTCAGCAGCTATCTTAGCGTTGCTTTTATCCTTGATCTTACCTATTGTAAAATGGGTCAGATGGTCCCAGATATTTTCTCCCTTACCTTTTTGGACATATAAGGAGGCACTTTAGCACAAATAAAAATTGACTAAAAAATAATTTTTTGAAAAGTTAATTTACCGTCTAGATGCCAGGCACCTTCAACTTGGTGGGCAGCAGTTCCACAGCCGAAGAGAAAGTCTTCGGGGAAACGTCTCCAATGATTAACGGATACATCACGGCTGGCAACTGTGAGCAGGCTGTGTGAAATAATATTTTTAATTACTTGGTGGCTACGAATGCTACATCACTCTTTGAAAGTTTACGTACGGTTGGAAGACTCAAAATGTAACATAAGAAAGAGTTTTGATGGGTTTATTTTATAGCTGACACGAATATATTCGTTTTTAGACGGGACAAAGATGCAAGAAAATTTAGGGTTGAGGAAAACACATATGGCGTGGGAGCTAAGGTAAGACATACCAAAATTTTTGAATGGGAAACAAGGACTAAGACGGCATCTGGAAGGACTGACCCTGTAACTGGAATAGGTCGAGATGCCTACCCGTGTGAACATCGGCATGTGATTCGAACCATCGTTAGATTAGAGACTTCTAGTAGCTCAGATTCATAAAACAGATTATACAGTTTTCGTTTAATCGATCGAATATTCTCACCTTTCTTTTTGGAAGTACTTCATACCCAAAATCTTTTTGTGTATTTTATTTTTATATAGACTATTGAACATTCTTTCTATATAAGATTGTGTGTTGATCTTCTATAGACAAAGCCTTAGAGTAACCTTTTTATGTTTACGACACTCTTTTTAATTTTTTTTTTTTTTGTATTTGACCTAAAATTCATTTTTACTTACCTTCAATGCACGCCTTCAATTGTGATTAAAAGTTAAGGTTATCGAATTAAACGTTATAAATTAACTTCTCTATCTGAAATCATCTAATTAACCTCTGAAAAGAGCTTATTAAAGGTTGATTTAAGTTTACAACCCAGTCAAATTATTTAGGTATTTTTTAATTTTGTGGAAACCTGATTTTTAAATACTATAGGGGCAAACAAACAGACGCGTCACCTGATGAACTCAAGAGAAACAAATGCGTTGCCGCTCTTTGGGAAGAGTTAGAGGCTTAGGTCACCGGTAACCTCACTAAGTCGGTGAAAACCAACAAAAGTATTGTTTTACATCGGTTTTCTGTGAGGCCGTGGTTTCACTCCGGTCCAGCCGGCCCATTTGTCCGAAGCATGGCTCTCCCATGAATAAACGACGGCTTGTAAGAAGAAATAACTTGAATTGCATTTTACTACTTTCAAATCAGTTAAGTACTACCTTTGCCTTCTTTCCTAAGTTTTTTGGAACAAGGTGTAAACGATGGCATCACCTGATAAGTGACTACCGTCATCAATGGACACTTACCAGTCAAAAGTCACAAGTTTGTTGCCACCTTTTCAGCCCTCTCCCTCCAGAATTAGTGGGAGGGTTGTTTGAGGCTAATGTTACATTTTTATATGCATGGTATGCGTTAGCGTGAGCGAGTAGCAGGTGTTTAGCACATAAATAGGTACCGAAAGCAGCTGAGTTCAGGAGTGGCGCTTTATTTGCAGATCCATAACCATCATGACAGATTTCTCATTAATTTGCTTTTATAAATCTAGATCATCTGTCCATATAAATACTAGCTGACCCGGCGAACTTGGTACCGCCTTAGTATTAATAAATTAGGTGACAAATTTAGTACATGGTCCAATAATGTGTTCCAACTTTCCAGGAACCCATTGAAATATACACACAAAACTTCATCCAAATAGGTCCAGTCATTTAGGAGGAGTTACAAACACACGTACAGAAGAATTATTATACATATTAAGATAAATGTTAAGTTGGTTTGTGTACGCATCAAAAACTCAAATTTTGGCACGATATATGTACCTACATACCGTAGTGGTTTAAGCAGTTAATTCGCCGTTTCCTACTGCGCTAAGTGTTGTGGGTTCGAACCCCACATGGGAGAACACTTCCACAAATGGTTGTTCTGAGTCTGGGTGTTCTTTGTATCTGTTTCATGTATGTTTGTAAAGGATTATATTCCTAGTGCGGGATTTGTATTTTAAAAGAAAAAAGAAAAGTTGTTTATTTTTTCTCATTTCTCATCAATACAATCACAATGTGTCAGAGCGAAGTGTGGCAAGGGTACAGGCCGTTACCAATATATGGGTAGTATTGTTTTACAGGCGTCATATATTCTGTAGTCTACTCTAATTTTATTATTACTTCCAAAACGAATACATACCCAAATAACAGTAGAATTTTCATAATGAATATATTCTCAAACACTTCAGGACCTTGTTCAAACACAACTTTAATTTTATATCGAAGCACAGGTTTACCTCTCTCAAAGTATTTTACATAACTGGATATCAACTCATAAGTTACTTATAATATTATTCTTTATTATATTTGTTAAGATTTATGACGAAGCGGCTATGTTTAACGATTGAAAAGATTACCTAAACATACCTTCTGGATATCGTAATAGACATAACATATCTATAAAACACTAGGCTTTTCCCTCGACTTTGCTAGCTTTTAATTGATAATAGAAATTAATGAGGAGGAGGTTATGTTTTTTATTATATTGGTAACATAGTACTCCGATTTGGAAAATCCCTTTTTTATATGAAAGGGTACATATATCTGTATGGTCCTGTTTTATTTTAATCAAAAAATTTAGATTTTTTAATTTAAATAAAGACGTGACGTGACCAATCAATGACACTTTTATTAAAGATACTTAATTAAATATACACATAAATTACCCTGGTTCATTTTTTTGTGCCTGGCCGATCATAATAATAATAAAATTTTTTGGCGACGTCTGACACACAACACTAAACTAGGCAGAGCTTGTACTATGAAAGCTAGATTGACTGATGGAATAATTTAATACTATTTTTTTTCGTTAATACATATATATTATAGATAAAGTACAGACCAGACACAGAATAAATGACCGTGCTCTTCACACAATTATTTGTCCTGGGTGGGAATCGAACCCACGACCTCTGGCGTAGCAGTCAGGGTCACTAACCACTAGACCAACAGGCCAGTCATCATAAATACACATTATATTCAAGAAGATCAGTTCAGTAGTTGCGACATTAATGCGATACACAGAAACAAACACACATTCGTATTCATAGTATTAGTTATTATATTACCTATATGTTGAGGTATCTGAAAAATGATTGAGAAAATTAACTAAAAACATTTCTTTTGTGAGGCGTGGGAAACTCGATTTACGTAACAATAAAGATATTTAATTTATTTTGATAAACTTATATTCTCATAATTTTTCAATGTTTGTCTTAATTTTTATACCTAAAATAAGAAGGGAGGACTACACTTTCTTTACACTGCACACAAGTGTACAGAAATACTATAGTATTATTGGAGGTGGCGGCATCGTTACCCCATTTAGGGCAAATACTTTTACATTTTTTTAAAGACAATCCTACACTAGGAATATATCCTAGGCGCAAAAAATACCCAGACTCTGAACAACAATTTGTGGATCACAAAAAGTGTTGTTACATGTGGGGATCGAACTCACAATTCTGTGACTGCTTAAACCACTACGCCATCCGTGCAGTCAACACACCGTCACATTGCCTTGAGTGTTACATGTAATATATACGTAATGTATATGTATTATGGGAGGGTCATGCTTTGGCGAACATGGACCGGTTCGACCGGAGTGACATCACGTCCTCACAGAAAACCGGTGTTAAGCCATTATTTTCTTGTTTTTCACCGATTTAGTCAGGTCACTAGAGAACAAACCACCCCCCTCCTTTTTTTCTATGTGGATGTCCCCTCGGATACCACCGTGGTGGTTATGTCGGACTCGAACCGACTAAAAACCGAACCAGGTGTACCTTAGGATACCGGACACCCCCTATTTCTGGGGTAGGGCCTAAAAGAGCGGCAAAGCACTTGTAAAACCGTGTTAAGTGTGGCCATCGACACGATAAGAAGAAGAAAGTGTAATAGCCTTGATCCTATTATGTAAGTAGGTGGTAGTTTCTCCTTTCCTCTGGTTTTCTTCCTCTCATGCCGGGAGTATCCATATTAGAATGTCAAACCTTTTTTTGCTGTAGGCGAAAAGGAGTTAGCTGCGTGTAATTTATTACTTCATCTACCCGACTTAAAAAAGGCGGAGGCTCTCAGTTAATTTTTTTATGTACCTAGTACCTAGTACCTAGTACCTAGTACCTAGTACCTAGTACCTAGTACCTAGTACCTAGTACCTACTCGTAGTGACTTGGAAAATTACGGAATATACAACCATTTATCCCTCATTTTACCGCCTTACGGTAAAATTACAAAAATTCTTCATTAGTGGGTGCATACAAACTTGCAGTTTGTAGCGCCAGTAGTTTAGTCTCTGCGTTGATTTAATAACAAATGGTGATGTTATAAAAATATAAAAACGAAACGTAAAATATACTAGAAATTTGAATTTAAATTAGTAATAGTATTGTCTTACATACAATTTTTTTTGTATTATGTACATATATTTTTAAGGGTTCCTTACCTCAAACCCCTTATAGGATCACTTTGTTGTCCGTCCGTCCGTCTGTCTGTCAAGACCGTTTGGCTCGGGAACGCGTGGAGGTATCGAGTTGAAATTAAAATCATATACTCAGGTCTACAGGACCTTGAAGCTGTAAAAAAAAACAACTTCTAAAAAATTATAATCATGTACGAGTAAAAGTCAGTTTAAGTACTACTTGGTCTGTATTCTGTAATTGTACCTTTTGTAAATAAAATTAATAAATTAATGATTAAATTGACTGCACGGATAGCGCAGTGGTTTAAGCGGTCACCTTGCCGCTTCCTACTGCGTTAAGTGTTGTGGGTTCGATCCTCACATAGGACATCACTGTGTGTGATCTACAAATTGTTGTCCTGAGTCTGGGTGTTCTTTGTGTTGGTTATATGGTTGTTTGTAAAGTCTGCCATGATACAGGTTTATATACTTACCTAGTGCGGCAGGTGTCTTAAAAAAATATATATCCTATAGCAATGTAGACTGAAATCTAATAATTGAAGTGAAGAGCGGAAATGAGGCAGATCGCCTTGTTGTCGCCTTGGATGCCGTTAGAATTTTAAATATTGTCCTGAACATCGTGACGATCGTGGAATAATCTTCACAAGGACGATTGAATTAAGATGTCGTCGTATAAACCGGAAGAGATTTACATTCGAAATGTAACTACTGAACGTTGGTTCCATTTCCGATATATGAACATAGTTTATCTTTCTCCTACTTTCAAGCTTCGAATTTTTAGAGAGATTCATCATCATCATCAGCCTATCGCAGTCCACTGCTGGACATAGGCCTCTAACATTCCACGCCACTTAGATGGATTTTGGGCTTCTCGCATCTTCTCGTTTTTCTCTTTGCAGTGCTATTCTCCTGCGTAGTTTGCTCCCTTAGTCGGCTCTTACGACATCCACGGGATGAATAGGGTTAGTGCTACTCCGTATTCTTAAACCGTTACCACACGGATATGATATCACCTGATACATGATCATGCTAATTCGAGTATACATATATACTCGTAAGTATATAAATATTTCATGGAAGGCGAACCTTTTAAAGATAGTCAAGTAATCTATTCTCGCAGTGAGATTGTTTTTATTTACGACAAGTTACTGCTCGCGGCTTCGCTCACATGATTATTTCTTATTTTGTATTTTTAACTTTGAAAATAACGAACCTCCGTACAAGTACAGTCAACATACAGTCTGTCAGGGCAAGTAATTTTAACTGTTTAGAATTCAAGCAATTATTGATGTAAAGTTATAAAGATTTAAAATCTACATTAACTCAAGCAAAGTCGCAGGCAGTATCTAGTATTATTTTAATTGCCCTTTTAAATGATGTTAAACAGCTGTTGTAATTTGTCACATTAATGTGATGGTGCAGTAATTATTTATTTATATCTACAACATCGTAATCATAATTATATTGATAAGAATAATTAACGGAGCATTCGCCTTCAGTTTAAAGATAGTGAGTATTAGTATGTTAAAACGCCTTCGTTCAACTAGCACGATGAGGTTCTTCGTACTGTGTTTATTCAAGTAAGGGAATTTGGTATTTTTAAGTGAAGTGATTGTTTACAACGGATGGTGTGTGTTTCTTGTGTACTAAACAAATGTTTTACAATTTAATTTTGTTGTTGAGTCTGTTGTTTTAATATTCGGTACCGGCTTTCTTACGAATAGTGTGGGTGAGGTTGGTTTTAATTAGAAGTTCAATTTGAATTTTGCTTGTGTGGAAAAGTGATGTTTCAAATAGTTTAGTGTGTAAACACTAAACTAAGTAACTAAATAAGTAATTATTTGGTAAAAAAGCTAAATTTAAATACACGGCAACGCGTTTGTGACTCCTAAGTTGCAGACGTTCATGGGCGGCGATGGTCACTTCTCATCAGATGACAAGTCTGCTCGTCTGATCCCTCTAACATAAAGAAAAACCATTTGCACAGACGCATCACGAAAACCAAAACTTCATTTAGGTGAAATGACATTACGACTTTCAAGTACACATATGTATAAATATATTTTGTACATATAATATAATATATAACAGTATAATATATATTATACTATCAGTTGCTCTCAGCTGCACTTTCTAAGGGTCGTAATTATAAATAAGCATTTCTTTTAAATCTTTGGTGCTCCAACTTTATGTAGTGGTAATGTAATTAGCTAGTTTTATGTTCATTTACGAGTACAGACAAAGTCAAAAATTTACTAAAACGGTTACATTTCTTAAGATTTTGATGGGTAAATTATTTCTTACGTTACATTAGTAGACATTTTAAACACGGCCTCCTGACCCCAATCTAGGCAGAACCTGTACTATGGTAATTAGACTGCTAATAAACATGCTTGAATATTAATAAAAATATACATATTATAAATAAATTATACATAATAAATTATACATAAATAGAACAAATGATCGTTCTCATCACGTAATCATTTTTTCTCGGTGGAAATGGAAGCCGTTGGTTCGACAATTAGGACCAGTTGGTCAAGTTAACTAATAGGTACTAACCTATGAAGTTTGAGATTTTTAAAACCAGTGTGGAGGAACGGGTGTCATGTCCCTCCAACACTAAGATAGGATCCTCCGACCAGGCGAGGTGATCATGGCTGGCGGGTCGCAGCCTAACGGATGATTTTGGAAAGTTTATATATATGCTAATCGGCGAGATAATTCTTCATATCACGATACAGGATTAGCAATTCTCATTCAGGAGTTATTCCATAGTTAGGTGTTTCTTCGTTCGGGCACGCCGTCATCGCGGCGGTAAGATCCGTCATGGAGGATTGGCTCGAGAGGCGTCACGGGACCCTCTCATACCGACTGACACAGGTGATCACTGGGAAAGGATGTTTCGGGGATCACCTGTGTCTGATACGCAAGGAGCCAACGCCTGAGTGCCACAACTGCGATGGCCAGACCGTGGACACGGCTCTCCACACGCTGGCAGAGTGCCCGGCGTGGGTTGAGCAGAGGCGAGACCTCGTGGCGGCCATCGGAGTGGGAGTTCTCTCGCTCGATAACCTGATTGCGGCTATCGTGCGGAGCGAGAGTGCGTAGAACTGTGCCGTCTCCTACCGCGAGCAAGTTATGCTCGCGAATGATACGGCCGAGCGGGACGCCTCAAAGTTTAATTTACCTACTTTTTGCCTTGCAGTTGCCTCATTGGTTGTCATGGATATGCCGATACTAAGAAACGAAGTTTTCCACCCACGTTCATGTTTGGTGTTGCTTCGTCAGCGTATCAAATTGAAGGAGCTTGGGATGATGACGGTAAATATTTTATAGTCATTTCCTTTTTTGTTTTAAGTATATTAAGTTCATAACAGTTTAACAACAATAAGAAACTTAAAAAAAATATCACCGCTTTCAATGCGATACATCATGATGAATTGAAATAGACTAAATTATTCATTTTCCATCCTAAGAGACGGTATTTTTTCTTCTTTAATTAGGACCGTACGGGGACGTAGGATCTTTTTTATTTGAGGTATAACTACACAAATAAAAAAGATTTTCCCAAATCGGTTAATCATTAAAGGAGTTCTGAGATAGCAAAACAAAATTAATACAACCTTTTTTTGGAACCGGTTAAAGACGCTATAAAGCCCCCTAGATCTGGTTTATCATTTGAAAAACCAGAAAATAGTCAATGCTGTACTATAACTTTTTAGTCATTCCTATGACCTGTGTCTTTCTAGTTACGAGTAAGACAGAGGTCATTCGACTGGGTATTTTTACTTTTGGGCTGATTCCCGTGATATTACGTACCCGCTTTCTGCCAGTATATGTACAGACCTACATATCATCATAAACAGCCTCTATAGCCCACTCTAGGACATAGGCCTCTCCTTATAAAAGAGGTTTTGGCCTAGTATACCACGCTGGCCAGACGGGTTGGTATTGGGTTTGTGTCACGTTTTCCTTCTCTTCGCAGTGCTGTTGTCTTGCGTAATTTACTCTCTTAGTCGGCTCTTACGACACCCACGGCATGGATAGGGGTGGTGACACTCCCTATTCTTAATTAGTCAACACACGGATGTGTGACCTATACGTAAATTAAAACTTAAAGTACAAGATACACATAATTTGGGTTTTTACGAAATGTAGTGATTTATATTATTGCCTTAAACAGGTAGTAAATTCATAGAAATAGATTAGAATTTCATATTAATTAAAATGATTTAACAATTTCTCAAATGGTTGAATAACACGTAATCGTAAATCACTATTATCTAAACAATTACGTGTAATCAACTTATTCTTTATCTTATTCAAAGTTTTATTCAAAACATTTACCGACCTACATCGTAAGATTAGAAATCTCTATCACGGTAATAAATTTGTTAACTAAATAAAGACTCAGTCATCTGTAATATGATAGTTTTAACAGTGTCTAGATAAGAATAATATAGGTATTAATAACTCCACATATCTCATACACAACATTCTGATCCTAAATTAGACAGGGCATGAGCTATGGTAACCAGGCTGCTCCAACTGACGCAGGTCCTTTCTGGGCATGGCTGCTTCGGAAAGTACCTGCACTGTCTTTCATCACAGCGATTGCAATTTGTCCGGCTTGGACGTCGCAGCGTCGTTTTATTTCAGTCATCACAGAGGATCTCTCGCTACTGTCTGTCATACGCTCCATCACCAGTAGCAACTGATGTTTTACTACTCTCGAATTCTTCTGCGAATACGTCATTATGCAGAACAAGGCAGGAGAGAGGGATCAGAAGGATGATCTTCACTCAGACTTTCCAACATCCTTACACCTGATCAACCTCGCCTGGTCGGACGATCCTCTTTTTTGTGTTGAAGGGACATGACATCCGTTCATTTACAGATTTATAAAACCAAAATTTGTGAGCCCGAGTGGTTCATTAATAGTCTCTAAAGAGTTCCAATATTCATATCCTGGTTTGGAAGGCCATATTTACAAAGCGATAAAAATGCATCGTGTCTTACAAGTATTTCTTTATTTATTTTCCAGGAAAAGGGGAAAGCATCTGGGACAGATTTGTCCATGAAAACCCTGAACGAATAGCTGATGGTTACAACGGTGATGTGGCCAGTGACTCGTATCACCTGTGGAGGAGAGACGTGGAGATGCTAAGAGAACTCGGCGTGCACTTCTACAGGTTCTCCATATCATGGTCGAGGGTTATGCCCACTGGTAAGGATCAAGTTGAAATGTACATGCACTACAATACAATACCATGATTACAATGAGAACGCCAGATGTTGGGATGGCAGTAAGCTGACCAAGTCAAGCAAAAATAAATACACAGGCATACATCTGTAGCATCCTTTGTCGAACTGTTCAGGATTTTTTCGTCGGTATTTTTTTTTTAAATTATGTTCTCTTCTTGAATCTAAGCGGTAAATATTCCAAGTTTCAGTCTCGACATAACTGCGTGCATCAGAGGCGGAGTGCGAGTTTATTCACATCACATCAACTCTCTTGACACGGTGACAGCGTTCGGCGTTGCAATTGGCCCGCACTGAAATCTCCACCAAACAAAACTTCAAACGCAGTCGCCGTCGAGAACGAGTCGATGTGAAATATACTCAGGCCTAGTCTGAGTATCCTCAGGACATTTGGACCGGCTTAACCGAGGTGATACAGTGACTTAACAAAAAACCAGTGTTAAGCAATTGTTTCCTTGAATGTCACCGTGGGAATGAAGTTACCGAAGGCACAATCCCTATCTCTTCTTGATGCTGGAGGGGAGGAAAGCACTTAAATATAGCGCTATTTTGCGTTGATAGTCACTTACCCTCCAGTCCCTTACTTACCTTTTTTTTCCGTGCGGAAATCCCCTCGGATACCACCTATCGCTGGCATGTCGGACTCGAACCGGCTAAAACCGCACGCCGTCTCGGGTACTAATAGCCGGGGAACCACGTATACCCTAGAAAGGAAGTCCCTGGTGCCCCGACATACCTCGGGCCATCTACAACAAGTAGACGACCCCCCCCGTGTGGGAACTCCATGTTCCCTCTGCTCCCTGGAAGCGAGCACGCTTCGCAACGCGCTCGCCGCCACCCCGGCCTGCTTCTGCTAGGGTGACAGATGGCCTCACCTGCCACCCCCAGGCCTGCGCTTATGGAGGACGGAGGTCGTTCTGCAACCTCCGGCGCCTGAGTGGTCTGCGGTACCTGGCCCATTCCCGGGCCTGGCAGGCCGGGAGAGTTCTAAACCTCTTCCGGTCCCGCTCCGCCGTCTCCTTCGCGAAACATCCTTTACCAGTGATCACCTGCGTCAGTCGGTATGAGAGGGTTCCGTGACGCCTCTCGAACCAATCCTCCATAACGGGTCTTACCGCCGCGATGACGGCGTGCCTAGCGCTCGGTTACCCGAGTCGTTCCCTCCATTCCCCTATGATGACCTGGCAAAGTTGGGATTTCCGGTCATCGATTTCTCGAATCTCGGGACAATGACCCAACTCCCGCGCCTCGTTGCGCCACTGATACAGAGCCGCAAGGGCTCTCGCCTCCAGGTCCCACGGTGGAGTTCCGGCCGGGAGACTCGCTGCCTCAAAGGAGATCGTGCGGTACCCCCTTATGATCCTGATGGCCAGCACTCGCTGCGGTCGTCGCAGTATCGCGACGTTGATGGCCTTCAGGGCCCCCGCCTATACTGGGCACCCGTAAAGGGCCATGGACCGCACAACCCTCCTGCGCTTCTGGAAGGAGCTTGGCTGGCTCACCTAGTCAGCCAATCCCCGACGCATAAAGGACCACTCTGAGTCTAAATGCGGAAACCGAGGCCCACAACCAATACCAATACCAATAACCCTCCTGCAGGAGACTCTAGAGTCTCCTGCAGGAGTCATCGGGTCCCTTCATGTTGGGCAGCAGCCGCGTCAACGCACGCGCTGCCCCAACCAACTTGGGGACCAGACCTCGGAAATGATATCCGTAGTCCTATCGGTCATCGAGTACGAGCCCCAGATAAGAGCCCCAGGCGGCTTCCTCCGAAGCCCGTGGAAGAACAGGGCCTCGGACTTGTGCAGAGCCACCTCGAGACCCAGAAGCCGGATTCGCTCTACGACTTGGGCAACCCCGGCCGTGGCCCTCAGGGTTGCCTCGTGGTGCGTCTTGCCGCGCGCCGTCACGAGTGTGTCGTCCGCGTAGCACACGACGGCGACACCATCCAAGAAGGCACCACGAAGCACCCAAGGACACCGCCAACACCAATTCGCCCCGGGAAACTGCTTCCTCCATGGTGGAGCGCCCCTGACGGAAACCGTACTGGTTGTCCGCCAGATCCGGCCCCACCATCACGAGATGCTTGACGAGGTGCCTTGCAATCACTCTTTCAAAGAGCTTGCACACCTCGTCAAGCAACACTATGGGCCGGTAGGCGGACGGTGAGTCCGCCGGGCGCCCCTCCTTTCGGATGAGGACCAGTTTCCCCGTCTTCCACAATTTCGGAAACTGGCCCGAGGCATGCGCTGAAGAACCCTCGCAGTCGGGGCTCGAGAGCCTCGTCGACTAAGGCCAGGACCCACACTCGGCCAGGAATGCCATCGGGTCCCGGGGCAGTGTTTTTAGCTTTAAGCCGTAACACCGCCACCCTTAGTTCCACCCCAGTGACCCGGAGCCATCTGTGGCGGAGTATGCTCCACCACTCGCGTTGGGAACAAGGAGCCAACGACCCTCTCAAGCAGCTCTGGCTGAAAACATGTTCGTTTGTCCCCTATAACAAAAGAAAAGAGAGCAAATATGTGCGTATAAAAATTTGGTGCCATGCCTCCTGACAACCTGGTCGTTCTGTATTTATTTATTTAAAAAAAAATAGTTTAATTGTCATACATTGCCTATAACAACTCTAAGCCTTAAAATACAAAAATGACACCTTCACAAGGAGTTTAGGTTTAGAAATAGGTTTGCAAAAAACTGCAACAGCAAAAATTGAGTGTTTATGCTCAACATCGTCTTTGGATCACAGGAGTCAATACTCGTATGTGTACCAAATTTTATCTTAATCTATACATTCGATTTGAAGTCAATGGACTGTATATAGACCCAAGAGTGATGAACTCATCACATCATTACATCAACAGCCTTAATTAGTCCACTGCTGCATATAAGCCTCTCCTTAGAAAGGGGGTTTTGGTCTACTATACCACGCTGGCCATACGGGTTGGTATAGGGTTTATGCTCAACATCGTCTTTGGATCACAGGAGTCAATACTCGTATGTGTACCAAATTTTATATTAATCTATACATTCGATTTGAAGTCAATGGACTGTATATAGACCCAAGAGTGATGACCTCATCACATCATTACATCAACAGCCTTAATTAGTCCACTGCTGCATATAAGCCTCTCCTTAGAAAGGGGGTTTGGGCCTACTATACCACGCTGGCCATACGGGTTGGTATAGGGTTTGTGTCAAGTTTTCCTTCTCTCTGCAGTGCTGTTATTTTGCACAGTTTTTTCCCTTAGTCGGCTCTTACGACACCCACGGGATGAATAGGGGTGGTGGCACTCTGTATTCTGAATCCGTCACCACACGGACTTCTGAATCCGTCACCACACGGACTATTTGACCTACCAGCACTTAATAAAGCAAGCAGCCTTCCGTTGTTTTTTGTACTCTTACATTATGTACGATATCTTAAGAATATGTCCTTCACCTTTAAAGTAACTAAAACTATTTTAGCTGTACACAATTCGTAAATACGCTTCAGCTATAGAGTTATCAATGCTGATAACCTGTAAGATAAATTTGAGTAGCGCCTAAGTGGTTCTTATGTAAGTGATAACGGCACTTGACGGTGTCATACAAGCGATTTTTAATGTTTGTTTTGATGATTTACCTTTCATAGAAATACAATTCAATTTTAAGATTATTATTGTCATATATAATATCTTGTTTTAGGTCAATTAAGTCGGAATGACATAGTAATGGATAAATTATTACATATTAGCAATTTATATATAAATGACTGCACGGATGGCGTAGTGGTTTAAGCGGTCGCCACGCCGCTCACTACCACGCTGAGTGCTGTGGGTCCGATCCCCACATGGGACGACACTTTGTGTGATTCACAAATTGTTGTTCTGAGTCTGGGTGTTATTTGTGTCCGTTTCATGTATGTTTGTAAAGTCCCCCGCGACACAGGATTTATTCCTAGTGCGGGAGTTGTCTTTTTTAAAAAAAAAAAAAAAACTTCTGGTTAATTCAGAGACGACATCGGGATCTTTTCGGTATGATGACTCTTTTTAAATACTGTTTGTTTGCAAATTCTAAAATTTATATCGTAGTTATTTTGAAAATAAGATGTCTTTATCACTGAAAAAGTGATAACATAATAACATATCTTTAAGATTTTTAATAGATATGGTAAGATAAGCGAAAGTGGGAGAGAGGGCTCCATGATGAGCAGAATGGCCTGGATTTTAAAATAGGTCTATAGATGACGGCTACATCACAAAAATACATGCAGCCGAACATAGCTCCTTCTTTCTTTTATTTCTATATATTTCTATTCTATATGATATATCTCTTTATCCAGGACATTAGCGTCAGGACATTAGCATTAGGACAGTAGCAGCGTATAAACCGTAATTTATGGGTCATGTGCAGGAATATGTCCACTGCCGTCCCCTATTATAATTGAATGTGCTCTCATCACAGCATATCTTGTGGGATTCTGAGTTTTAGTCGACGTATCTTCAGACTATTGTCTTGAGCCAATACTTTTGGGTGGTACACGATTCTGTCTCTGTGTGACATAATATGTCTACTTCTTCTCTGATTGTAGGCATATGGAGATCATTGTGCAGTTGTCCGTTCGTCACTAACGGTCATGGGGTACCACTACCTGCGTAGCATTTTATTTTGAAAACATTGAGTGACCTCTATGTCGAAGTACCATATGCTATATGGCCCCATAGTTGTGTGCCGTACATCATCGCAATTTGTTTTCTATTGATAACTGTAATTTACTGCCAATAGCCATTACAGTTATTTTATCTGCAGGCTAAGCTGTTTTCTTATAGTAAGAATATGTTTCTTCCAAGTTCAACGTTTATCAAGGTCTAGACCAAGATAGTAGTCACGTATTCATCCCGTAGGACTTTTAGGGGGGTTTGCCCGGCGTGGGTTGAGCAGAGGCGAGACCTCGTGGCGGCCATCGGAGTGGGAGTTCTCTCGCTCGATAGCCTGATTGCGGCTATCGTGTGGAGCGAGAGTGCGTGGAGCTCTGCCGTCTCCTTCTGCGAGCAAGTTATGCTCGCGAAGGAGACGGCGGAGCGGGACTGGGAAAGGTTTAGAACTCGGCGAGCGCGTTGCGAAGCGCGCTCGCTTCCAGGGAGCAGAGGGAACAAGGGGTTCCCACACGGGGGGGTCATCTACTCGTCTGTAGATGGCCCGAGGTATGTCGGGGCACCAGGGACTTCCTTTCTAGGGTATACCTGGTTCCCCGGCTATTGGTACCCGTTATTGTTTTTAGTCGGTTCGAGTCTGACATGCCGGTGGTATCCGAGGGGATTTCCGCACGGAAAAAAAAGGGGGTTCGCTATACGTTAGGACTGAAAAAAATAGAGACATTTTTATACATACTGTATTTATTTTGCCAGGTTTGTCGAACTCTATAAACGAGGCAGGCTTCGCGTACTACGACAACCTGATCGACGAACTCTTGAAGTACAAAATCATGCCAATGGTGACCTTATACCATTTCGACCTGCCTCAGTATCTCCAGGACTTGGGAGGTTGGATTAATCCTCTATCATCGGAGTGGTTCGAAGACTATGCAGCGGAAGTTTTTAAAAGATACGCCCATAAAGTCCCATTTTGGATCACCATCAATCAGGTAATTGTTTTATTATCAATTATGATAATTTGAGTCTAGTGTTTTTGAAGTGAAAACTTCTTTAGGCGCGGTGAGAATTTTTGAACAACAAACAAAAGAATGCATTTTATAAAAAAAAAACGTTGTTACCGTTACCGTTGCCGACACCTCTGTGAAAGCAAAAAGGCACGTTGGGCATTTTTGAGATGGGAAAAAACAATTGAACTCTGTATATAAGTATATGAGTTTTCATTTCTGTCGTCACTCCCGGAGTGTCACTGTTTTTTTCAATGGTATAGAGGGCAAACAAGCAAAGGGGTTACTCAATGGTAACTGAATACCTCCGCTCATGGACATCAGGTTAAAAGTTATAAATACCTTACCGATCTTTGAGTGCCCCTCTCCAACCAGAATTACGGAGAGAGAGGGGAGATGGCTTAGCCCTCTGGTAACCTGACTCGTTCGTTGAAAAACACAGGTTTTCTGTGAGACCGTGGTACCAGTTAGTCGAAAATATACCCTAACACGCTTTTTATTTTGCCTTGAGGTGGAATAAAAAAAATGTAGTGAAGAAAGTGACGTAAAAATGACGGAGTACAAGCGTGTTTGATGGAAGACATGTTTAAAAAGTCAGCGTTGAAATACACAATGATTAAGAAGAAAGAAACAAGAAAATATTTAAATATCTTCTACCTCAAAGTACAATTAGAAGAAGAAGTGATGAGGATGAGGGGTAGCCATATCTGGTATTCTTTTTAGAGTTTTTAAACCCTACTTTTAGACTTTTCGAAAACAGTCGGTTCGAGTTTCATATATGGGACCTTTACCTAACCTCCCTTTTGCTTGACGGCAATATTACGTTGGGACTAAAATAATTGTTGCTAAATAAAATAATGTGGGCGTTTGATACGTCTCTGCCTATCCCTTCGGAGATGTAGTCGTGTATGTCACAATCACTTACACTTTCACACACACACTACACACATTTACCTTAGATCTCAATTATTAGTAATATTAATAGAAATACCTTAGTTTATATGTTCTTTGTAGGTGCAGTAACACTGTTCAAAGTATATCTATACCAAACTTTCATCTAAATCACTTCAGCGGTTATTGATTCCCCATACAAACTTCCACCCCCTTTTTCACTCCCTTAAATGATGATTTCTGGGCAAACTATCCTATGTCCTTTCTGGGACTTGAACTATCTCTATACCAAATTTCATATGAATCGGTTTAGCGGTTTGGAAAGGTCACAGATAGACAGACAGGATAGGCAGACAGACACGCTTTTGCATTTATAATATTAGTATAGATATGGATTGATGTTTTTGGGTGGGCCTGGAGATCTGTCATACATTACAAGTCTCGAGCCTAGTATAGATTCAATCTCTCACTAAGGAACTTTTTATTATTTTATTGTAATATACATATGTTACTAAGATGCTCTATAACCTACTGTACCTTACGAGAGAGAAAAAAGTTATTATTATTATGTAAGATGTATTTTTAATATATTGTTTCTTTCAGCCCAAGTCGATATGTATGGATGGGTACGAATCAAATGTGCTGGCACCCGCAGTGAACTCCAAGACTGTTGGGGGATACGAGTGTACTAAAAACGTTCTACTGGCCCATGCTAAGGCTTATAGAATTTATCAGAACCTTTATAAGACTGAACATCAAGGTATGAACGGTTATTACGGGCATTCATAAATCACATCATACGAATTTTATTTTAAATTTAATCTTTTATATAAAATTCTCGTGTCACAATGTTCGTTCCCGTACTCCTCCGAAACGGCTTGACTGATTCTCATGTAATTTTGTGTGCACATCGGGTAGGTCTGAGAATCGGCCAACATCTATTTTTCATACCCCTAAATGGTAAGGGTGATCCATCCCTAATTTTTTTTTGTTTTGCAATACAACGTTTGCCGGGTCAGCTGTATCTATCTAATAATATCTTGACACATCTCACACAAGGAAGTCTGCTCCCAAATTAAGTTAATTAGACCCTGTGCTATTGTAACCAGGCTACTGATAAACATATTTATACTTTTAATAGTTAGGTAGAGGGGGTAATACAGCAGACAATAAAGGTTAGCGTTGCCTCGTCGCAAGGAGTACTCCCTAAACCTACTCCTGGGTCGCAATTCCCAGTGTGCCAATTCGCGCTGTTGAAGTCGCATGTGTTGCTCCATGTATTACGCGATGGACCTGGCACCCAAAGGGTGAATACATGGACCGCTAAGAAACAGGTCCCTGTCATAGAAGAAGAACGAATGATCGTGGTCAGCACACAATTAATTGTCCTGGGTGATTTACAAACCCACAAATACTGGCTTAGCAGTCATGGTCACTAATCACTAGACCTACAGGCCCGCAATAATACACCTAGAACCAAATTAATTAAAACAGCAGTTCCAAAATAATCAGATATTTATAAATTATAAACTCTTTAACACCAATACTATAATAAAGATATATTACAGGTAACGTGGGTATCAGTATAGAACTGAACTGGTTCGACCCTGTTAAGAATAATACAGAAAATGCTGCAGCCGTCGCAAGAGCTAGAGCGTTCCAGGTAAGTTAGTTAATTTAGCTTAAAATCCCTATCATCATCATCAACAGCCTTTAATAGTCCACTGCTGGACATAGGCCTCTCCTAAGAATGGAGGTTTTGGCCTACTATATCTCGCTGGCCAGACGGGTTGGTATAGGGTTTTGTGTCAAGTTGTCCTTCTTTTTGCAGTGCTGGTGTCCTGCGTTGTTTTGCGCCCTTAGTCGGCTCTTACGACACCCACGAGTTGAATTGGGGTAGTGACATTCCGTAATCTTAATCCGTCACTACACGGACATCCCTATATTATATATATATATATATATATATATATATATATATATATATATATGTAATATTCGGTAAAAAGAAGCAAGAAAAGACTGAATTAATCTTGCACCCTTTTTTGAGTGTGTATTGTCACTGCAATATAGAGAGAGGATCCTCCGATCAGGCTATGATTATTTCTAATAGACAGCTTAGCGTTAAGATGTTGCACGTAACTATTGTTCTTGTGTGTTGTATGTGTGGTGACAGATCAAGAATACAGAGCGTCACTACCCCTTTTTTTTTCCGTGCGGAAATCCCCTCGGATACCACCTATCGGTGGCATGTCGGACTCGAACCGACTAAAACCGCACGCCGTTTCGGGTACTAATAGCCGGGGAACCAGGTATGCCCTAGAAAGGAAGTCCCTGGTGCCCCGACATACCTCGGGCCATCTACAACAACAGGTAGACGCCCCCCCCCCCCCCCCCCGAAGCGTCACTACCCCTGATTTTATCCCGTGGGTGTCGTAAGAGCCGACTAAAAAAGCAAACTACGCAGGACAACAATACTGTAAAGAGAAGGAAAACTTGACACAGACCAACTTTACCAACCTGTCTTTTTTAGGCCAAAACCTTTTTTTTTGAAGCGGCTTATACCCAGCAGTGGACTATGAAAAGCTGTTGATGATGATTGTGTAACTATTAATCAGCGCGAGAAATTTAATTGCGCGATACAGGGTTATTATTTTATATGCCGTTCTGTTTGTTTTCACCAGATAACGTTTGAAGTATATTTTTCTTGTATGTGGAAATCGCCCACTTTATCCTTTATTTTAATATTAACAACCGCTTACCTTTAATATAATTCTTCATTTTCAGATCGATTTATACATGCACCCTATCTTTTCGGAGACGGGTAACTTCCCAAATTTGGTCAGAGAGATAGTGGCTAGAAAGAGCAAGGAGCAGGGATTCACATCATCAAGACTCCCCACTTTAACTGCTGAAGAGATTAAACTTATCAGAGGTTTGTTTTTACTTCGATTTCGTAGCATAAACACTGTCCTACTATATAATGTGTTCTTCTGGTGATTAGTAAGGTCAATAGAAAGTGGGGGAGTCATACTTCTGGCTCAATCAGAGTAATACCACGGCCTCACAGAAAACCAGTGTTAAGCAATTCTTTTTCTTGATTTTCACCGAGTGAGTGAGGCTACCGGAAGCCAAACCCCCCCCTCCTCCTATTTCTAGGGAGGGGCTGAAAGAACGGCAACGCATCTGTGACTCTTAGTGTACATGGGCGGTAGCACTCACTTACCATCTGATGACCAGCCTATTCGTTTGCCTCCTAAGCTATTAAAAAAAAAAATTTGAGTAATGGAAGCCAGAAGAAAGTAGGCTACAATAGACTTCTGATTGAATTAGAACTCTTATGCTACCTTTACCACACGGATGGTAGCAGTCACTAAACCCGCACTCTTTACCTCAAAGAGTGCGGATTTAGTGACTGCTAATCCGACATGCCCAAGGTCCATTGATGTTTTTGGTAATAGCTTATTACCTGGTGAGCTATATGTTAGTTCGACAAATGTGTTTAAATAACAGAGTCGTATAATAAGCCAAGAGGTCTTCTTCAAAGTCCTATATCTAGCAGTGGACGTACTATTATTATTATCCTCGGCTGTAATAAGGTGATTAATAAATCACCTCATATAATAACCATATAAAATTATTCATTCGATTTCCAGGATCTGCAGACTTCGTAGGCATGAATCACTATACCAGTTTTCTGGTTCAGAATAGCAAGAAGCAATATGAGTCTCCGTCATTGGATGATGATATAGGCGTGGAGTTGAGCTATAGGTCTGAATGGAAACCTTCAAAGTCTTCTTGGTTAAAGGTAAAGTGCGTTCAACCAAACAAACTCTTCAGTTATATAATATTAGGATAAATGTGTTGAGTCCAGTCGATCTCTTTCTCCTCACGAAGAAAAACAGAGCTGACTGCCAACCGTCGGTAGTCGGAGAGTCAATTCCAAAAAGAACAAGAATTTGAAATTGCATATAATAGTAGGGGAGCCCTTGAAGGGATTTCGGGATTTACTCGAGCGTGTCAGATTAAGATAGGAGGAACACCTTACACCCAGTTGAGTACCTACACCATACATGAGATCTACACATAGGGGGGATAGTCTAGGGCAGCCCAACAGATAAGTTAACAAAAAATCGATGGTCAGAAATATTCGAGCGTGTAAGATTGAAGTAAGTTAAGTCAATTACATACACATTAGTCACTAATGTGTATTTTAAATACACACTAATGATTAGTGTGTATTTAAAATATATATATTAAAATATCCTGCAAAATTATCGTCAGAATTTTTGGCTAGTATGAGAGGAACATCAAGCTGAACCGTCTGTATAAAATATAACACGCTCATGTATTTCGAAATGACGATTTTTCCAAATTTGCAGTTTTGCATTTTCGATAATTCGCTACGAGCTTGTGTCACTTTAAAGTCGTCAAACCTTTCAACAGGAGCATTTTTGGCGTCCAAATAACATATCCCCAAAATATTACATTTTTGAAACCTAAAGAAGCTTTTCCCATCAATGAAAGTGGAAACATTATACCACTTTCATTCATTCTATTACCTAATCTTTCAAATGCAAGAAGTCCCCATGACACTTGAGTTAATCCACATTTAGCATCATGGGTTTCCCTACCATAATATTACTGTTGCAAAAACAAGTACTGTCCCACTGAATAAGCAAAGGCTAGTTATCGGAATTATATTTATTCAAACACTAGATAATATTTACAACAGTTTTCATGTTCCGCTTATGAAGTGTAATATTTGGCTTCCAGAACACCCCCTACGGAATCTACAGAGCATGTATCCACGTAAACATTAATTACAACTACCCGCCCATGATAGTGACAGAACACGGTTGGTCTACTGGCGCTGGACTTGGAGACAAGAGCCGGGCGGACAACTTGAGACACTATTTAAGTAATACACTAGCAATTATAATGTTATGCTAGGTTAGCTTTTGGAACAGGGACCTTCTGGGAATAGGGAGTCTGAAACATGGTTAAAACTCTGACGAGTTATACGAGTATGCTACTAGTTTTTCCTGATTCTATGTCGGATACACGCGGGCGGAGAATCAGGAATTATCGCGGTAAAAAGTATTCTATGTTATGTTGTTTTCCATGAGTGTAAGATTTTTTAAATCGATTTAATGGTTTAGACGTGAAATCGTCGAACAAAGAAACAAACTCACTTTTTCATTTAAAATATAAGTATGGATGTGTGAATACAACACAACTAAATCAAATGACTATTTTATTATTGACGTACGTTTGTAGTAACATTGATAACACAGCTAACACACACAGCGACAGCGGAAAGAAATTTTGTGATCAACAGTTGGACACTATTTTGCTGATAAACATACTTACATAATTCTAAATACATAATAATATTACAGACAAATTACACCCAGCCACAAAACAAGTGATAGTGCTCATCACACAATTATGTGTCCTAGGAGGAATCGGACCCACGAACTCTGGCCTAAACACAGACCGAAATAGGTGCACTGAAGTCGGGAATACTCTTTTAAATATTATTTATAGTTTGAAGGGTCCATATTGCACCATTAGAAATGATATAAGAGCTCATTAACAGCAATTAAGCAATTACTATGTAATTTCAAAAGATTTACCATTAGTACCATTGACATATAAAACGTATTATAATGTCGCTTTTGCTCTAGATTCACTACTACTGGCGATGGAGGACGGAACCAAGCTAAAGGGTTATGCTGCATGGAGTTTAATGGACAATGTAGAATGGACGGCAGGCACTAGGTAAGTTAACTACTGGAATGCTAGATCTTCGACCTCATTTCAGGCACATACAACCACTTCTAACTGCTCTAAGTGTTATGGGTTCGATCCCCACTTAGGACAACACTTTGTGTGATCCACAAAATATTGGTCTGAGTGTTCTTTGTGTGCATTTTATGAATGTTTATAAAGTCCACCGCGACACAGAATATATTCCTAGTGTTCTTTAAAAAAAAGTAATGATTAGAGACACCCACGCCTAGACAGAAGAAAGAAGTTCAGAAAGAGGTGTCAGGAGAAAGAAGTCTAAACAATCAACGCCATCAAAGTTATAACCATCTGTCATCATTTACCATGGTAATAGCAAACTAAGACCACACAATGCAATGCTCCTGCACATATTATAGCCTGCCTATGCCAGAGTGATACCAAGGCCTCACAGAAACCCGTGTTAAACAATTCTTCCGTGGCTTCGTAACTCGACATAACTAGGTTTCTGTCTTTTTGAAGGTACTGCTCCTTAAATTTAGGGGGGCTTGGGGATTGGGCTTCCAATAACCACAATCACTTGGTGAATTGATGCCGATTTTTTGTGAGACCGTGGTATCACTCCGGTAGAACTACGAGTATTATTTTTGTTACATTACCTTTTATTTGATTGGATATTATAACCTGTTTTATTTTTCAGTGAACGTTTCGGCCTCTATCAAGTTGACTTCAACTCTCCTACTAAAAACAGAACAGCACGATTGTCCGCACTGGTTTATAAAAATATCATAAAGACAAGAGAAGTAGATCTCGAGTGGATGCCGGAGAGTCTGCAAATAGACATAGATCAACCAAATAAGGTGAAAGTAGAATTATAAATTTTTCCTGAAGAACTTGGGAGAGTCATGCTATGGCACAAATGGGCCGGCTCTACCGGAGTGATACCACGGCTGCACAGAACACCGGTGTTAAACAATTATTTCATTACTTTGCACCGAGTGAGTGAGGTTACTAGATCCCCAGCCTCCTCTCCTCCTTTATCCCTTTAAAAAAGCTGTACTAACGTTTATTGACGTACTTATTAATTAGTTGAGGGTGTGATACTTTTAGTTAACAAGTTAATAATTGTTTAATATTATTTAATTTGAAACACGTATTATTACCACACCATCAAAACATCGTTAAGCTTTCTGAAAAATACTGATGAATAAAGCTCTTACAAATTTATGGTAACATAGTCGGTATTCAGTTTTCGTTCGGATCTTTTTGTGTGAGTTTTACTGGTACAATTTAAGTTGAATTTTTCTCTTTTGTAATTAATACGTTTTATGACGTTTTGGATTTCTTATTTATTAATTTAATATAAATTACTTATAAGTTGAAATAGTAATCATTTTAGAAAATTACTGAAAGTATTTTTATTTAATTTATTTGACCAACACACCTTATATTTGTGAATGAGTTTATGTGTATTATACAATTAAAGTCTTTCTATATTTACATATTCTTCGTAGTTAAAGGTAATATGGAGAGAATCATATGAGTACACGACAATTCAAACACTACGCTTATTTAATTTCATCCACTACTACTAACGTAAAATGAGCTATGAATCCAATATTTGTCAGTAAAATATTATCATGAAATTAAAGTAATTACTGATCAAATGATTACACTTCTTTTTTGTTTTACTATTGTGTAAGTTATTATAGATTTCTTAAAAAATACTAAATTATTTTATTTGTGACTTATGGCAGTTAAGTTACTGTAACTGATAAGTTTAACATCAAACTGAAAGGAGAATATTATAAAGAGGTTTTTATTAAAATTCAAATTAAATCTTTTTCCATTTTTAAAGTTTTAGTTTATTTACTTCGTGTGTGTTTATGTACTTCGCATCTGTGAGTCTTTGCGTGTGTGTGCGTCTGCGTACATATGTGTGTGACATTTGATTATAATTTAAAAATCCATTGAACATTCCTTATTTACTACTTATGTTTCTTGGGTTGGATTTTAAAACGACTCGCCTGAATTTGAGGGTATTGGTGGTGTAGGGGGCTTAAGGGAGTTAGTCTTAATTCCCCCACAGTAATTTTGGCTGCCGGAGTTGCGTCTAAATATTTTAAAACAATTTTCAAAAATTCTTAAATACTCTTGCAATTATGCAAAACGGAACGTAATTTTTATGCTTTAGTACAGTTTTTCAAATGTAATTTTTAGGTTTTATGTGAAAAAACGTGAAACGAAACGCAACCCGCCATCTTGGATGGATGATATTGACAGCTAATGTCAAATTTGTGCGTCATTCCTTTGCTTTCGAGTATAAGTGAATGTGTTCTTCCGTATCGATTTGTGTTTTTTCTACGACTTGGCTACCTTCTTGGAATCTGTTTGGATTGCTTTACTGTACGACCTCGACTTACTCACTTTTGGACACTGAAATAACGCTATCGCAGCTTGCAATGGCGTCTGGAAGTAGTGGAAGTGGACACCCGGAACCGGTACCGTCTACGAGTTCGGGCCTTGGTGGAGCATCGGCAGTATATGAAGATGTTTTCGAGGACGACGGGCCCTTTCTCGATCGACATCTCTACACAGAAGAGGTTCTTATGATGTGGAATTTGGCGAGAATCATAAAAAAATTGGGCACGAATGAGCAGTGTGTGGCATTCGCCGAAGAAAATGGATTGGTGCAGACTCAAAAATTATGCAGAACACATCGCACTCCCATGAAAATAGCCAATTCGACCAACAGGTCATTTGGTTCTTGGTGTTGCACCAAAGGCAATTGTAAATCTAAATCTAAAATACCACGCAATAACGGGACATTTTTTGAAAATATAAAAATTGATTTGGTGCATGTTTTCTATCTATTATATGCATATTCAAAAAATGGAGCTACAATGACGTCATAAATGAAGATCCCTACAAGGAACATTTTGAAAGGTGCCTGGGCCGGGCCACCATATGTGACTGGTATAATTATTGCCGAGAAACCATTGTGGCATACCAAATTGACAAAAAAGAAGTAGTTGGAAAGATTGGTGGCCCCGGAAAAATAGTCCAGATCGATGAATCTAAATTTGGAAAAAGAAAATACAATCGAGGTAATTATATTTTATATATTATGTCTTATAGGAAATGTATAAGAGCAGGACATAATTCTTAGATAATTAATAGCAATCTATTACTCCGAGTTGGCACAATCGGACTTCATTGGGTTAGGTTAGATGGCTAAGGCGGGAGCGCAGCGCAGCGAAGCTCCCGCCTTAGCCATCGTGGTTATTTTTTTTTAAACCACCCAGAAATAGGAGCCCCGCGTAGCGGGGCTCCGTCGACTCATAATTGAAGCCAGTTTTTATATATATATTTTTTTTTGTTATAGGTCGCCATATTGAGGGCCATTGGGTTCTCGGTATGATTGAGGATGGATCTGAAGATCTGAGGTTGGAAGTGTGCCCAGACAATATTCGCTCTGCTGAGGTTTTGGTGCCACTTATATTGAAGAATGTGGAAGTTGGCACCACCATCCACACTGATTTTTGGAGAGCATATGATTGCTTGCCAGAACATGGCTACATACACAAAAAAGTCAACCACTCGGATCGTGACAACCCATTCATAGCTGAAGATGGGACTCATACTCAACGAATTGAGTCCCAGTGGAGAGCTGTTAAAAGATTTTTTAGGAAGGACAATTTTAATAACACAGAAAATTTTGCAGATGTTATTTTTGAATATTTGTGGCGGCGAAATAACGTAAAATACAGGAAAAAAGCAATAAAACATGTATATAAAGTGGAATAAAAAAAATTGAAAAAAATTCTGTTTTTATTTTTTCTAAGGGAACCAAGTATTTCCGGCGGGTGAAAATGGTGGGGGGGGGATCCGGCCCCTACCCCCCCCTCCCCCAACCACTCACAACCCCTTATAATGGCGACGTATTTCGAAATTTTTACCTGTTTCTTAGTTAAATACTCTATGTAAGTACATTTTTAAAATCTTCTTTTAAATATTTTGTTTTAGTTGAGCAATAATATTCTGTAAAATATTCTTCAAGCAAGTTGACCGAGAATATCGCCATGACGAATCTCAAGATCGAAGAAGATGATAGTCAACGAAGAGGATTTCAACACTAAGTACAAACTAGTGTAAGGTTTTAACTCGTTTGGCGGTCAAATATTGACCGTTATAAATGACTTCTTTTATTTTAATACCAGTGTAACTTGAGCTATCTTTGTTTAGACTTTTGTACCATGAAAAGTGTTTTTATTTATTTATATTATTTTAATTCTTTATCCACAAGTGTGAGTTGCCTTAATGAAACAGGCATTTTCTCCCGTCTACCGGTGTTTAATCGGATAGGTGCAAGAACAAACATATACTTAGAACTAGAATGGGTGGGCAGTGGCTTATTAATCCTACTGACCAATAGTGTTGCTCGAGGAGGTGTGCAAACTCTTTAAAATAATGATTGCAAAGCGTCTTGTCGAACCCCCTAGTCATTGACATTATACATTTTCACATATTTTTTACTCTAAAAATCCTATTATTTAAAAATGGGTATGTATTAAAAATTTCTAAATGTATTGACATTAATTATTACATATTAATATTATATTAATAACTAGCTGTACCCTAAACCTAATAATATTACTATACTCTGTTCCTGCCACCCTTCTCTGTGGCACATTATTGTTGCTGAGAATTGATGAGAAATAAGGAACAAAACTAATGGCAAAAAGAAATAAAAACAATTTTCAAACAACATTTTCAGATCATAATAAATAGATAAGATTAGATAATGGTAATATTATGTGTATTATTTCCAATTTATAAAAGTGACATCTAGTAATCGGATACTAAAATATTAAAGCTCTTCAACGTAGAAACGTTTCCACGAAGTTAGTTTTAATGATTCGGCAACAGAGGGTGCTGTTTATAATTTTTTTAAGCAGGTGAAAAATAACACAGGGTACTCATGTTTTACCAGAATGTTGTTTTACTGTGGCGTTAGATGGCAGCACTAGTATGGTTAGTGGGGTTGTTTGATGTACTTGTGATATATTTTCGAAAGTTTACTTTTATAATTAATATATTAAAGTAATTCTTTCATACGAAACAATCTACATTGATTACGTTGTCTTGACGAATTAAGAATACGGTGAATAAGTCACCACCCCTATTCATCCCGTGGGTGTCGTGAAAGCAGCATTACCAACCCGTCTTGGCAGCGTGGTACAGTAGACCAAAACCTCCTTTCTAAGGAGAGGGCTAGGTCCAGCAGCTATCAATGCCTGTTGATGTTATTTGTGATTTTAACAATAAGGTGTGACAGTAATCCTAATTGTAAATATACACAAGAAATTTTAAATGAAGGAAACCTCAAAAATTGAAAAAGAGTTTATTTAGAGAATTCGACGAAGTTTTATTATCAATATTATTGATGTTGGCTACTGCTATATATAAATTGGGACTGGCATACATATCTAACATGCATTTTTGTTTTGTTGACGGGGTATAAAATCCCTTCGGATCCCCGGCTCCTCGGAGAATCCACCGTGACGATTCAGGAACCAGAAGTATGTGGTGTTTCCACTTAACACTACTTCGACGGCAGGCCAGCAGGCGCCCCATTTTGAGTCGCGGAAAAATAAAAAGAATTACGTCAAATTGACTACACGGCGCGTTAAATCACTTTTCCCTTTCAAAAATACCTTTACAAAGCACTTAAGATATCTCCCATACAAAATCTACACTCTTACCGACCAAAACAAATCAAATTGATGGGATTTAACGTCGAGTACAAAGCACTCACCGATTATTTAGGTAGCTACCATGGATCATTGCATTTTCTAAAGCTTTTGTCATTAATAGC